AACTGTTCTGAGCAAAATCACTGGTGACTGACCTGTGTTGTCAAGTCACATATGTGTTTGTAAGTTACTTGATTTCTCAGCACTGTTGAAGCAGTTGACCACTCCCTCTTTTTGGAAACCCTCTCTATTGTTGGCTTTTATGATACCACGTTCTGGGTTTACTCCTACCTTACTGGCTCCTTTGGTTTCTCTTCTTCTGCTGGACCTCCAAGTGGTGGAGTGGCCCAAGGTTCTGTCCTGGGGCCTTTCTCCTGTCCATCCATATTCTTCCTTCAATGTCCTGGGGCCAGTTGTCTCCTCTCTTTATGTACGCTTTCCCTGTGTTACGTCTTTATGCATTTTCCCTGCGTCATGCCAGTGATCCTCATCTCTACCTTTAGTTCTGCTCTCTCCTCAGATTGGTACAGTAACTCTCTACTGGAGATCTCTACATTGCTGTCCAGTAGACACCTCAAACTGACCACTGCCAGAGCACATTATGCTTCCCATACCCCCAACCAAATGGTAGCATTACCAGCCAGTCGTTCAAGACAAACCCAAATGACAAGTCTTTTCATTTAATAGGACTTCGTTTTTCTTTCGGGAAGACACAACGAGACAACGTTCTAAAGAATTTTGATGTATTAATATTGTTTTAAGTTCAAGAGTTAAAAGGAAAATATTTACCGTTATTTTTTCCATTTATTTTCACAAAATGAGTATACAATTTCCTGCAATAGTGTGACCCCTCTTAATTTTTTTCCTTTTTCAACCTTTATATATAAGATTTACCTATCTCTATCTATAATAAATAGCCACATTTTAAGATGATTATTTTATTTTTCCGAATGTAGAATGTTTATGGGGGTAATAAGGTTTACTATCTGTACAATATTATGAAATTCCAATTGGCATCAGATACCTAGAATTAAAAGTATAGACATTTAAGATCTGTGGGACTTTGGAGAGATCTACTCTGTGTGCCTGACAAATGCAAAAAGTGCGAAGGACAAAAATGAGTCCAGAGTGCTCACTGGTACACTGAAATGGGGGAATTAACAGGTGTACCCTGAGCTGTCAGTGAGCCACGTGGACAAACAAGGGGGGAGGGGATTGCTGTCATCTCCTCGTATCTTAATGAGTTTTCTTCCTTTTTTTGATTCCTTGGTAGCAAATTTGACTTTTTTTTTTTGCTTTCTTAAACTTTAATCAATATAACAGCATTTGGCATATTTTACCAAACACATGAGAGGAGGAAAACGATATATAGAGCAAGCTGAAGAGTTCTGCTCTCTGAGCAGGAAAAGGGCCGCTGTGACTAGCGCGAGCTCCGGGATACATTGGACAGAACCGTATGGGGGAATGCTGGTGCGGGAGTGTGTGCTGATGCGCCTGACAGCTGAAAAGTACCCGGAGGGGGGCGCCCGTGAGCCCCACTGCTTCCAAACGTGACAGTCTCTCTTAACTGGCTCACCAGTCTCTGCGTCTGCTGAGTCTTCAGAGATTATTAAGACCTGTTAACTCCCAGACTGGTTTTCATTATTGGGGGAGGGGGAGAAGAGGGTCCTCTGGCGGGGTATTCCCAGTCCCAAGTGGCTGAGTGAGAGGATGTCGGACATAGAATTTGACAGAGTTGAAAGTCAAGGTGAAATAATAAACTCATTTTTTTTTCATTTGGACTAATTTGTTTCTCAAAGTCTGTTTTTCAGACTTTGGAACAATAAAGGAATGATAGTAAAAATGTGTTCTGTAGACCAACTGCATCAGAATGCTGATTTTCATTCGAGGGAGTTTGCTTAAAATGCATATTTCTGGGTCCTAAACCGGTCTGCTGAATCAGACAACCTGGGAATAGGCCAGGGAATCTGCATTTGGAGGAAACTTCCCCAATCTTGTACACAATAAAAAGTTTGAGAACCATTGGCATTAGAAACTGTTTTCCAGTACTTATTTTCAATATATTTGTATTAAAACGAAGATGATCTGATTCTGGTGAAATTCTGGACTGGTGAGGATGACTGAATGCAGACATAAACAGCATGTTAACCCCTCCCATGGCTTTGTGACCAGGGTACTCATGCTTTCTCGATGCTGTGGGAAAGACCAAAGGCCCTAATTACCGTCTGAATGGGCTCCTCAGACACTGGCTGGTGAAGGAGGGTTCTCAAAATGTTATCTTTCCAGTTCCATCCATGCTGTTGCAAAGGACTGGAAAGCATTATGCTGAGTGAAATAAGCCAGGCGGTGAAAGACAAATACCATATGATCTCACCTTTAACAGGAACCTAAACAACAAAATAAACAAGCAAGCCAAATATAACCAAAGACACTGAAATAAAGAACAGGGGGACAGTGACCAGAGGGGAAAAGGGAGGGAATTTCAGGGGAAAGGGGGAAGGGTTTATAGGAACTAGTATAAAGGACACACGGACAAAAGCTAAGGGGGGTGGAAATGGGAGGGAGGTGGGGAGCACTGGGGGGGAGGGCTGGGATAGGGGTATAAGACAGAAAACGGTACTTGAACAATAGTTACATTAAAAAAATTAAAAAAATATATAAGCAACTATGTGACAAAAATGTTATTTATTAAGGAAGACTTACACATTTTGTAAAAAATGTCAGCCAATTTTTATAAGTTGGCACTCTCAGCAGACTACCCAAAATCTACCTTGATTGTTGTGTAAAATGAGGCTCTTGGGAAAAAATAGACGCTTGGTCAGAAATGCTAGTAATTTCCAGGTGTTCCTTCATTTCCAGTTAAGCAAAAAGTCCCATATTGTCGGAGGATAAGAAGATCAAGTCAGATAAAGATACAGTTAATTTCTTAGTTTGTATTTTCCCTTCTAACTCATATTTGCTGCATTTTTACTACCTCCTTAGTTTAAATTGTTGGTTTCAGGATGTGACTGAGTTCAGTTTATGAAGAAAAGATTTATGAATCTAGACTTGGAGTTTTGCTTGCATGTGAGGTTACCCGTTTACTCTGTGGTCAATACTGAAATGTAAACTAGGCAACTGAACGACCCATGTTATTCTAAGACTAAATGGAAAGGGCTAAAGAGCGTTTTTGGTATGAGTATGTGGAAAATATTTAATAAAGACAAAACTAAAATTAAACATACTAATAATAATTAAAATGGGCTCTTAAGGTCAGAAAATCCAAAACCTGTGTTTCCATTGCTAATGAAATGTAATTTTTGAAAACAGTTTGAGAAATTGTATCAGGTTTTTTAAATTAAAATTTAAGGTAACGTCCAATATGTTGTTACTCATTTTATTTTATTCTGTTGAAGCTGAATTATTTTATTCTATTGAAGCTATTAGGACTGATGTAGGTTTGCTGTTGTAAAATATGAGACATGAATTGGTTGAATAGGGAAAAAAGATGGTGTTAAAGCTAAGGTTAGGAGTCAGGACTTGAGGCTCATTTATTTGGTTTCTTTCAAGTAGTCTTGTTTTCTTTTTACAAAAGTCAAATAGTCTAAAAATAAGGAAGTGCACAAAGGTCACTTTCCTACTACCTGGAGGTAACCCCTGCTTGTGTTTTGATATATGCTACATGTTTTCTTTCAGGATGCATGCTGACATTACACATGTGTATATAAGTACATATATGTATGTGTATATATGTATCATACATGTACATACATATCAAGTATGCCACTTTGTAACTTTTTTCACCAAGCCTTGGAGACAACTGTTTCATACACACACGTATATGTAATTTTATAGCATTTCATTTATTATTATACTTCTGTACTGTGTTGTAAAATCTGAATGTATAAAGTAAATCAGATGATTTCCTTACTGGTATCCATTTATGTTCTTTCTGATGTTTCTACTTCAGTGTAATCAATACACTGAAACCCCTTGTCTGACTACTTTCTTAGGATATATTTCTAGAGAGTTAAATTTGCTGAGTTAAAGGGAATGCCCATGTAAAAACTTGAGATGTGTTGTCAGGTTGCTCTCAGAAACGCACCATTTTATACTCTTACTGGCCATTTCTTGAGGGTGATAATTTTGGAACATTATGACCAGTCCTGGGTTTTGTTAGTCTCCTAAATGCTTATTATGCCGTAAATGGGTACATGCCTTTGTTTGATACAGTGTCCAGAGTTCTCTGGAGCTTCTCTGTGCCCTGGGGAGTCGTGCCTTGCTCAATATACGCTGACTTGGCAGGCAGTGGGGACAGTCCTTAAGACAGACACGGGAGAGAATGGACTCACCTGGGCATTAGTCAATAGACAATAGTTTGAAGTCACAGATGAACTTTGCTGGATGGAAAGTCTATTCTCCTTTCCTTTCTAAACTTTTTCTTTTAAGGCCCAATATAAATAACTCATTCTATTCTTTTTTTTTTCCTTTTCAAAAATAATAGCTTGTTTAGCAATGGGTCGAAGCTGAATGATCATCCAGACAAGTCCAGATCTTTGAAACGCTGATGAACTTACTGGTCTACCATAGGTCTGAGCTGATCACAGACATGTAAATTCTGGCTCCCTAAAACATGGGATAAACAGGGATAAACATGGGATAAACAGGTATAAAAAGGGAAGGGATATTCTTCCATCACTTCTTGAGGAGTTACTTTCTCTTCCTCTGTCTCCCTCTCAATCTCTCTTAGTTCTAAAGGGGATAATTCAGAATTTCTGGGCCTTTTGTTTTTTATTAGAAATTCCACTTTTTTTATTAGACTTTGGTCTTTTGTGCTTCCTAAGACTTAGAAGTTTAGGAAGCAGCTGATTTGAAATGTTTGCCTAGAACTTTGAGTCTCCAGTGGGTAAATGTCATTCATGTATGTGATCCCTTGTGGCCCTGACCCAAAACTATAATGGAAATATAATGCCCAGGTGCGAGCAGCAATACATAAGGAGTCCCCTGTTTACAATAAAACTATTATATTAAACAATTCTTGGAGTTTTAAACTTTGTTTTTTTGTAAAAAATTTAAGTTGGATCAACACAATCATTTTATTAACCTAATGCAACCTTTATAATATCTATTCTTGTTCCACGCAGGCATTCTTACACCGAATGAACCAGTGGGCAGCATCAAAAGTTGACAAAAATGTCTCAGAGGAAACAGTGAAGGTGAGTAGGGACAGTCGGCTCTCAGCCCAAACTCAGGTTTTCCCTAGCTAAAATTTCATCTGTAGAAGGTTTCTTCAGTCCCAGTATAAGTTCTTGTGCCATTCACTTCTGTGGGTGAAAACTAGAAAAAGGAAAACCAGAGTTTGGAAAAAGAGGATAGAGCAGGAGACATAGTAGAGAGTTTATTTCTTGCCAGTGGTTTGAGAAAGTTCAAAAAGAGAAAGAAAAATAAACCTGAGACCAAGAACCTTAGTGTCTGCAAGAGGCAGGGCACTGAGCTCTGTGCGAGAGGAGTGAGCTGGCTCAGGAAGCCAGGATGGGAGGAGATGCAGCTTCCAGCCTCTAATCACTGAAGAACAGACAATTTGGATGGTCCATTGGTGCAGAAAAGAAAGTCTGCACAATACCTGCAACTCAAACAAATGTATAAGCGTTTATTTTTAAACTGCAGGGAAGGGTGATTTTGAAGAGCTTTGGGGAAAAGGATGGGAAATGAAAATGAATTTTGCTATAGTCATTGTTACTCAGGTTGCATAAGTCATTAATACGTATTTTTGATGCTAACCTGCTATTTTACTTGACTGAAAATGAAAACTTTCCAAGGAATTTATGGGTTCTCCTTACTTTATTTCCCTGTAAGTTCAATCCTAACTTTTAAATTCTCCTACCATTTAGTTTGCATGCTTGTGGTTGCAAAAGACACCTATTACTCAAATTGACTTGAAGGTACTTTGGTTCTCGTACTAGGAGCTCCAGACAGAAGAGTAGGTTCAGGACTGGTGACTCAGGGAACTTAATAAGGATGCGAGGTTCTTTCTAGCTCTTGCCTGTACCATTCAGCTTATCAGCTTTGCCCCTGGACTGGCTCTTCCCACAACTGCAAAATGATCTAAGAACTGTCCACACAAAGGCACCTTTCCAGAGGTGGAAAGGGCTGTCCAGTCCAGGATGCCCTTCCTAGGATCAAAGAGCCTGCCAGTCAATCTGCCTGCCCTGTTTTACCTGCAGCCCATTCTTGTTCATGGGGTGGGACCACCGTGCTTGAATTCAGTGATTCAGGCTTTCATGAGAGCCAGGAATAGGTCCTGGTTTTCAGCACTGTGTGGGAGTAGAGAGGATGTCCAGACAAAATTGGTACTCTGCCCTCTGGGTGGGAGGAAGGAATGGATTAGGGATAGATAGCTATCCACTGAAGTTTTCAGCTTGGAAGAGAATACTGTGCTTGCATAGATTTTTTTTTAATTGCTTCACTATTGCACTTACTGACATGTTCATTTATTTACAGATACTGTTCTCAAACATCGAAGATATCCTTGCAGTACATAAGGAATTCTTACAAGTTGTGGAAGAATGCTTACATCCTGAACCTAGTGCTCAGCAAGAAGTGGGAACTTGCTTTCTTCACTTTGTAGGATAAATTTCTGTTTATTTTAAAATCTCTTTCCACTTACATTCGCGGGTTTAGCTTTTGGCCTAGTAGGATGTGGGAATTCAGCATTAGAAGTAAAATCTGACACCAAAAGTTTGGGGTCTTTTAAGGCCAATGAAATCTTCCAGTTGGAGCCAGCAAATGGGAGAGCGCCTCACATCATCCATTTTATTCAGCGAAGAATAAACAGCCTTTTCTTTTTCCCAACAACTTAGGTCTTCGCATCCTCTGTAGCTCTGAATTCTAATGAATATTCAGGCTGCTCATAATGAATGGATTTTTATGTTTCTCTCAAACATAGAGCATTTCTCTCTTGAAGCAGAAATTCTTATTCTCTTAATGGCATGAGGAGCCTTTGATTAGTCAAAACGTCCCCTTGTTAATCAACTGGTGACAAACCTGGGGGTGAGCAAACCTGGTCATCGAGGCACATGTGTGTCTGTGTCTGGGTTTTTCTCCAGGATGGTTTCTCAGAGGGGCATGCTGAGCGGTGCAGAAGGATCAGTCAGTACTTATCTATTTCACACTGTACCTCATGCCTCTATGGTCATTTTGATCACTTTGGGCACAGTAGCTGAAAAAAATTCTGCAATTGATTTGCAAAGTGAAAAGCCACCTGTATGATGAAAATTGTTTTCAGAACTAAAAAATATTTATCTCAAAAAAAGTGCTGTTTGTACCATTCCACTGATGCCAAGTGGCTAATTCGAATCCATATTTATCAAAATGTGATAGGCCTGGCCAGTGTGGCTCACTTAGTTGGAGTGTCATCCCATAAACCAAAGAAAGGTTGAGGGTTTGATTCCTGGCCAGGGTGCACGCCTGGGTTTCATGTTCGGTCCCCAGGTGAGGCATGTGGAGAGGCAACTGATGGATGTTTCTCTCTCACGTCGATGTTTCTTTCCCTCTCTCTCCCTCCTTTCCTCTCTCCCTCAAATCAATAAGCATGTCCTCGGGTAAGGATTAAAAATATGCTACATAATTAATGTTTTATTAAAATATGTAAGAGTATTTTATATCAATTTTTGTTTATTTTGAATTTTTACTTAGTCTTTTTTATAAAGGTAGCTATGTAATTTCTAAATCTATATCTCTTTATGTCGTGAGCAGTCTCTGTATATGTTACGTTTGTAATCCGAAAATATTTCATGAAGATAATTATATTAAAGGGAGAGGCTCCTTGGGTGGAGGAAGATGAACTGTGCTTTCCCTGGATACGGCTGGAAGCCAGGCGTGTTTAGTCCGCTGATCCCAGACTGTTCGATTTCACGAGGGAGTTCTAGTGTCCTGCCAGCTGGAGTGGTTGCTATCTCAGCTCAGGGCTGCGCTTGGGAATCTTCCACCCTGACATCCATTTCCTCTGTAACACGCTATCAATCTGTCATCCATGTATTTAGCTAAACTATTTCTTAAGTTTGTTTTATTCTGGTTCATATCATCTCTTAAAATAAGTAATTCAATATATTTCCTACTGGCTATATAACGTACACTCTGTGTTTCTTTCTGCATGTCCCTAAAATTTCAGGGGACACACTTCTGTTCTAATATTCGATCAATACACTTTCTGTCTTCCTCCTTGATTGGTACTTGTCTGATAGATACTGACCATAAATATTTAGAGAAAATCTCACAGATGGAGGAAAGCTGAGAGATCATAATGGCAAAATTCCTCCTGTTTTGAAAGTATCCTCTATACAGTATCTGTGAAAGTTGTTTATTTATTTTTTACTTGATCGCTTTTACTGACGGCTGTAATTGCTAGAAAATCTTTATATTAATCACAAATCTGCCAATCACTCGCCATCACTCCCTTGCAATTTCCACCAATTGTTTCCAGTTTTGTATTTTGGAGTTACATAAAGTTGTAAATTCTTTACAATACAGCAGCTATTAAAATGTAGCTACCATTTTCTTATTTTATAAACTAACATTGTATCTTTCTGAAATGACCTCTCATATGCAGTCAGTGGCTTCCTTACCTTATTCACCTGTTGCTGAATATTCTCCTGCTTTTCAGTGTTTGTTTTAAATGCCCGGCCCAGGTCGGCACCTGTGAACTTCAGGACACAGTGTTTCTGGAGTTCTGTAGAAACTGGTACACACATTTCCCCGTGCCTCACATACTTTCTTCCCTCTCCCTGCCTGGGAATCATGGATCCCTCTCTCTGGACCCTGCTGTACTGTTACTTCCCTTTTAAAACTCTGACTCAGCTCTCTGAGCAAAGCTAAGGACTCTCTCTTCTCTAAGTTGCTTCCATGTGGTTCATTTACTTATTGTTGCACACATCATATTGGATGATAATTATTGTGTGTAGCTTCTTTCCAATGCTATTCTTTATGGATCAGGGAAAAGAAATGTATATACATATATATGGTATAGCTTGTAAAATATAGTAAACACTTAATAAAGTTGGTTCATAAAATCCCACAGGTTAATATTTCAAGTGGCTAATAAAATGACTCTAATTCATTCTGACTTGAATTTGCAGAAAGACAAGTTCCGTATCTATGATGAATATTGCAGCAACCATGAAAAGGCACAAAAATTGCTTCTTGAACTTAACAAAATTAGAACCATCCGGACATTCCTTTTGGTAAGAATATTATGTGTTAGCATGTGTTACTCTTTGCTGATAGGCCAGCCAAGCACCAAGGAACAGCATCAGTGTGGTGTAGAAACCGCTGTGGGGCCGTTTAACATACCCAGCCTAGGAAGCCAGAGTCCTTCACTCATGTAGGAAGTGAGAGCTGGGAGAGGCCAGTAGTGGGGACACACTGATAATGCCCTCTCCTGGTTGATTTCTGTGCTGTCTGTGAATCCCACAGGTCCCTAGTGAGCAGATTGTGGTGTGGAATAATGTCCCCATGATCAAGTTTTAGACATTTTCATTACCCCCAAAAGTCCTTCATTCCTGTTAACAGTCCATCTCCTCTCCCACCAATCATTGATTTGCTTTCTGTCTCTGGAGATTTGCCTATTCTGGAGGTTTTGTATCAGTGAAATCATACAAAGTATACTTTATTATGCCTGGCTTCTTTTACTGAGTCAAAGGTTTTTGAGATTCATCCTTTTAATAGTATGTATCTATATTCCACTCAAATTTATGGCTGAATACTATTTCACTGGGTGGCTGTACCATTTTGTTTATCCACTGCCAGATAGGAACATTGGGTCAGCAAGTGACTAGGAAAATGGTGGACCTCATGGTGCTGCCTATGAAAGCTCATTTCGGAGAGAGATTGGTTAGTGTAGAAAAGTCAGGAAATGTTCAGTTTGGGCTATTACAAATAATGCTTTTATGAACACTATGTATTGTGCAAATCTTTGTGTGGACATATATTTTCATTCTCTGGAGTAGATACTAAGAGTTGAATTGCTGGGTCGTAGTAAGTGTATGTTTAGCTTTTTAAGGGACTACCCGGGTGGCTGTGCCATGTCCACCCCAGTGTATGAGGACTGCAGTTGCTCTGTATCTTTGCCAACACACAGTATTGTAAGTTCCAATTGTAGCCATGCCACTGGCCGTGTAGTTGTATCGCAAGGTGATTTTATTTGCATTTCTCTATTGACCAATGATATTAAGGATGATTGCATGTGTTTATTAGGCATTCATATATTCTCTTTGGTGAAGTGCTTTTTCATATCTTTTACACATTTTTAAACTGTAGTGTTTATCTTCTATTGAGCTATAACTTTGTTTTGGAAACGGTCCCTATATCAGACATAATTTGCAGCTATTTCCTCCCAGTGCGGGGTTTGTCTGTTCATTTAAAAATATTGTCTTTTGGGCCCTGGCTGGTATAGCTCAGTGTATTGAGCACAGGCCAGTGAACCAAAGGGTCACCATTTTGATTCGCAGTCAGGGCACATACCTGGGTTGTGGGCCAGGTCCCCAGTCGGTGGCGTATGAGAGGCAATCACACACTGATGTTTCTCTCTCTCTCTTTCTCCTTCCCTTCCTCTCTCTCTAAAAATAAATAAACATTTTTTAAAAATAAAAACATTGTCTTTCAAAGATCAAATGTCTTAAATTCTGTTAAAGTCCAGTTTCTAAAATGTTTTCCCTTGTGGTTGTGCTTTTGTTGTCATATTTAAGATATCTGTATTCATCTTACACTTATTTTGATTAATTTGTTACTAAGTGCATTACTCTTTTTGATGGTATTGTGATAGGAATTATCTTAATGTCATTTTTGGGTTACTCCTTGGTAGTATATAGAAATTTAAATGACATTTGTGTATTCTTGTATCTTGTATATTCTCTATTCTTCCATCTTGTGATTTAAATTCATGTATTAATTCTAGAAGATTTGGGGGAATCTTGAGGATACTTTATAGATAAGATTATGTCATCTGAAAATAAAGACAATTTTACTTCCTCCTTTTCAATGTAGATGTCTTTTTTTTTCCTTGCATAGAAGTAGTAAGAATAGACAGTCCTGCCTGGTTTCTCATCATTGCGGGACATCATTTAGTTTTTCATCATTAGGTATGATGTTGTCTGTAGATTTTTTTGTAGATGTTCTTTATTGGGTGGGGTTGAGGAAGTTCCATTTTATTCATAGTTTGTTGAGAGTCTTTAAGACCTTTTTATCTTTTCTAATTATAGGTATTTAAAGCTTCGAGTTTTGCCTTATATGTGGCTTTAATTGTATCCCATACATTTTGACATGTGTTTTCATTTTCATTCAGTTTTTTAAAATGTCTAGTGTCCTTTGTAATTTCTTTGATCCATAGTTTATTTAGAAGTTTGTCTTGGGAGGCAATTCTCCATGGGTCTCATGTCTCTGCATGCTTTGTCATCAGAAGAACTGACTGCCTTTGTTCTGCTCATCTTTAAAATAATGTTTGTATCACAGACCGTCTCAGAGATACACTGTCTTCCTTCTGCGGAGTGGGTAGACATGCGTGCTGCCCTTACAGGAGGTCCGTGCTCCCTAACCTCAGGTCTCCTCTCCTGTTGTACACGTGCACATGTCACCTGGTCCTGTCTGTGTTGTAACATGGGAATTGGGGCTTGGGAAACTGGCCCCCAAACAGTGATAGTCTGGCTTTTGCTATTGCTTTGAGGAAAAAATAAAACCTCTTCCATGTCTCAATCCAGTTGCATCACTAGTCAATGGCAGAGCACACCTGGAACCCTGTTGTCTTTAGGCCTGTTCTTCTACAAAACAATACTACTTCCCTTTAGAAGGAGGATACATCTATGTATCTGTCTATTGTTTACCCATCCCTCCATCCATCCACCCACCCACTCAGCAACCCAGACAACCATTCCATCTATCCATCTACCCATCTATTCATCCATTCATCCATTGATCTATTTCTCCATCTCTATCTCTGCTTCTATTTTTTTCCCTTAGACTTTATACTCAGGAGAATATATGTGAATCAGTTTTCAAGACACAGATCCAAAAGCACATCTTGGCTTCCATAACTAATACGAAAGGCAAAAGTGTTTCTCTATCTCTCCTGTAAATGTTGTTTGTAACTGAGTGTGATCTTCTCAGAGAAAGAAGCTATAGAGAGACATCCTTTCACAACTTCTCAGCAGAAAATTTTGTGATGGAAGAAAGTTTTACATCTTCAGGTTTTAAAAACATGATCGATCATGTCTGTTCCCACCCAGAACTGCATGCTGCTTGGAGGACGGAAGAACACAGATGTCCCCTTGGAAGGGTACTTAGTGACACCAATACAAAGAATATGCAAGTACCCTCTTCTTTTAAAGGTATTTTTTTTGTATTTATTGTAATGTTTTCCTTTTACCTGCATATTTTGCTTATAGTCTTTAAAATATGTTTTTTTCTCTTAAATAGTCTGACCTAAAGAAAGGGCATTCATAGTCATTGTGGTAGGGGAAGGTATAACAAGGTAAAGGGGGAGAAATGGTAATAGAAAAAGACTTGAATTGGGTGGTAAACACACAATGTAATATATAGGAGATGTATTGTAGGTTTGTATACCTGAAAGCTATGTAGTTTTATTAACCAATGTCACCCCAATAAATTCAATTCAAATGGTCATTTTGTCACTAATTTATATGTGGAGTAGGAAACAAATCTTTAAAGAAAAGAGACAAAACATACTCTTTGTAGAAAACATACTTGAGTTTCATTTAGAGTAAGGGTGTTAGTTTCAAGATAGGTCCCATTAAATACATTATGACCAGTTTATATAGCATTTTATCTTCTTTATCTCAAGTAAATTCTCAGTTCATGTGTTTTTTGACTTACTTTAACATTGGTGTTAATGAAGTAAAGGTCAAAGTAACATAATCCAGAGCCTTCTTGATGCTAATGAAATGAAACTCAAAGCTACATAATTTCAGAGCCTGATTTTAAAGCATTAGTACAGAGAATGATGGGGGTCACATGTGACAGTAAATGATGAGCATAGAATGCCAAGGTCAAGAAAACATTGCCTCTGGGAGATAGGAAATGCTTCATGAATGGTTGTAGGGACATTGCCTCCTTATAATGACCAACATTTCTATTATGAAAAACATATTGTAAAGTATTAATTATTGCTTACACTGTAAGGTCCCATGAATAGATGAGAACAATAATTCTGGAAATAGTGTTTTTTAGAACTGTTACCTCAGAATAGACAGTTTGGCGTGGTGGTTGAACACATGACTTCTGAGTTCAAGTTCAAAGTGTTCTGCTTATGGCTGTATGACTAACACATAATCTAATCTCTTAAAGCCTTGGGTTTTTGCTTGTGAGTCAGAAAGGGTAATGATGATAATGATGATGATGAAGAAATTGTAGTGTATACCTACAAGAATATGTATATGTATATATGCATATCTGTGTATGTTTACATATATATGCATATATGAATTATTACCTAATAATTAATTGAGCTATTTAATATAAATTATTTAGCATAGTATATATTCCATAAATGTTAGCCATTATTATTCATACATATTTGATTCTGATTTATTTTAACATGTTAATTACTACTTGGTTATCCAAATTCAAAAATACCCAGAAATGCTATGGACATATTAACTGGTATTCTTATTAATTTACTTTCCAAGAAATAAATTTTATGAATTCGAACTAAAATACACTTTTTACTATGACTTTTGTCAGCTACATAAATTTGGTTTCTGTGTAAAATTTCATTGAAAGGATCTCTTCTTATTGAAAAGCAAGTCGAATTGCTTGGGAGAGCTGGGTCAGAGATCTCAAGTTCTGTACAGTTCATGCAGGCAGGAGCATGGGGAGGGCTGGCATAGACGTGCCTCCTGTCCCTGAGATCCCTCTGGACCTCTGACACGGTGACTCAGATTTGCATGTGTGCTCATCACTGCACTTACTCCCATCCCAAACTTCGGGGTCCCAGGAGTTGGTTTGTTTTAAAAGTCAGAAGGCATAGTGATATTAAGAAAAGTGCTTTATGTCGAGTGGTTGTTCTAAGTCACTCATTTCTGAGAAGGATGATCTCATGTGCTTGAGCTGGCATTTCAAAAGCTAGAATTTGGACAAGTCCTTACTTAGGAAAAAAGAGGCTATTTTAGAGCACCTTTAAGCAGTGGAAAGATGACATCTTCTCCAGTTTGGGGGAGATTATTTTCACAGAGAAACACAAAGAAATGTTTACCTGTGTAAGTAGATATGTTGGTGCTGATGTTTTTCTTTCTGGTAGTAGCAGCTGAAAAATTGTGCTGGTGTTCTCTTTGATTTTGGAGGGCTTTATTTACTCAGAGAAAAATATTATGGGATTAGGCTGTGTGTTAAAGAAAAGATACATTGGTCTCATTTGTGGAGTTTGAAATTATCAGGTTGGCCCATCAGAACAGCGTGCATGGCAGGTAATTGAGAGAAGATTGTACTAGTCATTTCTCTCATTATTTCACATGATTTAAATTAATGTCTAGACTTCACAGATACTCACTGGGCACAAGTCCACAGGGCTCCAAATCTCATATCTTGCAAACTGAGTTGATCTCTTCACATGATTTACAAATATTTCTACTCTTCAGAATTTCTGGAAAAGGTCACCTACCTCCTTTATTTGTGATTCAGCGTAACTTTTTAAACCTTATCTTGGGAGCGATTTAACGTGCACTCATGTGGTGCTTGCTCTGAAGAACAGAGTCTGAACACATTCAATGCAGGGTCAAAGTTTATGGCAAATTTGTGAAAAACAGCAGACCTCCAGAGAATATAGCCACTGCCTATTTTCCCACTGTATGTTAAGAATTAAGAAAATTCTTGCAGTGACTCGCCTCAGGACTTCTGTAGTTGTGGTAATTGTGTTAGTTGCGTGGTGAGGGCAGTGCAGTAAGAAAACAAATGACTAATTAAAAAGCAATGTGGTCACGGCCGTCTAGACTGTGGGTGAAAATGTTTAATTTTGTGTTTCTAAACAACTAACAAGCCCTTTTAATATATTTACAAGATTAAAGATCACTTTGGTTCTGATATCCTGAATGGAAAAAACAAACAAACTATAAATAACAAGCCAACAAACCCTGTCCCCAAACAAAAACAAAAATAAAGCTATTGAAGGTTGTATGGCAGTTGATTCATAGCAGAGAATGAACCTGAGTAATTTGTGAAAACGGCATAAATTGTTCTTTTAATGATGGAGTATTGTGGAATTTATGAACTATTTATTCTGCTAGAGTATAAGGCGCCCTTTAAAAGTTTTACTTATGACATATTTTTGTAGTTTCTCCAAAAATTATTAGAAAACAGAGCACTGAAATTATTTTTGAAATTATGGCACATATTCATTTAAAGATTTACTATTCTGTTAAAGTCTCTGGGAAAATGAAATTAACATAGAAAGATGTGCTTCTGTTAGACCCAAAGTCAAACTTATGAAAAAAAATTACATGCTGCAGGTGAAATATTTGACAACTTGAAAAGAGAAATCGCTTAAGTTAGTTTTTAAGAACAAAATAATTTTTCAGGAAAAATTCAAGTGCCAAAATGTGTATCAGAGTAATAACACATAAATTGATTCAGTCTTTTGTTAGATCTCAATCTTGGTGGAGTTTGTGATGTCACCTCTGAAAGTGGCTCTCACGATCTTTGCAGTTTTCATTTCCTGGTCAGTCTGAACCTGCTGTACCAGAAAGCTGAAGATCAAAGGGTGATTTGTTTTTGTGTATAAACAGGAGTTGCTGAAGCGGACTCCAAGGAAACACAGTGACTATGCAGCGGTGATGGAAGCCCTCCAAGCCATGAAAGCCGTCTGTTCCAACATAAATGAGGCCAAGAGACAGATGGAGAAGCTAGAAGTTTTAGAGGAATGGCAGTCTCACATAGAAGGCTGGGAGGTACAGTCACTGTTTCAGCAATTGAGCTTAAATTAGTTTTGCTGTTTCTCATGCTGTGTATAGAGTGGATCGGCATTGGATGGGACTGCAAATGGTCATTTTCCTAGACAATGCTAGGGGGGCTGTAAGTATTTCTGAAAAATGCTGTCATTTGTATTTTTAATTATCTTTAAAGTGGTAGTTAATTGGCTTATCCTCAAGCTTTGTGCGAGAGCCAGCCAATACTGCGTGGGTTATAAGATTTGATATTTTAGCATTTGTGCATTGGAGTTATCCCTTTTTCCTGCATTAACTGCGGTCAATAAGTATATAGCCTGAACCCTGGAAAGAGTACAGAGAAAGACTAAGGCTCCATACATGTGCTGTGAGACTATTTTCAGACTATAAATTTGGGGTTTGCTGGTAAATTTCATTGTAAGCTGACTTATTCTCTCTAAATTTGAATTTCTTCATTTCTAAAATGAATGAAGTAGCTGTGATGGGATTTTTAAGGTCCATTCAAGATGACAAATTTCATGGGTTCATGATTTATTAAAGAGAGAATTTTCTAATTATAAAAAAGTCAATGAAGAGTGGTATTCAGAATCTGTAATGTGTTTTCAGCTATGGTAACTTTGAGTCCCATTTACTTTGTGGGGGCCCTATATTACTTTAGTGCTACTTGTAGGACAGACTGAAATGTCTGTCTTTCAGTTGTCTTATTTAGATGAGCATGGGCTTTGGACTGGGATACACTTTTATTGTTGTAAAGTAAACAATTATTATAATATTCTTAAAGTGTAGACAAGTTTTAAAGAATTTCTAACCAAATATTGTATCACACAAATCCAAGTAGCTTTTATTGTTAGGGCATTATAATGACTGATTTGTTTCTTATCTTCAATATATTGGTTTCCACTTACATCCAAAATTACAGCCACTTAGATTTGCGAAGAAATCTCGAACTTTGACTTCAGGGAATTCTCCTTTTTATCCATTCTTTCCCATGAATTTTTAAAAATGTTTACTGAGATCTGACTTAGCTTCCTCCTCATTTATATTCTTCCATTTCAAGTGTCCAGGGTGACCCCCATTCAGCACAACTGCTACTTATTCCAATCAATCAAAACAGTCCTGTGTTTTACAGTCGATTCATGATGATAATTCCCTTCCTGGGGAGCGGTTGTCCTGCTGGGCTGAGAAAAATGGACTAAAGTTTGCCTTTGCTGTCTGTTGTCACTGAAATATTGGAAGAAACACTGAGCTTACTTTAAATTAAAGGATTTGTCGGTGATGTCTGCCAGGCCTTTTACCAAAACAGAAACCCCACAGTCTGTTCAGCTCTTTATGGAAATGGGATCTGTAATATTTTTGTTTCCTACTCCCATGAGATCCCCCAAATCGAGTCTCCTGTAGAAATGAGCCATTATTTAAAAAGTATTGATATTTCTTGTGTGGTGCATGCTAGTGGCTCCAAGGAAGAATGCATTGGGGCCATCCTGCGTCATTTGTGACCTGTAGTGGTGGGTGCCTCGGCCTCGCCAGTCTTGCGCTGGGTGTATGTCACTGGAGTGCAAGGAAAGAGCATTGCTACTGAGAAAACTGGTGGGAGGAAATCAGCTGTGACTTCAGTTCCAGCAGTAGGTAATATGAATGTTGGGACCCCAAAAGAGTGGCAACACAAAGTCTCCTTGAGGAGATTTGAAAATGATTGCACAAGTCTCAGCCATACAGTGATTTGGGAGTTTGGGGACTTTGAGGAACTGCTGGTTGGAGCACAGCCACACCAATAACTTGTGTTAAGAACCCGATTCCTCATCTCAGCCCATCACCTTAGAGAGATGGGGCACGCTGTTTGAGTACTCAGCCTGGGTCCCCCTTGGAAGATTAGGAGCAGCTGCTATCTGATGGGACTCAGAGGTCATGAAACAGAGGGACACAGTCATCCTTCATCCAGGATGAATCCCAGCTCGGGAAGGAGTGGGAATGGTTAGTTAAAGAGCTTTCTTTGAATTGCTAACAGGTTTGTTCTGTTTACAGACAGCTTTGCATCTGTTTAGAGTGACTCTCCTGGGGTTAGTTAGAGCAGAGCCAAGGACAGACAGCTGTTGGTGTGACAGTCACAGGACAGAGAGTTTCTCAGAGTTTTTGAGGCTTAGAGTCTTGAGCTGACCTTGGGAACCAGCTCCTCCTCTAGCGCTTTCCACGACGTCTTGCACACCTTCAGGGCCACCTTGGACATGACTCTTGCTCCTGTAGCTAGAGAGCTAGCACTCTCTTGAATGGCTGGGAACTTGCCTTATTTCCACTTTAGGGGAACTATTATTTCAAATAACTGAATTATCTATGATCTTGTTTCCCCATGCATTACATGAAGGCTTTTTACAGTCAAAATCTCTCAGGTAAACTTGCCTGTTCTAAAAATTAGATCTGTCAGCATTTACATGGTGACTGCCACTACAGAAGACCTATAAGTGCTTTAATTGCTCATATTTGAAGTGTACCTTTGATTAATATAATTTATGATATCTCAGTCATATACCTTATCCAACATTCCGAACATTCCACAAGATATTCTACTAAAGGTAATTGTAGAGCAGTATTCACTGCTTGAAAACCAATTTATTAACTGTTAAATCAGGGTCATTGATTCATTTTGTAGAACAGGACTGTTCTTAGTCTGCTTTTTGGTGGGTTGATAGTATTGTAACTATATTATTATAATTTTTGGGATGATACTGACTGATATTGACAAAGGGGTATCAATAAACATCATATCTTTAGTAATTCACCTTTATATCCTTGATATGATTGATCTCTTAAATCAGGGGGAAAATCACAATAAAAGATCAGAGGGTGAATTATTAATATATCAAGTGTTGAAAAAAATAAGATTCAACATAATAATTTTGTTTTAGAAAGTAAGGAGAAGCAGTTGTGTTTTAGAAAGTAAGGAGAAATCTGATACTTGTTGCTTACCTTGTTACACGGGGAAACACAACACTGCAAGACCGTTGAAAAACCGCCTCTTGTTGGTTTCGGAATCTGTTTGCTGCATAATTGGATGAAATTTATGTCTGACAGTGTCCTGACTCCAACTCATGCTGTCTTGTATTTTGCAACTGTGAGTCTTGCAAAGGTTATGGTGAGACCCATTTCTTTTTGTCTCCTCCCTGAGGTGATTTGGTAAGTCTACCTTAAGGTAGACTTGGTTTATAAATAGTCCTTGTTATTTAAGGGTAAGTGATTGGGGAAAGGACCATTAAAAGTGAATTCACATAAAAGGGAGAGCAAAATTTCACAGGTGGGACAGGGGGAAAGTTTGATTGGGACTTTATCTTAGTGAAATGAGAATTTATATTATTGGTTTGTTTTATATAGTATGTAACAGAATTTAAGTTATATTTTCTGTTAATAATTTGAATCTCGAAAAGAGTGAATCAAACGCTGAGTCTTTTTTTTGGAGAGGGCATACTTTTTTGACAAAATTGTATAATAAAACAATGTGACATTCTTTATTTCACATTCAACTTTCCTAGTAGTTTTAAAGTATTTTTAAAAGAACATTCAAATGCTTCATTAATTTTCTCAAGAAACTCCTTTGATATTGGACCCATTTTTCTATGGGCACCCATTGACTTGTGCCTCTTATCCACCTTCCGTTCCTCCCCGCAGGTGGGTGTGGCGCAGGTCACTCTTTTCTGTGGACACCGGGTATGTGAGGGAGGAAGTTTCAAGGCCACTTTCATGGCTCATCTTTCCCCAGATTATGGTTTCCTCTCAGCAGTCACTCTGTGCTTCTCTGATGTTGACTTTCAGCCTTGAGTTGACAAGATAAATGAGATAGCCCCTGGTGTGAAGCAGAGAGAGCCCAGAATGAGGTCAGATAATCAGTGAGTGGTTTCCGATTACAATGATTTTTGCCACCTCGTAGCTGCAAAAAATCAGCAATGAACCCTTAAGTAACGTATTTTGAAAGAACTTGTTAACACCAAAAAGATCAAATAGTTCAGATATGGTTTGGCAGTATTGTTTTTTTTGAGAAGAGGGTTTATTGTTGCAGTTCTTCATAAACTATGATTTTAATGTTTAAGAAACATTGGAAATTAGAAAAGAAACCATGAAATAATAAATGCACGTGCTTCTGATGGCCTTTTTGGCTTTTGTCATTTTCTGAAAGTATACTTTGGCACCAACAGATGTCCTCTCATAAAATGTAGCATGCTTCTGCATTAAATTCTGTAATGGTACATTGAAATTTAATAGTTTTTCATGTAGACTGACCATATAATTAATTGGCAGCCTGTGATGTATTTCAAGTTCTAGACTGAACTTGAAGCTTTGTTCAACTTAGCAATTTAGATTCCGAATTGCTATAATTTTGTTGCTGGATTCTGCAGCCTGAGGCTCACACGACAGGAAGAGATGCTGGTGGTGACAGTGGGGCCCCAGTGGGCTGCTCTGGGTCCTCATCTCCGACTGAAGTCAACGTGTGCTTTTATCTGAGATCAGGCTGATCTCAGCCGTACTGCAGGGTAATACTTACATGGTGTGCCTCATGAATTCAAGGAAGACAATTACTGGAGAGTGATGGAAGCCTGAAACCACATCATGGAATGAACTGTATCATTAATGATAAGCTTACATAATCATAAACACACACAGGCCATGCCTGACTCATCACTGTTCACTCATACCAGGCCTCATTTATTAATGTTCTATTCTTTCAGTGATCACACTGCATTTAATTGTGCTCATGTTTCCTTTTCTTTCACTAGTGTACATGTTTCTTGGGAGCTGGTGTCATGTCTCAAGTTCTGGGTCTCAGCATCTAAGACAGTTGCTGACACATAGTGGATTCAGTGGTAATTACGTGCAGATATAATTATGTTGTAGTTATGTATTAATTGTTAGTGGCTTCTTACTATGTTTGGATACTCTTGGCTCTTTTGCTTAATGTCAGTGATTCTGACATGGTTCTATTTAAAGTCCAGTGTTTGCTTCATTATTCTGCTACTTTGATGTTGTATAATAATCCGTAGCATCCTGTTCTGGTTTATGGTTCACAAATACACAGATACATTTTGTGAGTTTTTTTCACTTCCTTGTGGTTATAGTTGAACACCCTGAAGTTTGTTTGAAATTCAGTCATTGTAAAGGTACTTCTACAAGGCAGGTGCTGTTTCTCTCGTGAACATTTACAGGTGGGCTTCTCTCAGCGTATTTCACCCTTTGCACTGCTGGGCTGGTGGTGATGAAGAGAAATAAGATAGGTGCACAGCTTGGGGTAGAAAAAGAAGCTTTTGGAGGGAGAGGGGCCTTGATGAGTACATTTTCCATCTCTGGTCACATATTTATTTATGATTACTTCCTACCTTGAACGGTCAGCCTGCCTCCTTTCCTGATCTAATGAAAGCAGTCATTCATGTAACTTCCTAGTAGAGGTTTTTACAGTATTTAATTCGATATATGTAATTCATTGCAAACAAACCATCTCTGATTTCACATCATCAATTTAGCTTCCTAGAGGGAAATGTATATTAATTCTAGATGATAAAAGTACATTACTTTGGTTATATTTTAAGGGGCTGCTGAAAGACAGCAAGGCTCCGAATCAGAGAGAGTAAAAACATTATTTAAAAGTATCTGCATTAAATATGCACATATACATATTACATTATACGTAATGGCTTTGGGACAGTTCAAAATTAATGATTTATGCAAAGCCCTCTTATTTTTTAAAGTAACTCTTTCACATCTCACCTCTGAGATGTTGGTTTATGACTGTGATACATCAGCACCCTGTTCCAGTGGCTTCTTATTCTCACGGACAGTATATTTCCCACGGTCACAGTTTTTTCTTAGTGCAAGAGGCTGCTTCCTCTGACAAAGGCATGGTGACCCATGGAACAGTTTACAAAGCTGATTTAATTCAATAAACATTTTTTGGTAAAACTTTAGGATTAGGAAGACCAGATGTCAGAGATTTATACCAGGAGAATATGTTCAGCACATTGACTGGGATGGTATAGAACTGTAAAAATCTGACCTTAGTGCTCACCTAGGTATAAGTGTTTACTGTATACATGGTTGTTCAGTGACTGAATATGGATTTGTGAAAAGTATATTTAAAAATTAACATCAGTCTTCAAAATGAAGACAAAAATACTATCCAGGTAAAGCCCTTCCTGCAGATTTAAGTGAATGTTCAGTGGTGATGAATATTCCGTGGGGATGAACACACTGGAGGTGTAACTGGGACCCCAAAATGTGCGATAACACCCCTTCAGGTACTGGGCTGGAGAGGCAGCAGGGACCGCCTCCAGCGGAGACCTGTGCTCCCCTTTGTCTTCATGTTCGCGTGGTTGCTGCATTGAACACTTGAGCACCTGAGCTCAGGTAGTCAAGCCTCAGAAGCAGTGCTGCTAAAAGTGTTGGTGGGAAACTCCGTGCATCAGCACCTGCAGGATGGTCTGGAGGGCAGTCCCAAGCCAAGTTTTAACTAGCCCATCAGGTGTGTCTTCCACATGCTGAAATTTGAGAACCATTGTCCTAGAGGCTTTGATCTCCTCCTCTGAGCTGTCTGGCTTGTTTGATTTCCTAGCTCATTCATCCAACATTCTCTTTATAATAGACTTTAGTGCTCCTGACATTTACCTCACAATCTAATGCTTGTAGTCATATCTTATTTCAAGTTCTCCTGTGAATTTTGTAGGTTGGTGTTTTTACCCCAGGCCCCCAAAACTCTGATAAGTGAAAAAATGCACATAATTTTTAAAATATCATAAATTTTATATATTTTAAAGATAAAGCTATAAGATTTTTTTTTGCTACAGAGACAGGTAGATTTTTTATTATTTAAGTGAAGGGAAAATGTGCAAACAGTATATTTTCTGGTAGTAACCCTTTCATAATATAACATTATCTTCATGCCTTGGCTTTTATAGGCTACTGTAAGAAATAGTGTAAAGTAGGGTATTTTGTGCCTTTTGTAAAGTTGCTATTAACAAAGCCACTTTTCACAATGTTGTGTAAGTCCCTAGTGTAGCTATCAATGTGACGTTTCCTTTTTTTATATTTTGAATACTGTTTGTCCATCTTAGCTTTTTTCTTTCAAGGTAGAGGTAGTATTCACTATAAATAAGAAATTGCCACTGGAATTGGGATTGATATTCACAATTGATGACAGTTTTTGCTTAATTATCACATGACAAAATATGTGAAGTTGTGTAAATGTCTGACAGTACACACACACGCACACGCACACACACCCTTATGATGAATGGAAAGAAGAGGGAAATATCTAAAAATTAAAGTGTATTTGTAATATACATACTTAAATTAACACAACAACACAGTACTAATTAACTTCCCTTTAGGAAGTTTCTTATTATAGTTATGAGTCATCATTTTAACTTAAAGATTTATAATTGATCAGAAAACCGGTATTAACTATTGTGGAAATGTGAAATCTAAAGTTCATGTTCTGAGTTGTAAATATTAAAAGCAAAAATTAAACCATTAAATTTAAAAAGAATCAGAAATTTAGCCCCAGATTTAAAGAGACCAGACATATTTAAAACGGAAATATTCTTGTGGATAAAAATTTCCTTTTTAAAAGGCCAACTTGGTGCACCAGTTTTGATCGGCTCCAGTATTTACAGTGGCTCAGAGCGGATGTTCATGCTCAGTTCCCAGAGCAGCGCGTGGCCTGTTCCGCTCGCCAGGCGGGAATCAATCATTCATTCCTGTGTGAACGATGCAGGGGCGCAGGCTCCTTCCTTCTCGTGGCTCCATTGAACTGTCAGTGGTTTGAGCTTGTGTTAAGAATCAGTCTTGTCACTAAACCATGACTTTAGTGGCTATTCAAGGCTTATTTAATGGCTGTGTGTCTGTGCCAACTTTTAATATGTACGGTGAAAAACTCTGTGGGAGGTTTAAATCTATGTATTTAAAAAGCTCTTTTTAAATACACAGATTTTTTCTTTTGTTTTCTTTTTCCTCTCTGCCCTTGGGCTGGGTCTATAAGTTGAGTCCTGCTAAAAATTTCAATGTTTCCTTTTTCTTTGCCATGTGCCCATGGGGCCCCCTCCCCATACCAGGCAAAGAGAGGAGGAAGAAAGGACAATGAGGAATGCTAATGTTATGAGCCAGTTTGAAATCATTTCCTTGTTAAAGAACATAAATAACATGCATCATAGATGCTCATGTATGTATGCATATGTAAAATAGCTAAGAGAGACCCAGAATCTCTCAGCAGCAGTTGTCTTGTCTGAGACCAAACACAAGGAGAGTGGAAGGAAAGGAGGCCTGAGTTCTGTGTATAAATATTTGTACTGTTTGAAGTGTCATTCTGTCCATATACTGCATCTTCAAATAAATACAAATATGCATTAAAGGAGTAAAAGAAGTACATGTGAAAGCTGACATGAAGCAGTCAGACATCTTCTCCATTTTTTTCTCACTCAGGGGTCCAACATCACTGATACCTGCACTGAAATGCTCATGTGTGGAGTCCTGCTGAAGATTTCTTCTGGGAATATTCAAGAACGGGTGTTTTTCCTTTTCGATAATCTTTTGGTGTACTGCAAAAGAAAACACAGGTAAGAGGATACACAGGTAACACTTCAGAAGCCGTCTGTCTATCTCACAGGTGCCACCTTTTCATTTGTGTTTGGTCCTGGGAACTCATGGTATCATCAGCAAACTTCGACATGCTTGGTCTGTCCTGTGACCCCTTCACCTTCTGATAACACCTGTCTGAACTGTGACTGTGACTGTCCATCAATGTCACTGCCTCCCCAGGAGCCTTCTGGGGGCTCCACTAAGCTGCTCATGTCAAAACCGCCACTGACCTCTGTGTTTTCTAAGTAAGTGGTTATGTTTCTGCTCTGTACAGTTTTACTTGTTTTCTCAGCAGTATTTAACTTAATTTGGCACTTCTTCCTTCTTAAAACACTTTCATATCTTTATTTGGTAAAAACTTTATTTGGTGTATAGAGCACAAATAGTGGAGCACTGAATCAGAATGTGTTGGGTCCAGTTGGGAAACTACTACTGTCACCTGGGAGCAGAAGTCAGTGGGCTGGGCTACAGTAGATGAATAGATGTGGGAAGATTTTTATATGTTTTAAATGGAGAATCAATGAGATTTTCTAATGGATTGGATCTGGGAGGATGAGTGAAATATAGGACCCAAGGCTAATGCCTGTGGTTTGGAATCAAGGAAACTAACGGTTAGGGAAAACTGGGAGAGGAACAGTTTTAGAAGAGGAAATAAAGAAATTTGGGGGGAGATTTTTAAGTTAATATTTTTTCAATGACTCTTTATATTCAATAATATTTTGTATTAGTTTCAGATGTACAAAATAGGAATTAGACAATCATATACTTCACAGAGTATTCCCCCTGATATTTCCAGTACCTAACTGGCATCATACATAGTTATTCTAGTATTATTGATTATATTTTCTATGCTGTACTTTACATCCCACGAGGAAATCAAGAATTCTATTTCTTTCATGTTGCACTGGCTTTTTCTCCTTCCTAGTTGCTCTTCCCTGTGAGTTTTGCATGGCCGGGTTCTCCATGACTTACAGATCTCATCTAAATGTCACTCTCTCAGAACTGTCTTCCCTGACCACCCTGTCCAGGGAAGCCTCTCAGCGCCCTTATCAGTATCTGCAAAGTGTATGCTGATATCTTCTCCATTATTTATTTGTTTATTTTCTACCACATTTATAAGATTAGACAGTAAGTTTTGTGAGAACAAGGGTCCTGCTGCTTTTTCATTACTGTTTCCCCGGAGACTGGAGCAGACCTGTTATGGAATAGATACTCAAGAATTATTTGTTGAGTAAGTGAATAAATGATTGAACAAACAAAACCCAAGCATGTCCCTGGTATAACTTAGCCATCGTTAAATAATATTATGTATTAATGTTATTGATGTAATTGTTTGTTTTGAAGCATAGATATGATTTTTTTCAGAAGGTATTTGTTTGATAGGATCAAACTTGTGAACACTCCTGTCCACTCATCCTAATGACCATTCAAACTCATACTTAGGAAGGAAGTCATAGACTCAAGATATGCAAGTACTCAACATTACAATATAGAGTAAAATTATTTTCAAACCATAGGCTTTTAATCTTTAAAATTCAGTGCAGCCATTTTCTGAAGGGACCCAAGGTCTGATTGAATTAAATGTTACAGTACCGATACACGCTTACTAGAACTTCACATTGATTTTTATCATCTGTGGGTCAAGAGAAATATAAAAAGCCTATACAGAGTTAACTGTGGGATCACAGAGAAAATTAATACTTTGGAAAATAGGACCCGGTGATAGATTCCAAGCCATGATTATTTGCCTGTGACTAAAACTGTCATCAAGGATGTTAAGCTTTTTAAAATATGATTGGTTTTAAAATGATGTATCAATTGATAGGAAATTCTTTTTTGTAGCACACCATGATACAATTTCCTATGTGAGAGAATATGCAGTTACTGGCTTCTTAGTGGGCTCTGCATTCTTTTTTTTTAAAATATATTTTATTGATTATGCCATTACAGTTGTTCTATTTCCCCCTTCATTCCCCTCCACCCTGCACACCCCTCCCCCCATCCCCCCACTTTAGTTTATGACCACATGTCTCAAGTTCTTTAGATTCTATATTTCCCATACTATTCTTGTCCTCCCCCTATTTTCTACCTACCATCTATGCTACTTATTTTCTGTACCTTCTCCCCCCTTCTCCTTCTCCCATTCCCCTGTTGCTAACCCTCCATGTGATCTTCATTTCTGTGGTTCTGCTCCTGATCTAGCTGTCCTCTTAGTTTGCTTTTGTTTTAGGTGTGGTTCTTAATAACTGTGAGTTTGCTGTCCTTTCACTGTTCATATTTTTTATCTTCTTTTTCTTAGACAAGTCCCTTTAACATTTTATGTAATAAGGGCTTGGTGATGATGAACTCCTTGAATTTGATCTTATCTGAGAAGCACTTTAGTTCTGCATTCTTTATCTTTGGCCTCCAATGACGCCAACTTTTCCAGTTACCCTGCTGGAATCCTGGTGTATAGCATTTATTTGGGCTTATTAATGAGGGACATTTGGAGGTTGCTTTCAGAATGAGCATGAGAGTGTAAGGTCATGAAGGCCTGGATCTTGAAGACCATTTAGGAATGATCTTCACTCTTTCCCAAAGAAGGAAGTTAGGGACTGTGAAGACATCTTGTGATACCTCTTTGTACTCACTCCATGGTGAGTATCAAACTGCAGAGGAGAGGGAACATGAGTTGGTGCACAGCTATGTCCTAACTTTTGCCATTTTGGTGTGTCTGTGCCACACAATAAATGAGTAATGATTTCAGCATGTTAAATTGTTACCTAGACTGCGTCAATAAGTCAACTTGAATAGTTCAGGGCAATTGAAATCTCTTGAGTGACTAGGTAATCTTTAATCCTCTTGAACTATTCCTTACAATCTTTCCTTTAAATTTAATTGAAAAGATTTAGTTTTTAAAACAATCTCTCCTGAATGTTTAGTGACTCAACTATAAGCATATACAATGACCTAATTCATTATTACAAATGCTCATCTGTAAACCTGGGTCTTTTAAATCTTTGTATCACATAATTTTAAAGATTAAAGGCCAGTGCCAAACCCACTATAAGCAAAGTTTTGGAATGTTTTGGACTATTTTGAAAGTAAATAAAACCCTTATGAAGGAACATAAATGTATTAAGAGACTTACTAACAAATATACACAGTTATATTCCCTATAAAAATATAGGAAAATATGTTCACTTGGGTAATGCTTAAGAACCAGCAGAGGTCATTTCTTTACAGAGGGATCATGAGAACTAACTGAATTTTACTGGGGAATTGCCAGCTACCTACTAAAAAATGAGAACTGAAGGTGAAAGAAATCACAGGAAATTTTAACCCACTATTAGTGTCTGTCCGAGTTTGACTTGGCACCATTGATATCCTATATTGAGCAAAAGTACATGTTTACCTTTCCATCTACATATTGTTTTGAGCCCAGACCTTCGGTTTATTTAAAAAACTAGAAATAAGTCACCTCTCGTAAAGCAACCAGTGCTGTTAGGAATGGGAGAACACGAGTAAAAAACACCAATAGCATAATGTTTGATATCACTGATCGAATTGGTACCTCTTTTTCAAAGATTTGCTTACATTATGTTGCTTCAAAATTGTTTTCCAGTAAGTAGAATGATAATGATTTTGTGATTTCCTTCCTTTATAAGACGGTTGAAGAACAGCAAGACATCTACAGATGGACATCGATACCTTTTTCGTGGCCGGATCAATACTGAGGTGATGGAGGTGGAGAATGTGGACGATGGCACAGGTGAGTGATGAGATTTACAGTGAAAAGTTTGATGGTAAATTCCCCCGTAAGACAGGTTCTCCCTTGAAGAATTCACATGCAGTGCATCTGAGCTTAGAAAGACTTTATTAGGTAGAGCAGTCAGAGGAAAAAGGCCAAAGGGAGAGAAGGACTGTTGCCATAACGGGAGTTTATATTCGGCTGAAACACACTAACATTAAACACAAAGACACAAAGAAGTAGCTGAGTAGGAATAGCAATGCACAGAGGCACACACAGCTCCTAGTCTAGAGAGTGTGAATGCAGAAAACACTTAGTGAATGAATTGATTTTCTTTAAGTTATGCTATGTTTTATAAGCATGTATGTGACATCATGTTTCTCTAATACATTCAGTGTAGAATATATAGCAAACTCTAGCTTTATTTTAACTCTACATACATTATTAATGTAAACAGGCTGCCGATTTGCTTACACAAGAAAGTTGTGGATGGGGGTGGTTAGTGTAATTTTAAGTGCTCATTTTAAGTTTTGATTTCACAAAGATAGTAAACTTTTGCTCTGTAGGGTTGAAGGTATAGAAATCATGATTAGTCACAGATTTTTAAGTAAAATGAGGTTAAAATACATTACTTACTATTTGGAAAAAAGTCTGTAATATAAGTGCTTAGTTAATTGAATTACTTTTCCCAATGATTTTAATTAGAATTTCAAAGGTATGCTTCTAAGAGAAAAGACAAGATAATATAAAATATGTTAATTGTTGATAAATGACTTTTATTCCCATGTAGAGAAAAGTTTTTGTAACTGTTGATTTAAACATGGGGTTTGGGGCACAGATTAGTGCTGTCCCCCAAACCTTCCTGGGTCTCAGAGGGGAGCAGGGTGACTATAATCTGCTAGGAACACAGGTTTTCAAATCCTCACCTGTGTGCCATTCCTTTATTGTATCGTTAGCATCCAATCAAATTGTCCAGTACTTAAGATAGTGAACTGTGGTTGCCTCAGGTATGGGAAAAAGACATGCAGTGAGCGCAATTCAGGTTATTCCCGAGACAGGGCACTTACCGTGGGAACGAGTCGTGCTGTGGAGATGATCCTCATTGGCTGATGGTGGGATAAAGGGGTGGAGCTGTCAGTCAGCAGGGACAGAGAAACCTCACACTTCCAGCCCCTTTCTGTGCTGCAGACTTCAGTGCAGTTGTAGACTCCCGGGATCACACATGGGACCTAGCAGGCTGCCTTTCCATGACACGGCGTGTGCACATTAGTGCCTGTAAGGTGGCAGTAGCTCATTTTATACCTTTCCGAGGAGACTGTCTAGTGACACTTAGAATGCTACTGTCTAAAATGTGAACAGCTCTCTTGCTTCTGTAACCTGAATGCTCAAGAGAACATCCTAAAGCCTGCATTTTGCTCGAGGTGGAAGTGAGATAGGGGAAGGCAGTCAACTCTCCACGCTGTTGCTCTAGTGCTCTGTTTGTTTTCTTCCCTTTTTCCATGGCAGCAGAGCTCCTGTGTCTCACTTCCTTCCTTCTCTCAGATGATCTGGTTGTCAGCACGTATACCAACTACCCTGGTTGTCTAAGTGAATGTTCTATTGATTACTTGGTTACTGAGCTCATGGGAAACTGGAGCCCTAGATAAAGACATGTAAGAGTCCAGGGCCTTCGGAGGGATGGGCATAAAGTGCTGTCCTCAGTGTGCCTGTGTCAGATGTGGAGGAGCGAGAGCTTGTGAGGGGCAGTGTTAAAAATGATTACTAAGCACGGACTGCATTTAATGTACAAACATTGTGTTAATGTTTTTGTTCTTCAACACACGCATGTAAAGCAACGACAGTTTGAAGAATTTACTGGTTTTAGTACTTTTGTGAATTGAATGATTGCATAGATATGATACTATATATAACATTTGCTTATTCACCTTTGCCCTCAATTTCCAGCCGACTTCCATAGCAGTGGACACATTGTGGTTAATGGATGGAAGATACATAACACAGCAAAAAACAAGTGGTTTGTGTGTATGGCAAAAACACCCGAAGAGAAACATGAATGGTTAGAAGCTATTCTGAAAGAAAGAGAAAGACGAAAAAGTAAGTATATGCATTGGGCAGTATTATACTTTGTGAAGACTCTAGAACTTAGCAGAAAAGCACATAATGGGTAAAAGTTGTAAGAAAGTCAAAAGGTACTTAATATTCACTTGAATTTTCTATGTGAAGTAAGCCACATGCTTAAATATTTTCCAAATACTTCCAATAGTTACTTACTAAAATAAAAGACAAGGATACCTTATATAGTTAGCAAAGTAATCGTATTGTCACTGGCAGTGTCATTTTAGTAGAGTCTTAGTCTGCTCAGGCTGCTGTAACAAACTGCCGCAGGCTGGGTGGCTTGCAAACCACAGAAACTTACTTTTCACAGTCCCGGAGGCTGGGGAGTCCAAGCTCATGACACCCGCAGATTCTGTGTTCTGTGACACACCACTTGCTCATACGAGGCCTTCTTGCTGTACTCTCACAAGGTGGAGGAGCGAGAGGGCTCTCTCTGGAGTCTCCTGGAAAAGGACAGCAGTCACATTCATGAGGGTTCTGTTCTCATGCCCTAATCACCTCCCAGAGACTCCACCTCCTAATGCCATCTCACTAAGATTAGGCTTGAACATATGAATTTGGGGGGCACAGACGTTCAGCCTACAGCAGATAGTTTCACTTGCTTTAAAATGTGTTCAGTGCTCGTTGCACTTGCCATTTCTGAAGCATCATCACTGAGTTTCCAATTAAGAGACAAGTTTAAATAATATGCAGTGTTACAGTGCCTCCAGTAATTCTTCTCTGTATATTTAATAGGACATTGAAAATTCTTAGGCCAAATACATTAGCGTCCTCATTACTGAAGAAGACACTTTGGGTATATATTAACTTTTTTAAAATGTTACAATGCTGTTGAATATAATGTAATATAACACAATAAAGGAGCTTGTTCACAGGAGGTGGCCTAGCTCAAACATGCTTTCTTTTTTTAAAGCAAGATTTGCAGGAGGTATTTGGCCTGGCAATATTCAGTTGTGTGGAGTTTGTCTGCAAGTAACCATATTTCTGTAATTCAGCTAGGAAATAGAAATGCTTGTATAGCTACTAGTTTCTTTATCAAAGAATTGATAGGACAGTGTTTATACCTTTCTCCAGAGATCTAGGAATAAAACATTTCATTGGTGATAACATTTTAGAACTTGAAGAGCCCTTTCTATCTTCAGATATATTCCCTTGAAGAATGAACAAACTTTCTGCCTTAATTAAAATATCCATCATCCACAGTGGTGTAAGAATTTCCAAATACTTACTTCTTTGATTGATATTGGATGAAGAACCAGATAGGGATTTTTAAGACAAAGATAATGAATGCATAATGGACTCCTGAGTTTTACTGAATCTAGCAATTAATTCAAACATGTTAAATTATTTAAAAGATAAGTTGAATTCTTATCACACCAAAGCTTTATCTTTTTCAGAATGACTGTGCACGTAGATATATCCAAAACCCCCCATAAAAGGTGGAGGACGGGAGAAAGAGTGAAGGAAAGAAAGAAAACACATTCTATAAATCTGTACATGTTAATAGGCTCAGTTCTTACTGATTTATTCACTATTATTGACAAATGTTAATGGCTCCTATATTGTAAAAAATAAAATGTTAGTAAGAAATTTTGTAGCTAGTAGACTAAAATACTTGAAGTATTTCTTCTTCTTCTGCGAGAGTGTTCATGAAAGTGTCGTTGACTGAGTGGCTGTGTTCCCAGGACTTCCACCCTGTTGCTGTCTCCTCTCAGCTCGATTCCTTACCTGGTCAACAGAGCAGCTTCTACTTCTACATTGCCAGTCTCTATGTCTAGACTTGTCGTCTCTCCTGAGCTTCATACTTATGTATTTCACTGACCCATGGACTCCGCCTCAATGTCCAGAGTCAATGTGCTCAGCCACTGGGCTCCTCCTTACCCCAACCCATTGCCCACTGTCCACCCCCCACCCCCATTCAGTTGTCATGTCTAAAGCCTGCAAAGCATCCTGATTCTTCTCTTGCCTCCATGCCTACAGTTCACCCGGTGGTGTTTCTTCCCAGTACCATCTCCTACATGTTTCTCAACTTTGTACCTATTATTGTCTGTAGGGGCTTGAACTTACCTGAACTTTTGCAGTTTCCGCCAAATAGTCTCCCTCTATTTAAATTCTCTCCCTTTCATCTTGTCCTCTTAGTTTCCAAAGCAACAATACTTCCTTTCCTTCACCACCCTGCCTTCTCCCCCTCTGGTTAAAACAGAGGGTTCCCCAAGACCTAAGGAATGAAGGGCCTTGAACTGCTGTTGAACAAGGACCCTGCCTAACCCACTAGCACCTCTCCTGTGCTCTCACCTAAACCCAGGGCTTCCTGATGGTGCTGATTCACCTCAGTTAGCTCTTGTGACTCCTTATTCTCTCTCTGCAAATCCTATTCATGCCTATGCGTGCAAACGAGGCCCTTCTGCAGAGTCTTTCTGGCCATTTCTCAGATAAGGGAGCTACTCTGAATGTGCTTCTATTATATCACAATTTTTCCTCTAAGGCTGTCTCTGGGGCCACCCAGTCCAGTCCTGCTGACTGAGCACTGCAGGAGGAGTCCATAGAGTGAGATTCCACCGCTCTGCCTCCACTGGCCAAGCCACGTGCCTTTGAGACACATCTTGCACGAAAGTGCCAAATGGCCCTGGGCAACTGCCTCCACTATCTCCCTGTATCCCATGAGCTTCTGGAAAACCAGGGCCCTATAGTACAGGGCTCGTGTGCACAACCCGAGCACGTGGTAGACATGCAGCAAATGTTTGTTTAATGATGAGTGAATGAAGAGACTTTTCCAGTTACCTGTCTTCTGTTTGATTTTCAATAGGTTTAAAATTAGGAATGGAGCAAGATACCTGGGTAATGATCTCTGAACAGGGTGAGAAACTTTATAAGATGATGTGCAAACAAGGAAATCTGATCAAAGACAGAAAAAGAAAACTGACTACGTTCCCTAAATGCTTTCTTGGAAGGTAGGGTTGGTAATCTGGGTATATATATATATGTTCACTATCTCATGTGTTGTTTTTCCTTAAAAAATATTCTCCTAAGCATTTAAAAATATTTCTTTACTATCTGCATTTCCTGGACCATAGTGGGATGAGCGAATGGTCATAGAGCTGGGAACCATGAGAAGGAAACTTAAGGCATTTATTCACTCATTTACAACTTCAGTACTTTCTGATATACTGTGTTCCACGGGCGAGGCAGAGGGCAGGCAGGCAGGCGAGTTCGCCTGTAGGGGACAGAGTCTGGCAAGGACATGAGTACAGGGCCTGAGAGAGAAGACTGAAGACTGGAAAAACACAGTCTAAGCAACCAGTTAATTTAGAATTTTGACTGCTGGGTTCAGGATGAAAGGCAAGAGATGAAGAGTCTGAAAAAGTGGGTCGTGTGAGGGGCAGGCATGGAGCAACAAGCAGGGAAGTGGCCTGGGTGTTGAGCGTAGATGGGTCGTGTGTGCCCCTGGGTTTTTGCAGACCGTATGGCGCAAGAGCAGCCCCTGCTGGGTTAAGCAGGCGGAGCCAAAGGGAAGAGTGGTGCCTCAGGTACCTGCAGGAAGGCCAGGCTCCAGGCTGGATTCTTTTCATACGTTGTTTCTAATCCCTGAGTGCGTACTTACATTTTATAAAGAGTCAAAGACTAGTGATCAGGGAGTTTAACATGCCCAAGTTCATGTAGCTAGGAAATGTCAACGTCAGTTCTATAAAAGTAGGCTAGAGTAGCAATTCAAAGCCCCAGCTTCACAATCAGACTGTCCCCAGATCTGGCCTTGCCAGTGGCTAGTTGAGATTTGGAAAAGTTAAATTTGTTTTCCTTTCTAAAAATGAAGATTATTGTAGTGCCTACCTGTAATATCTATTAGAACATAACTGATTAGCTTTGCAGACACACAGATTCACCACAGGCCACACCAGCTCCCAGACCCACTAGAAGAGGTCAGGAAAACTTTTTTTGCAGGGAGGGCATTTCTTTTCCAGTGAGTGTGTGTTCCTCACAGCAGGCCACACGGCCGCCAATGGGCTTGAGTTGCTAGTGTCTCTAGTCCCCCAGGTGATGGCTCTTGTGCAAGGGAATGAGCAAATGTGAGCCCACCTTGGCTTAGAAGTCCCGTATTACAAGGATGACACTATTTCTACTAACAGCCTCATGGACATACCTTACAAGGTCCCCACATGAGCATGTCCACTTACGAGAGAATCACTTCAAGTTCTGGCTTTTCATCAGGTGTTATGAGTATGCAGTTTAGCTATCGAGGTCATTTTTACCATAAGCCATCCTGCCTACTAGTGCACCTGATACCCTGCCTTCATCAGGTTTCTAGGGGAGCAAGGTCAGAAAGTTAATCCAGGGTCAAACTTGTCCTTATTGAAGGAGAGGGGGTTTTGTTAACCCTGTACCCACACTGTCTCCTATGGCTGTAGTTGTAGTTAATTGCAATAATATGCGGCGTACTCCCCAGAGTGCCTGATACATAAAAGACTCAGTAAATGTTAGCTGTAATTAATTACGCCTGTTTCCGTAGTGGCACACTCCCCACTATGTCCCTCATGATCTGGCCAGTTAGGAATTTATGATCAGATTACCCTGTGAAGTTACTTTTGGTTAGATTTATTACAAATGCGCCTTTTTCATCTGTACTAATTTATAACGACACTTGAAGTGTGCTTTTTCATTTGATTTTTCAATGAGAAATGAAAATTTGACATATTGAGGAATCTGGTGATGTCAGAGTGTAAGATTATGCTTTAGATACTAGCTATCTCAATGCACTTATTAGTCTCTGACATTTGTAAGTGCTCGTGAGGCGCCAGGCACTGTGCTGGGTTCCTGATATCATCGGCTCGTTTAATCTTGTAACAGCACTGAGAGGTGGGTATTATTTCTGTAATGGAGTAAAAAAACTGAGGTTTAGAGAGCTAGACTGACTAATTCAGCAACACCCAGCTATTAGAAGCAGAGGCAAGATCAGAATCCAGGTTGCCTTATTGAGAATTATGCAATCTTAACTGCTATCCTGTATTTCACTTCTTTTATTTTCTTTCTCTTGGATGGTGCTCACTTAATAGAAGAATAAAAAGCACTTTAACAACTTCTTCTTCCTTAAAATGTACTTGTTACATCATATGTACTAGACATCATATTTAGAATTCCATATTCCTTGGCTATTTGACTTTAGCTAAACATGTTGCTTTTGATGAAATAAAGGGAAAAGCACTTTCTCCATACTCTGTAGCTTTGCTTTTCTTGCCTCTGTGCAAAAATGAAACCGTCCTAAAATATATTCATTGCTTTATGTAAAATGTCAAATGTTACACTTTTATAACATATGTGTGATAGAATTTTTATTGTAAAATGTCTTTGTATTTAGTGTTCTTTTAATGATAACAGATGGCCTTAAAAAAGTTACTACTGAGCTGATGTGCTATCTGCTAGGTGTTATAAAGCATCATCCTTCTTACCTACCATTCCTGGGCCTCCTCGCCCCTCCTCAGATGGCAACAGCTGAGAGCTGGAAGCCTGCACGGCCCCTCACAGCCCCAGCAGCTGTGCGTGGTAGGCAGTGCTAATGGATGGTTTCCAGCTGCAGTATTCCTTATGGATGACAGTTCAGAGACAATGAGTTCACCAAGTAATTTAAACATTTTTAAAAATTAGTCAAACTTTTCTATGTCTTTTGATGTGTATTAATTTTTTATTACTGCAAAACAAATTATCTGCATACCTACTGGCTTGAAACCACGCCCATTTGCTAGCTTGTAGTTCCATACGTCAGTTTTCCAGGGCGCAATACTGGGTTTTCTGTTTAGGGGGCTCAGAAGGCCAAAATCACGGTGTGGGCTGGCCTGGGGCTCTTATCCTGAGATCCTGTGGAGGAACCTACTTCCAGGCACATTCAGCTTGTTGGGAGGATTCAGTCCTTCCTGGTTATAAGAATGAGGCTCCATTTTATGTTGGCCGTTGGCTGGGGCCATTCTCAGCTGGAATCTGCCTGCGTGCCTTGTGTCAGGGTCTTGTGCCTTCAAAGGCAGCAGTAGCACAGTGAATCTTTCTTAGGCTACTGGCCTGACAAGTCTCTGCTTCCAAGGTCCCAATAGGTTCAAGTGATCTGGTCAGGCCCCATGGGATAATTTCCATATTTTAAGGTCAACTGACTGGGGATTTTAATTACATATGAACCCGTTGCAGAATCCATTGACAGGACTCCCTACATTAGCCTACATTAGGGTGTGATTCAAAAAACAAGGTGTGGGATTCATGACAGGGTGGGAGGACATCTTGAGAATTCTGTCTGCCACCTGGGACACACAGTTTTGTTTTGTTTGCCCCCTTGGAGTTTCTGACCACTGGTTCTCTGTGCTTGGAAAACCACATTCAAGAGTTTCTCTCTTTACAAAGTGTTTCCCCGATGCTACCAGTACCCACCTGGCACCAAACATCATTATCACAACTTTGTTAACTGTGTTGCCTACGCCGCACTTCACCGTCCCAGGATGACGCTGGTTGACCTGAAGCAGTTCAGCTGTACAGCTGCACACCCGAAACCAGTATAAAGTAACACTGAGAATAAACTGTAATTGCAATATTTTAAAAAGGAGTTTATCTCCTATTTTAGGTCATTATTATTCTATCTAGTTCTATGTTTAGGATCTGTTGTATACTCTTTAGTCCCAAATTTGCCTTTATGTGGGTGGTGACCTTATAATTGAAGCTGCTTTAAGATTTTCCCTCTGTGTTTATTAGAAGTCTTAATAAGTTAAATTGTTGTTAAGTGTGGTAAAGGTAAGCCTGAATGTATGAACATGGGTTTTCTAGAAGAGTCCAATTTAAATAACTGTGGGGTTTATGTATATGAAAAAATGTATGCTGAAATACACTAAAATATTCCTTTACATTTTGAGGCTCCTTCCATAGCTGTTTGATGAATGCATGATACAGATAGACTTTCACGAGGGGCAGGAAATAATTATTTAACCTTTTCATTGGATTTCTGTTGCAGCGAATTTGTGTCGTGGCTGTTGGAAATTGGAGAGATTCACAGGCCTGAAGAAGGTGTTCACTTGGGGCAAGCATTACTAGAAAATGGAATTATACACCATGGTAATTATTTTATTAATGGCTTATTTATTCTGTTTATCCATCAATTGCATGTATCTTAGTTCCATCGATTAGTTCAGTTTATAAAAATTCTCCACATGATAGGACACATATTTTTTCGACATTTTTTAATTTCTTTTTTTTTATTGTTGTTCAAGGCAGCTTTCTCCATTTTCCTGCCACTACTTTCCCTGACCCCACACACCCCCACCTGAGTGGCTAATATATGTAGAACTGTGTTTCAGGTTTATGGTGATGTATTTGCTAACTTCAAAATGAAAAATTATAACAGAGGCAAGAATCAGAAATGCAGGTAGTATTGTAAAATTGTGGAGGAAGGGATAGTGAGTATTTAGAAAGGCTTCACAAGGGAAGTGGGATTAATGTTGGGCACCGTAGAATGAACAGCACCCTGACAGGGTCAGAGGGCAGAGGACATCTCACCCTGGGGAGTGTTATACGGCACTCACCTGCAGCAGAGGGGAAGTTCATGGCAGTCTCTCCAGGAACTAGCACAGTCTCATGTAGCAAGACAAGATACTTCAATGAGGAATATATTGGGGCAGGAGGCGGGGTGAGAAAGGTGGGCAAACACCTGGACCAGAAGGTCTTAACTTCCTGGCTGTAGTATCTCTGGCTGATTCTGGAGGTAAGAAGCTGATGGACCCTTTTAAGCAAAGCAGTGACCAGACTTGGTTTTGGAGTTGAATGCACCGGTGGGAGCCTGGAGCAGACAGGTTGGAGACTGCAGAGAGCCCTGTGCACTGGGGGCCCAGTCCATCCCCAGGAGTGAAAGGATGAGGGCATTGCCTGCCTGGATGTCGTCCGTGGGCAGGATGAGAGTGGCCCAGTGCAGAGATTCGGATGACACTGAAACAGTGTATTTGATAACTGGATGAGGGAGATGAAAGATGATGAGCAAAATCAGATATTCCGAGCTTTCTATTTAGATAACAAAAAGAGCTAATTCAGGAGGAGGAACACATGGAGAGAAAAATAAAGATTCGCTGTGGGTTAGATGCGAGACATCTGTGGAGAAGTGCCCAGCAAATGTAAAAGATGTGTGTGTGAAGCTTAGGGTAGAGAGAGCGAGAGACAGAGTTGGAAATCATTTCAGTGAGTTATCAGATTCTTCAGAACATCAGTGAGAAACAACTAATGAAAAACAAGAAAGCAATGATAATGAGACCGAGGATAAAAGCTTAGAAAATGTCTAATGCAAAATGTGGGAGAGGAGAAAAAGACTGGGAATTATGAGTAAACATGGATGCTTGGTTATTGTATTTTGAGGTTCAAGTGGGTTGAAAACTAGATCCTCCCCATTTTCCCCACCACACTGGGCACCCCTGATGCCACACACTACCGTATACGCAGATGGGAATCCTCTGGAGTTCCTTGTCTCCCTCTTAAAAGAAAAAACAACAACAGGATTTTTTGTTTGGAAGAGATACCAGATGGGAGAAATTCAGTCCTAATCGACTTATCTCCCCTCTATCAGTCCCACTCTTCTCCAACAATACGATTTTGAAACGGAAGTGAGAGATAAGTTCTGGGTTAATATTTAATTTGAAATTTCAGATGCTAGAAGCATTTGATTATTTAACTTATGAGAATTTAAATCTTTTGGACAGTGATATTTATAAATTAACTTTTTCTGAGAACTATGACACTCTCTGTTAATATTGTTCTCGTTACCACAGTGTGATTTTAGGGAACTATCTATTACTATATTCAGGATTTGATCAGTTATAATGTCAGATGTGGCATTCAAAATTTTGGCACTGCAAAGAACCTCTTTTTAAGTGTTTAAAATTAACATATTCCCCAAAACTGGATGTAAGAAAACATATTATGCAACTTCACATTAATAATTTTATTAGAATGAAGAATATGAGCCACACATGTTACTTTCATTAGTATGTGGTTCCAGCTGCATTTCAGTGAAAATAGAATTCCTAAAATAAAGTTGAATGAACCATCTGTTTTAAGGAAAGGAAGCAGAAAAAAAGTAGAAAGTAGACTATTACTGCTGTTATTCATGTTGCAGATATTGCTGAGAACTCCATCAGAGGCAAAGCCTCTCTATCCCAGGAATTCATGGGTTGAAGCTCATATGGTTTCTCTGTGATATGCTGATAATATTCTTCTTGTCTGGTGCTACTATTTACATTATAAATGCTTATGTGAGAATTCAGAGACCTCATTTGTTATATATACCCACTGGTGCAATGAAATGGGCTTGTATAAGCTCAAGAGAACTGGTAATTAAATTTTTAAAAATTTTGCCCTGACTGGTATGGCTCAGTTGACTGAGTCCTGGACGGCAAACCAAAGGGTCGCAGGTTCAATTCCCAGTCAGGGCACATGCCTGGGTTGCAGGCCAGGTCCCCAGTAGGGAGCACATGAGAGGCAACCACACACTGATGTTTCTTTCTCTCTCTTTCTCCCTCCCTTCCCTTCTCTCTAAAAACAAATGAAATATTTTTTGAAAAATTTGTAAGGTGGTTGTTAAACAACACATTTATTATTAAAACTTAAGTTATAGAAACATGTAAGTACATAAATTATACACAAAGGCAATGTGTTCTTAAAACTCTTCACTTCCTAATTATTTTACTGTTAACTACATTCTTGGTGTTGCTTATGCCTATTATTTCTGTGTGAGGGAAATACTAGATAACGTGTTACTGTATGTCTAATTCTGTGTTAAGTGACTGTGTTTCAGGAGCTTGCAATTGGCCATTGTGGGAGTATTTACGTCCCAGAACTTTGGTGAATGCTCCAAGTCGGAGCTACCACCCTGGGAGGCAGTCATTCAACATGGAGCAGTGCAGATGAATCCAAGATTAATTCTCAGAGCCACAGGAGTTTGCCTGAGGGTTGAGCACCCCGTTTAGAATTGGTTAAGCCATCCTGCGTTTTATTGTGGCAAGAGAACTTGGGCCCGACATAGCCTGGAATTTTGGAATATTGAGACAATAATTTATTTCAGTGAGCCTTGCAAGATAACAGTGGGCATAGGTAGATTGCATAGCAGAAAGAAATAATTGGTTTTGAAAGATGCCATAGGATTTCAACATATTTCTCTTGATTTTATTTCTCACACATGCGTTTTTTAGATTTCGGGACTTATTCTGGGAAAGGGATGCCAAATGGCTGGGTTGTCTATCTTTTGGAGCAGGGAGTGGGCAGCAATCTTGTCTCAGTTTATGACTATAAGTGATACAAGCTGTGCACATGGTTTCAATGGGTTGGGGTAAAATTGGTGAAACTTCGTGTGTGTGTCTTGTAAGTCTTTTGGCTTTATTTTCTGTATTCACCAAATGTAGTTCATGAGATTTAATTCTGACAGCTTTTCTCTCTCTATAACGTTGTTAGCAAAAAGTAAAGGTCAGAGTCTTCTATCTAATCACGAAAATAGAGCCTGTCGCCACACAGGATCTCTTCCGCAAATGTTGCCATCCCTGTGAAGGAAACATTTTCGTGTAAACTCTTTGAGCTTCCACTTGAGGTTTTTCCTTTCTAGAACAGTCATTTAAAAAAATTGTCTATAAAATGACTTCTGGAAAAAAAGAAACTGTGAGAGGAAGTTTAATAGGAGTTTTTATGAACATGAAAATTTTATTCTAAGGATTCAAGAGAAGGATGACTACTCTCATTTTCCACAGAGGAAAAGAATTAAGTGACATGAAAGGAAAGCATTTCTCATTGTAATAAAACTGTTAACATCTCAGAATCAGTCACATATTGAAATTATGTAATCTGCTCTGGGGATCTAAACACAGGATCCAGGGTCAAGATTGACGTGTGTGTGGTCTGGGCTTGATCTCTGTGGCATAAAACAGATAAATGCTAAACCTCATTTGTAGGGTGGAGACTCAAAACATAAATCGGAATATCTGCTCTTCGAAGAGCTCATTGTGCTTAACTTTGTGGCCTTGTAAAGAAATAGAAAACACAGACTTGTATATTTATTACATATAAATACACAGAAATACATATAATATGCTAGCTAAATGTTGCTAACCTCAATTTAGTTCTTAAGTCATTATATGAAAATGGTAAATGTATTATATAACCAAATCTTATTATGACTCTTATTGTCTGAATACTGAGTTTGCATGACTGTGTCAGGAAAACAAAAGCATTTTGTAAAACTAAAGTTGAAGTGTTTGGGAATAGTTCATAAATGTTTTTAGCTGCCACCTTTTAGGTTGTCAGTATTTTGATGTATTGTTTTTATATTCTTAGTTACTGATAAACATCAATTCAAACCAGAACAGATGTTATATAGGTTTCGTTATGATGACGGAACATTTTATCCAAGAAATGAGATGCAGGATGTGATTTCAAAGGTAAGAGCTTCTACAACCTTTAATCAATAGCAGAATTCATGTCATAGTTTGGCAAGATAAAAGGCTGTTGAAAGACTTAAAATATTTTTCTGGTACAAACTATTATTAAATGGCAAACCTCTCAATTTCTTCTTGCTATTTCAAGAATTCTAATGTTAAATCATTTTTTCATTGTATTACCTACAATGGAAGTAACACAATTGAATCATTCAGGTTATATCCATTCAAAGCTATTTTACGTGAAGTAATAGGCGGTCATGATGAATGAATAAATAAAGACAGTACAGATATATAAATTTAATGTAATATCATTTTTCTTTGTGCACGTGAGAAAATTTATAATGACATACAATGAACCAGTAGTATGATATATTGCTGCATAGATTTATTTTTTGTTTATATTATAGCTTAATATTTTGTATGTTATACAAATATACTGAATATTTTACAAGTATACTTTATAATATTAAGTACTTTAAATATTAAATATGTATTTTAATATGCATTTTAATAGTAAGTGTATATTTTACAAACATACTTAATATTTTATATAAAATATTAAGCTATACCTATTGTATTTCACATTTTGTATTGTAAATGTTTGTATTTTTAATATTTCATGTTTTAAGGAAAATTTAAAAAACCTTTGTGTATATATATATGTCATGTATATGACAAATTCATAGCAAAATTAAATCCTATTTTTAATGATTTAAGTCGTATTATCTCTATGAGTCACAACATATGTATTGCATTATAAAATGTAACATTTGAATAACATATGCAGCTTGAGATTTTGTAATGATTCCAAATGTTAACAGTAAATAAATATATTTATTTCAAAATGTCATTGGTATGTTCTTTGAGTGAACTTACTTGCTTTTAACATATCTTTATTTTACAATAGGGTGTACGATTATATTGCCGTCTTCATAGTTTATTTACTCCAGTGATAAGGTGAGTCTGGTTTGTAAGTTATGGGCAACTAATATGGAAATATTTATATTTCATATTAGGTAAATATTATCCAGCTGGAACATGATGGTGTTCTTTTCCCCAAAAGTGAAAATTTTACCTTTAAAGATTAAGTAATAATTTATCTTAAAATCTGCATAAATTTTCTGAGGCTGTAGTATGTAGTTTCTTTCACTCTTTTTATTTCAATTTCTAAAATTATTTGCCTTGAATTTACTGTTAATTATTGACTTCATAGTGAAGTGATCCATATTCTATTAACATTTAATAAATAATAGTTGATTGGGAGAAAATTTGGGGGTATTGTTTACTGTTAATATTTACCATTATGATTACTTATATATTAACTTTTAAATTAAATTGCGTAATTCAATCTTGAGTGTGTATTTCCTTCTAATGATCTTTTATTCAAAGGAAAGATTTTATACTTGAAAATTAAGAATTTCTTTGAAGCCTTGGCTGGTGTGGCTCAGGGTCGAGTGCCAGCCTGGGAACCAAAGGGTTGATGGTTTGAGTCCCAGTCAGGGCTCATGCCTGGGTTGTGGGCCAGGTCCCCAGTAGGGGGTGCACAAGCAGCAACCACACATTGATGTTTCTCTCCCTCTCTTCCTTCCCCTTTCTAAAAAATAAATAAATAAAATCTTTTTTTTTAGAAGAATCACTTTGAAGTTAATAAGTATAATTCAATAATTTTATTCTCCCTTATGTTTTTCCTTCTGAAGAGCTATGCTTTTTATTTTTAAGTGGAATCAGGATTAATTTTCAGTTTGTCTCCTTAGAAAGACAGCAGAAAGCTCAGTGTTGTAATAATTCAAAATAGAGAAGACCATCAGCAGTATTATTGTGCTTTGTAATATACACTGATGTACACTAACTGATAGAATATAATATTGAACTAATTTCAGAAGGCCAGATATCATTCAGTTTATTGACAAACATATTTTTCATGCAAAAAATATGGATGTACAATTTCCAGAATGAATAAAGAGGCTTTTCAATTTTGGCTATAGACTTCAGATGTTTGATGTACAGTGTTTCTAGTTTTCTTTTTGATTTCCAATTCCAAGGAAATACAGAGCTTAATTAAAAATAAAAACATTTCAGAAATTGCTGTTTGAGTGTATTGGATCTCCCACTAATGTTTCAGAGAGAACACACCACAGGTTCTGGCGGATGGCAGGGTATCTCACCCATTACCCTGGAAGTACCCTCTCTGCTTTCATAGGCAGGCTTCACAAGGTGAAAAGAGGAAAAAGAACCAACATTTGTTGATTCTTTGGCACAGATGCCCTGCAAATATTTTGAATAATTTAATACTAAAAGGAGTTTGTTTAACTCATTAGCAAGTAGGTACTTAATTTTCTCTGCTAAACTAATAGAAAACAATAATAGTTCATTTTTTATGTCGTCTGCACTGGTATGAGTTTGTATGTGAGAAAATGTGTTCTGAAAATATATTTTAGCCATATGGGATTTCTTATCAAGAAGTTACACTTGCTAAGAGCTGATAAGAAAGAATTGTTCTTTGGCTAAAAATGACAATTGTTTATGAGTTGTCTAGAGAAAATTTATGGGGAAAAACCATAAAAACAGATGGAATGTATGATAGTTGGGCTTTTAATATATATGAACTCAGCTTATGAAAAAAATTACTTGGGTGAAGAACCCACAAACCAACATATGGTCTAAAATAGATTTATTTTTCCTTCCTAATTTTTTCTTGGGTGGTGAGGCATCAACAGAGAGATAAATTTTAAAAGATTAAAAAATTTTTCTGTTGATTACTGGCTAACCTAGTGCAAATTATTATTGAAATCTCAGAAATTTTAACCATATTTCAGGGAGTTCTTTATTGAAATGGATAAAATGATACAAATATTAATTATAATTCCCTGACCGAGGGTAGAGAACTCTGAATATAGCAAGTAATTATTCATTAACTTCAAGTTGTTTACAATTTGGGTTTTTTTATGATTTGAAAAGACTGTCACTTTCTTATTTCCTTTTGATCCAGGCCCACAAACTCAAAGTAGTATAGACTTTTGCCTTCAGGGTCTAGTTCTGATCACCAGCACTTTGTTGGTATCTAACCAGACTTGAGTGATTTCTCAGATCTGGGAAGTCTACTGAAAGGAGTCTGATGTGGGACAGTTGATTACCTTGGTTCCCTGGGGATGTGACATACTCATGACAAAATGAATGACACAGTTCTCAGTGTATTTACCATAGGACAGGCCTACCGTCTTCCACTGTAGCCAAGCTAAATGAATGGTCCTTCAGAGCAAGTACAGCCTTCCTGGAGAGGTCAGGATTGAGAGTGAAATGGTTGCTTTCTTCTCCACATTTAGAGAGGTTTTGCAGAATCTATCTTGATTTAAAGGGAAAAATCTATGTTATTAGTCTTTTACCAATGAGATATTGTATTTCTACTAACTTATTAGCAGGTAACATAGCAGTAATAATCTACTTGGATTTAAGAAAATGCAAAAGAAGAAATGTCCTGCTTTGGTATCACTGAGGGTCTCCTCTACTGGTAGGAGCTGATGGAGGAGTTTTGGGCTGATGGACTGCTGATGGTGCAGTCCTTGTAAACCTCTCTTATTTACAAGTAATGTGGACAATCGATTCAGATTGCACTGAGTAAATGTTCCTGTTGCATGAACTAAATTAAATGTTTCCCTGGGCTCACTTATCTTCTTCCTTAATGGTTTTGGTTTATTTATTTTTTTTGTAGAGATAAAGATTACCATTTAAGGACCTACAAATCTGTAGTCATGGCTAACAAACTGATAGACTGGTTAATTGCTCAGGTAAGTAGACAAATAGAAGTTGTTGAGTTATGGTCATTGTTGATGAAAGCTTGAACATGTAATTTGGGTATTTTTTTAATCCTTACTTGCAGATGAGCACAGTGAGATGACTTGACCAACTGATGTAGCCGATATGAAGCCATTAGGATTTGAACCTACTTAATTTATTTGACTTCAGGCTTAATTTTTGTGCTATGTCATCTTTTAAGAATATATTCCTGTTTTAAAATTATCAGATGAGATAGATCAAAAATAACATGTGCTTTGAATACCACTGAAAAGAAACAATGGACATATGCTAAATATTTTTGCTTATTTTTTTCACTAATTTTTTAAAGTATCTTTTTATTAGTCCTAGCTAATTATTCTTATCTTCCTATGCCTTTTTCTCTGTTAGATAATAATTGTGCTTTCATACTATGAACTTTAGCAACCACCTCCATTCATTTTTTTAAAGATTTTATTTATTTATCTTTAGAGGGGAAAGGAAGGAGAGATAGAGAGAAATATCAGTGTGTGGTTGCCTCTCATGAATCCCCTGCTGGGGATTGGCCTGCAACCCAGGATTGTGCCCTGACTAGGAATACCTCCATTCATTTTAAGTAAAAAAGTACAAAATTTGTTTTTGTGCTTTTATTCTGTTTCTTAGAATATGGGAGCCAGGAAAATGGTGTTTGCTGATCAGGGCATCTCACCCATCATAATAGATATTCAAATATAAATTTATTTAAATGTTTTATTATACTAGATAAACTAACAAATGATCAAATATTTTCTTTTGACTAAGAAAAGTGATATCTACTTTGACAGAACATACTATTTTAGAAAATAGAATATTGCTTTGTTGAAATATTGTCATTATGTTTGGGTATTTAAGTCAATTTCATAAACAGTTCTACTGTTTTGTTATTTAAAAAGTGGCCTGCTTACTGTTACAGGTGAGTAATAACATTCAATACTAATCATAAAGGTATTTATTTTTGTTTAAAATATTGTTTAACTCACATGTGCTTATGTATATGCATTTTGAGATTTGTATTATTACTATTAATTTCTAAAGTATTCACGACCACCTGTGTTTATATTTTATAGCACTTGAACTTATTCTATTTAGAAGTTAAGATTTTTAATTAAACCGACAATTACCTTTAGATAAAACTAATTCATCACACAAAGTGTTTACCAGGTCAGAGCCTTTTCTAACACGATGGCTGATGTGTGTCATTGGAATAGGTTCTGCACTTGACATCAGAGTTGGGATTTCACATAGCAACTATAATGCAACAGGATTCACATGAACTTGCACTATATGTTGGTTATGTGAGAAAACTGAAGAACATTTGTTTGGAATAGAAGCTGGTGGTGAATAAATATTTAAACTTCTGACTTGGGAAGTCAGTTATCATCTTTTTTTTCCTTTTGGCATTTTTACTTTCCAAGTGTGAGCATTAGAAGAATAGAGTAAGTTGTTCAAAACCTGGACAGAGTTGCAAGTATCTTTCTTCAGGTTTGCTTAGTGGACTGTTATGACCGTGCCTGTAGAAATTGCAGTGGACTGGGACTCAGTAGCCGGTGTCTGATGACAGCGCTGTTGCTAAGCAGCTCTGTGAACTTGGACAAGGCACTCATTCTCTCTAGATTGTATTTTCACGTTTGCTACTTACGGTGATAGCTATACATGTCATCTCTTCTCTGTCACATAGTGTTATGATTATGATATTGTAAAACTTATTCAAATGTAAACGTCAGACATGATTAACTCTTATTGCTTAGCTTCAGACTAGGAAAACATGGGCTGGCTTTGAGTATGAAAGCAAAATAATGAAATGATAAGAGAATAATAAAGTTCTAATGTAAAGCGTAAGGGTCTCTTTCCACCAATACTGCAAAATGATAATAAAGCAGCTAAATTTCATAGGCTTAATTGATTTGGAGAACTTTAGAGGCCAGAATACAGAACTATTTCCAGTATGCTAGTCCGTGTATTGTTAGGAGTATAGTCTGCATCAGACAGTTTTTCTGTTCTTCTGCAGTATATTGTATGATGTCATCTTGGACAATATGGTAACTTGTTTTCTCAATACATTTTTCACTCGCTGTTGTGCTGCTTCTAGTACAATATAGTGTCTGGTAACATATTCCATGAAATCAACTCCTATGTAGCAAGTACATTAATGTACATCTCAAACATCATTTAAATCACGTAAGTTGTGATTTGTTTATGGGACAGTCATATTTTATTAAAGCATTATTAAATAATGCTTTTCTTCTTCACAACCAAAGTCATTTCTGTTGTGCCCGTTTTAATGCTCACCCGTTCTATATGGCACTAATAGGATCTTTGTAAGGCATATGGATGCCAAAACATTTTAGATCATATTTTTTGCATATCAACTGAATAACCAGCCAAATGTCAGTGATTAATAAAAAAGCTCTTATGGTAAGTTTAACAAGTGCTTTGATGATTAAAATAAAACAAACCAACAAAATGGGAAGTAGGCATGAGTCCTGCCTTCAAGTCGACTGATACAATTTTTTGTGTCCTCTAAGGCTGTGCTCCAGTGTCATCTCCCCCAGGAAGTTTTGTGGGTTCTCCACACTGGGCCCAGGGTCCTCTTCTGTGGTCCCAGTTTCCTGGGTGTATCTGCCCTAGCAAATACCATAATACATTGAAAGTGTCCTAATGTGCACATTTCTAAGGACAGAGACATGTTTAACCTTTTTCTAGGTACTTAGTACTAGGTACTAAGGGCGGTACCTAGTATAATGTCTCATGGGTACTTACTATAGACCACATGTTAAGTGGCCACATCCTTCATTAGATTTGAATTTCTTGAGGTCGGGAAGGTATTTTATATTTGAGTGTTTTACTGTATTATCTCTAGCAGTTGGCATATTATGTGGCAAAAATATAAATATCTTTCAAATGAATGCATAAGTTACCTAACAGCTAGAATTTGAAAAGGACACAGATGCATTGTCTGCAGATACAGATTGTGTTTTGTTAGTTAACTAAAGAATTAGTGAGGGTAGGAGGTGTCGCAGCATGAGGTGGAATTGTCTTAGTCCTTGATAGACAGAGAGCTAGCATTTAAATGGGTGAAGGGTAAGGAGAAGGGCATTGTAAGTATGAGTAATTACATGAGTGAAAGCAAGGAGAATAAGCACAGAGTTCAGGCAAGAGTAGGGCCCAACTTGGCTAGAGCAAAAGGTGTGCATATTTAGAAGGTAAAGCTGGAGAGAGAATGAAGCCAGGATGTGGGTGTCCTTGAAAGTCAAATAGAAAATTTTCATATGTTATGATTGTAAAAAAGAGAGCCTGTTTAAAGTTATGGAACATAGCATTTCTGTGTAATAAAATTTAATTTTGTAACAGCATATGTTGGAAAAAGTACCAAAAATTATGATAATCTTAGATGCAGAAATGTTACAGTGTTGACACAGACATGGTATAGACAGAGAGGGGAGAAGGGAGAAGATAGACTAGGTAAAGTACCCAAGTGATAAAAGGACTAGGGAAAAATGAGATAATATGTGGAAAGCACTTCTTAAACTGTAAAACATTCAAATCTAGGGTTACATGCACACACATGCATATACGCTTACATTTTTGTGTATATGCATCCATTCTTAAATGAATAAAGTAGGTACCATGATAAAAGGTTGCATTGGGCTTTTTTTCTGGGCTCAATTATATGTTCTGATTTTTTTTTAGGCAAGATAATGAGAAAAAAGCTTACATTTGCTGGCTCAGCCAAACAATTTACTCTAAGGGCCTTACCAGCCAGTCACCCTAGATTAGTAGGTTTTTTAGGGTTTTTTAAAGAGCAAAGCCATTTGGTAGAAGGGAAGTGATAGCTGAGATCATGCATAATGATTTACTTAGCTTTATTTCATGTGATATCATTGTACAGGATATTTCCTTGATGCAAAATTGGGATACAAGATTGAAGAAATATGAGAAAAGAATCATTTTTGGTTGCAATAAATTTTAGGCACTTCACATGTTTTCATATTTAATAAAGCATGGTTTTTCTCAAGAATATTAATGTGAATGGGATATGTTTTCATTATCAAGTGAATGTTTTCTCACAAATAGATATATTGTGGGCTTATGAAAGCAACGTATACCATAATATATGAATGACTTTGTCAGCTTAGTGCTAATAAAGATGCAAGCTTTCAGTTGCCTGTTAACCTATACAGTGCTTTTATGATGAACAGGGGGATTGCCGTACCAGAGAAGAGGCAATGATATTTGGCGTTGGACTCTGTGACAATGGATTTATGCACCATGGTAGGAATGTTTACTCTGGGAGCTCACAGGTGTATGTTACTGTTCTGTTTTTGTTAAGGCTGGGAATATTTCAGTGTTCCCGTGAGGTCATTTAGAGACAGACCAGCAAGACAGTCCAGGCCTTGCCATGTGTGCACGTGAGGTCACCACATCTGTATTATGTCCCGGTTGCCATGACTACTTTTCTATTTTTTTTTCTAGAATAGAACTGATTCCAGAAGAGCAAGGGCTTGAGCTTAGATGTTCTTAAGAAAAATAGATTACATGCATTGAAGCTATTTCAGATCGGACTCATTTTTTCCTGAATGCTAGACTATATTAAAATGATTCAGTGAGAGTTATGTATAGTTACATATTTATTCTTAGTTTTTATAAAAATATTTTAAACTTAGAACTAAATAATAAATCTCTGGAAGAAATACGGTTTTTTGGCTACTAATTAAAGATGGATTTTCTTTTTTGTTTGAAGACTTAATTTCCCTTAAGTTTATAAGAAATAACATCTTAGTTTTTCCTCTGTATAACATCTTAGAGATTTCATAAACCTAAACAATGTATTTTGATTGCCTATGTGTGTGTATATATATATACCTATATATGTTTATAGACATGTATTTGATAGCACTTTTCAAATATTTGATACTTATTTGTCAGTTCCTTTCAAAAGGTTGTTAGCTTTTTATGAAGAAGGAACTATAGCAAAAGCTACAGCAATTTTGACTGCGTCCTTGATTATTGTACATTTCTTTGGGAATTCCATTACATTCCACTGTCTCTAGAGCACATTGTCAGTTGTGATATAGAAATATTGATCCTTGAAGAGCAAACCATTGAATGGAAGCAATGGTATCATTCTAGGGAATTAAAACTATAGTATCAAGCTGAAAACAAGCAATAAATAAGCAGTAATCTGATTTCAACACATTTTAAAATGTTGAGTTATGTACAACAGAGGTTTTTTTTTTTTTTTAAGATTTTCTTTATTTATCTTTAGAGGGGAAGGGAAGGAGAGAGGGAGAGAAACATCAATGTATGGTTGCCTCTAGTGCATCCCCTGCTGGGAACTGCCCTGCAGGGAACCTGTCTGCAACCCTGGCATGTGCCCTGACTGGGAATCGAACCTCGATTGTCTGGTTCGCAGGCCCGTGCTCAATCCACTGAGCTACACCAGCCAGGGCTCAACAGAGGTTTTTTCTGTGACAGTCCCTGTCAGTAAAGCACAACCAATTCAACTCACGCCCAGCCTTCCTGGTGTCTTCTTCTTCTGCTCCTTTACACAGACCATTTTGGGGCAGAAAACTGTAGCAAAGCACCATGTGTGTGAGTTTTGGAAAACTCCTTATGTCACGTACATAAGACCTAACTCGCTCTCACGTGTATTCTCATTTCTATTGTTAGCCATGACTTGTGTTACTTTTTAACTTGTGGTCCATAATTTTATTTATTAACTCACATTGCCAGCTCGTCTTTCATCCAAAAATCAGTACATACAATTACCTTGTCAATAATTACTCTTTGGAACTCCATAAAAATAATACAATAAATAGCTATCATCTTTGATTTGATGACTACATGCCAAGTTATTTACATTATTACCTTGTTTTGGTTTTGTGCAACACTATGAAGAAGGTTTTATGGTCCTTATTGCACAGATGAAGAAACTGAAGTTCAAAGAGTTTATGCAACTTTCCCAATGTAAAACCAGAATCAATCCCAGACCTGGAATGTAAACGCAGGTCTGTCTCATCATAAAGACTTACGTCTCTGCTGTGCTTGGGCACCACGGCCTCCCCTTTAACTCCCTGGCTTGATAAATCACCTGTCCCAACAGACTTCTCTTCAAGGTACTAAGGAATGTAAATGGAAATAGAAAAGATTTCCCATCTAATACATTTTGACTGCTTTTAGTAGCTCGCTTGAATACAAATGCTTTCTATTGGTATTAACCCTTATTTTTTAAAAGGCTTATAAAAACATAAACCTTGAATTTGAAGGAAAATATTAATGTTCAGATGAAAGGGGAAAAGTAACCCTTGCAAAAATAAAGTTATTTGAAGACAATGCTTTTAAACAGAAAAGATCGAGGAATTAACGAAAACTAAAATCCCATTTCACCCAGAAGACTTATTTCTGGTTTGAAGCGTTAGAACCAAGCGACCGCAGAGGGAGCAGCTCACACACACAAAGCCAACACTTAATCCAGCTGGATTTTCCCACCATTGTGCGGGATATTCAAAAACATACTTCAAATGTTTACTACAACGTCAAAACACTGTTGTTTTCTGTATTTTGGATTATATAAATTTTTTATTCAATATAACCTATTTAAATTTAGATTTTAATCTGGAAATTGAAAGACTCGGTTAAGTATAAAAAAGTTAACTTTGAAAAATACCTTATATTAAAAATTCAGACGTTTTTAGATAATAGTAAAAGAAAACATTGGCTCAAAATTATAGAAGGAAATACAAAATTATCATATGGATAATAGTGTGCATAACTTGTTCTAGGACATGGTACTGGTATTATTTTACTGAACGTCTATCAGTTTGAACCAAGAGTTGGATTTTTGGATTAATTGAAACAATTTGAACATATCTCTGTTTCCTTAGTCCTTGAAAAAAGTGAATTCAAAGACGAACCTCTACTTTTCCGTTTTTTTGCGGATGAGGAAATGGAAGGATCCAATATGAAACACCGGCTTATGAAACATGATTTAAAAGTTGTGGAAAATGTTGTAGCTAAATCATTGTTGGTAAGTTTTTTTCTATATGTTTTCTTCTCGATTAGATATTAGCAGATTACATAAACGTGTTTGGTGCTGATGTGTATTATTTCTGGTTGATTTGCAAACTTTTTCCTACTTGCTTTATTAATAATGCTAATATTTTGCATTTCAGATTAAATCCAATGAAGGCAGCTATGGTTTTGGGTTAGAAGACAAAAATAAAGTTCCAATAATTAAGTTGGTAGAAAAAGGGTCTAATGCTGAGGTAATGTAAATTAACATTTTTATTTAAGTTTGTTGCCCATGGCATATAAGTATAGATTTCTAAACTAATTGAAATCAGCCTTTAAGTATCTTTATTGAAAATAAAGTTATTGAATAATCTTATGTTGTAGTTCTACCAAATGCTCTTGAAGTCTGTGAAAGGAGCCCATGTCTGCGTACTCAGGTGTAGTTTGGGGAAAGTATTGGAGATAGCTACAGCTGCGCCCTTCTTGATCTCCTGAGAGGCCAAATGGCTCATTCCATGCCCCCTGGGACTTCCCTGCTCACTAATGCTGGCCTGGAACCCTGTGGAGGCTGCGTAGGGTGGGACTCTTATTATATATGTCAGGTGGTTCTTCCATTAATTTAAATACTGTGTCTTCTATTCTTCTATCACTTCGGACTGTCATATAAATAGCACCTCCATCAGTAAAGCACGTGTTTTGACTTACTTTCAAATTGGGTTAATACCGACCGATGTTCTCTCACCTCAGCAGCCTGTTAAACCAACAAATCTCCTGATCATTTATTTGTTCATCCATTCAGGAATATTTATTTGGCCCCTGTTATATGCTAACCAGTGTTCTAGAGTCTGGGAATGTAGCACTGAACAAGATAGACAAAATTTCCTCTCCTCATAGAATCTTCTTTCCAGTATTGTGTACCAAATTTATCAGAGTTCAAGTATTCTCACCTTGCTTCCTGGCATTAAAATGCTTAACCCCCCAGCAAACTTCTCAGTAGTTCATCTTTCATAGAGACTGTGCTAATGAATGAAACGTGGCTTTTAACTTTGAATCTATTTACAGTTACTAGTAAACCATCAGTCATCTACTCATCTGATAATGCACAAGGTCTCTATCGTTTACCAGATCGCAAACTCACATGAGACAGTTTAATGAACAGCACATTCATGTCAAACAAAATAACTCTTGTCAACTCATACTCTGTTAGTGGGCCTGGTCAATAAATGACTGCTTTTAGTAATTTTCTGTGAGTAGGCAATGTTTCTCCCAGATAGCTTCAGAGGGTGTTCCTGTAGCACAGCTTCATCTGGGTAGGCCCCTGATTAAATGCTTCCTCCCAGATTTCCATCATTTATCTGGTAACTGAAAGAGCATATTGTTTATAGGCAGTAGGGTAGGTTAAGAAGAGCAGCGTGATTGGCATGGAGAGAGAATGTCTTCTTTGTCATCTTTTCAGCATCTTGTAGTCTGTTCCTGTTGGAGCGCTCCGCCTTGGATGCAAGGCCATTTGTCTCTCTTGCCCTGGAGACTCTTATGCCTTCTCAGGCTAATGATGTACATTTGGCTGTCATTGATGTCTGTATTGAGATTGAAACTCTCTGAGTTAATTGGATATAGATGCAAAAGACAGTAAAAAAAATTAGCTTGGGGTTTGACTATAGTTAAAAGGATGAAATATAAAAAATAATCATAAAATACAGCAGAGTAAAGGGTCACAGGAAGAGTACAATGTTAAGTCATGGAGGGAGGAGGGAGACTTTCAGTCAAGATGGGTGATCAAATTTTAAACTAGGTTGGAGAGAATAAATGTTATCTTGCCTAGAGTCCTGTTTTATGAAGTTGTATAAAAATATTGCAGATGTGTTAAAATGTCAAAATCTGTAAGTTCTAAACCTTCTCAGGTTCTAATTCTGGAAAAAAATAGATTCCCTCATTAAAATATAATTTGATTTTTTTCTTGCTATTTCTCTCTTAGATGGCTGGCATGGAAGTTGGGAAAAAAATTTTCGCTATTAATGGTGACCTAGTTTTTATGAGACCTTTCAATGAAGTGGACTGCTTCTTGAAGTCGTGCTTAAACAGCAGAAAACCTCTGAGAGTTCTTGTGAGCACAAAGCCACGGGAGTAAGTTGTACCAAATTTGTGTGGGATTAAAAGTACATTATACATAGGTGAACAAAATAGAAAAGTTAACTAAGCAAATGTCTAGAAGTAAGTATCATCTCATTGCTTAGAACATTTAAACCTCACCAGCATCACCAATACTGGTCTTTAAGTGATGGGAAAAGCTACATTGCTTATGATGATAAAATGTTTTCTACTTAAATAAGGTAGTTTCAGCAGAAATAATACTTTTCTTTTGCTGCCTACATTTTCCTCTGGGTTGGGTTGGGTCTGAATATGAGTGAACAAAACTAATAATGCATTTGATATTAAAGAATTGCATTCTTCCATGTTCAACTCTAAGAATTTCAGGGGCTATGAGTTGATTTGACACCATTCATAATTAAACATTGATAGGAGATGGGTTCAAGACTGGGGGTAAGGCCTTTCATGCTCGTGTGTATTTAGAAATGCATCCATTCTTTTAAAAAATATGTCTGCCTATCTATCTGCCTATGATTTGAAAAAACTCATGTTCGTTACAGGAAATTTAGAGTACAGACTTTTCTGAAGGAAGATATTTTTCCTATAATCATAACATTCATAGATAACCATTGTTATTCTTTTTATTTATTGTTGTTCAGTTACAGTTGTCCCTCCTTTTTCCCCATCGCTCACCCCTACCCTGTCCCCCACTTCCACATTTAATACCCCCCAATGTCCATGCCCACGAATCTTCTATTCGTGTTCCTTTGCTTGTCCCTTCTCTTTCTTTCCTGTTATCCCTCCTACTGCCCTCTGGTCACTGTCAGTTTGTTCTTTATTTCCAAGTCCCTGGCTCTATTTTGCTCATTTGTTTGTTTTGTTGATTAGGTTACAATTATAGTTTTGTTTATATTATAAACATTTTTATTCTTTTGAAATTTAGTGTTGGTTGAATTTTATAAGTACTGGCACCTATGCACAATCATTTATTTATAAAATGGTATATATTTTATGATTTTTTAGAAAAAAATTAATAAGATATTATAGATGTACTTGTAAGACATTGGCTTTTCTTCTGTAAATCATTGATGATCTCATGTTCCCTTACCAGGTTTCCATGTGTTTAACCGATTAAGTAATCAAAATAATGCATACAGAGTATTGTGTACCATAATGTATTAATATACAATGATGGTATCAAAATTACTATTTAATAGTTATATTTATCAGTTGTGATAGGCAACTTCATTATTTTTAAGATAAATACAGGCTACCACTTCAAAAACTAAATGGTTTATTTTAACTACTTATAGAAAGACTCTAAGTATAGGTAATATAGTATTCTTCCCTGCCTATATATATTCGGCAAAGCTGGGTGCCTTCTTTATCTTAAGAGTCAAAGTGCAGAGTAATGGGCTAGATTTTGTAGTAGGTCATCAAGGTAGATGCTTCTACCAACAGCATACAAAGTCCTTGGAAAGAGTGAGACTTATTGAAGTTACTAATATAGAAGGACTTTGGGCTGGAGAGCAGCAAATAACCATGATAATGCCATCTCTCTGAAACTAATTATGATCTATTGCTTCCCCTTTATCCAACCCTATCTGGGATAAGGCTAACCCAGTTGCCTACCTCTGGACACTTTGAGGACATTTAACAGGAAAAGAATAAGGGAGTAGTATTCCTAAGCATTCATTAGTGGCCATGAAGGTTTCCCATGGCCCCTTAACCCCTGGTTTAATCCTATGAATACTGGTCTGCTGATTACAAGCATTTCAGTAGGTAGAGGACTTCGAAACTAAGTAGATGGGGCAAATCCTCAGTCCTAGAAGTAGTTGCTAGCTAAGCAGGGTTGGAACCTAGGTCTTCTGATTATTCCTTTGGTGTTGTGTAGAAACTAGAATGATATTTCTGGCCCAAGTACGAGGCTCTCTTCTACCATTTTCTCGCTAATTGTGTTGCTTCAATATCCTCATCCTTAAAAATGGGGATGATAAGAGTGCCTATGTCACAGAGCTGCTAAGAACACTAAATAAATCTAGGTTTGTAAAGAGCTTAGTGACATGCCCAGCCCATAATAAATATGTACTCCAGTGATGTGATCTATGATGTTTTCCTGTTCTCTCATTTTTCCATTGCTTCTTTTCACATCAAGAGCATATTTTACATTGTATTTTAAAACTGTTTTGAGGATGGAATACTTATTTTTTTCTGTTTCTCTTTAATTTGTTTGAAATTTATAATCTTTCCTTTATGTCCTTATTCTAATGTATATTTTTATAAATCACTCTCATATTTTCTTGCAATACTTATGATTTATGAAGTATCTCGTATGGGGAAAAAGCAATAAATGTGAGAGGTAAATACAACAGAATTTTTCTGTTGAATATAGCTGTATTTTACAACAGATAATATCAAGGATTTTTCAGTGGCTTTGTAGCAGGAAATAGAGCATCCTTTTCATATAAATTTAATTTTTGTTTTAATAGGTATCATAGTGTTCCCACCAGGAAAACAGGTTTTTCAAAGATCATTTTATGAAGGGAGTCCCCAAATTATGACCAAATGCATCTCATGGTGTTTTGTGCTGATTTTATTAAGAGAATAGTAATAATATTCTAGAAGATTAGAGTAGGGCCAGCCTTCCATAGCATAGTAGAAGGATAGAAAACCTTGCTTAAAAAGGGTTGAGAGGTCACTGTAACCAGAAAGCCCTAAGTTATTTCAGCAAAAGTGAACTTTCATTGATAATACGTACAAACCTGAGCTACCTGTATTTTTTGTTTCATGCTCAGAAAATGTCTTTATTTTTTTTCCTTCATTATCTTCTATTTTCAAGTGTATCTTTGACAGACAATAGTAACAAGTTGCTATTCAGAGAAAATAGGTACAGCTATATATGCCCAAAATATTTAATTAAGGATAAAGGATAAGTAAATTAGTTATGTGACCTCCATCCCACCAATGTGCAGATAACTTCATGGTATATAATCTAATTCGTAGTAATACTTGCAAGGTTTCCTGGAACAGATGATGTGTGTTTCTGTGACTGAATGCCTGAATGCCTGCCTACGTTACATTCTAGATTACAGTGCCAGCCCGCGCCTTCAGGACTAAATGTACTCTCTGGGTTTCTCAAGTGTTCTAGGCACTGTGTTGCTTCAGCTGCTCCAACAGCAGTTTTGTCAGATGCAAAGAAGAGCTGCTGTATCCAGCTGGAGATGCTAATGTGCCTGTTGCATTTATTTTGTGATTCATTCACCAGCTTTTGGAGAACACTTTTGTTTCTTGGGCATCAAGGGCTATCCATCAACATTTACTGCTTTGTATTCATTTGTCTGCCCTCTACTGCAATTTATTATACTTGTTAATATTGTCATGAGGTTCCAACTTATGTTCTGTTCTCTGCTTTTCATTGTCATTTTCTGATTTCTGGCTTCCTTCTCTGGAGCAGCTCATTGGTTAGTGCCACATTGGACATCCCTCACTGATTTGCCATGACAGCTTACTCAAGCTCTCCCTCCCTTTATCTTCTTTTCCATGTGAATTCATTGGAAATTTCTTTTTTACTTATGCATGTTTACCTTTTGATGTATTATTCTTTTAAAATTCCACTGAACAAATACTAAGGTTAATCATATTCTTAAATTACTTTGATGTAGTGTTTGACACATCCGCTCTTACAACTAGCTCTTTGTTGTTGTTTTTTGATGGAGTTCCCAACAGGTAGAAATGTATTAGCTTTGTGTTTCTTTTATATTAATGTTAACAAAGAAATTTCTCAGTGCTTGATGTCTTCTTTGTAATAGTAAACTAAGGAGAGGTGCTTCCACTTTCTTAAGTACCTACATAGGTAGTTCGCAGCACAATGTGGGGCAGCTTACTACCAAAGCTATCTCTTTTAGTTTCCATTGACACCTTGCAAAGTACATTTTAACCTATCATCTTTCTAGAAACTCAGACTCAGAGAAGTTAAGGAATTCATTCAAGTTTTTCAGCTATCAAGTGACCAAATGAGGATTCAAAGCCAGGTGTGGCTCTGGCCTGTGTGACTCAGTTGGTTGGGGCATTGTTCCAATGTCAAAAGGCTGGGGTTCCATTCCCAGTCAGGGCACGTACTCAGGTTGTGGATTTGGGTTCAGTCCCTGGTTGGGGTGTGTCTGGGAGGCAGCCAGTTATTGTTTCTCTCTCACATTGATGTGTCCCTCCCTCTTTCTCTCCCTCCCTCCCTTCTGCTCTCTCTAAAAAAAACAAGCAACAACCAAAAACAAAGTGTGGTGTGTCTGAGCCCAGGGCCCGTTCCTTATTTGGAATGTACCGTGCAATGCCTACATCTAGTGAGGAACTCCTCAGGGTGTGCCTGCTATTTGCCTTCCTTCGCAAGGACATGCACCATGGTGCCTCCTTCAGGGATTTCAAACCCAGTGATTTTCACACGGTCAATTCTCCATACAAATGTATTGAAAGAATAAATAAAAGTGTGGACAAGTATTGTTTTATCTAATCGTAGCATTTTAAAGTCATTTTACCTTATTTTCTGTTTGTTCTAGGACAGTGAAAATCCCAGATTCAGCTGAGGGGCTTGGGTTCCAGATCCGGGGATATGGCCCATCTGTTGTGCATGCGGTAGGAAGAGGTGAGTCCATCCTGTGTGGTAAACAGCGTTCTAGCCTTTGTGGTATTTTTTGATAAAGAAGATTGTGTTTAAAATGTATATAATAATGTTGTTATGAAATTTTCCTATCATATTTTATAGTACTAAGTCAATGGTAGTATATTCCTAAAATAATATTTTAAAAATTCTTAAAAATTGTAAGGCATCTTTAAAAATTTATAAGCAGCCCTGGCTGGTGTGCCTCAGTGGGTTGAGTGTCACTCTGCAAACCAAAAGGTCACTGGTTCAATTCCCAGTCAGAGCACATGTCTGGGTTGTAAACCAGGTTCCTAGTAGGGGACACACGGGAGGCAACCACACATTGATGTTTCTCTCCCTCTCTTTCTCCCTCCCTTCCTCTCTGTCTAGAAATAAATAAATAAAATCTTTTAAAACATTTATAAGCAAATGATGCCTCCTAAAATCACTTTGCTCTGTGCTTCCATTTAGCCAAAAGATATAATTTGTCTTTTTCTCTGACAGCAAATAATTTTATTTTTGTTAGTAATTCAAAGATATGACATTTTAGGTTTAAGAATGATTTGTGTGCTTTATAGCTTAGCACTAAATGATTACTTCAAGTATTCCTATAAGCCAAGCATTTTATAAACCATAAAATGCATTTTAAATTGAATAATTTTAGTGACTAAAATCTTTTTTTATATTTTATTCTCCTTTTGTTTGTTGGACAAATTAGCTGTTGATAACTCTTGTTGTTATGTACTTTTAAATTTCATACTAACATTGTAATGATTTAAGGGAATAACTGTTCAAAGCTCACATTGCTGAACATAGTAAATAACTTGGGGCCGGAGCAAGAAGTCACTATGAGCGTAAGAGGCCATTTGTTGATCTCATCAAGAGACATTCTTTACTTTTGTTACAAAGAGGTATAAACTGTAAAGCACCTTATGATGATCGCCCAAACATTAGACTGGAGAATTTTGAGAGGGCATTGTTAGCCAAATCAAATTTATCAGAAACATACGAGGTTAGATTATAAATATGCTTTCATTAGTGTTTGTATGATAAAAATGAATCTTATTTCAACAGCTTGTTCTTTTTACTCAGATTTTTAAAATACATGGATTAGTAAACATTTCAAAAAAATAAAACCTTCCTAACAACTGATTAGTATTATCAAACTGAAATGGGATCTATTTTATACTGAAATGGGACATTTGATATGTCAAATGTCTTCTTTATTTTTACTAAACCAGAATGGAGTAAGTCACACTACCAGTACTACCAAGTAAGTGCAAACCTGAGCAAATCACGTGGAACCTCCTTCCCTAGTGCAACGTGGCGCAGAGAGAAGGGTCTCCCTTTGGAACTGTGTGAGAGGGCGTGCCCTCCATGTCCCCGGGGCATGCCCAAGTATGGTCACTGTGCTCTTTGCTTCTGAAGAGTGAAAGAAATACTCCTGTGCTTTTCCTTTCAGGTGTATATTAAAGGAAAATATATTATTCAGTGATTGCTTTTTGCAGTGTAATTTTGTCATAAGAAAAAGAGGCTTTGTCCTCCATTTGTCAGCTCTTTTTCATGGCTACCACTAGACTGTATCACTCACTGGAATTTCACCTTTAGAATCCAAAATTCCAATATGCCAGGTTCTGATGACAATCTCCTATTTTTGTCTCATCCACTTTGATGTTCTCAGATTTTTCAGTTCAGTTGGGACTTCCGTTCTTCGGATCCTTCTCTTTTTCTCCGGGTTCGTTGTACCCCTCAGGACGGCACTTCCTTCCCCAGCTAGCCTTATCCCCATGGCAGGCCACTTCAGTCCCTCTTGTCGCATCATCAAGATCCCCTCATCCTTATTCCTTAGGTGCATCCAAGCTGTTTCATTTCTGGCACACCCAGGCCAGATCAGCCTCAGCACCTTCTTCGCTCATTCTCCTGAGCAGCTACGAAAAACTGTCGTAGGTTTGGGATTCGTGTCATCCATCCCCATTCAGTCTTGTCTTTACTGGGCCCACATGACTGCTCTGTGGTCTTCACCTGTCTCTGCTCAGCTCCCTCTTTTCCTCCTCACAGTTGCCACCTATTTCCCAAGATGAACTCCCTTTTCCACCTCACAGACAGATTCAGGTGTGAAGCCTTCCAAGCCTCACACCCCTCCTCGTGCACACGTGTTCCTGGCTGGGTCACCTCCACCAACTTTTCTCCCATCCTAGAGGAAGAGGTCTTCTTTTCTCTTTTCTGGAGTTCAAGGTTAATCTCTCCACAGATGTTCTGGATCCCATCCCTTCCATCATCCTCTGGAGTGTTGAACTGTCAGATACTCCTTTCCATAATTTTCAGCCGTTTCTCTTCATTGGATTATTATAGTATAGGATCAGTTCTTTCCCTTTAAAATCAACAAAGAAACAAAGACGTCTTAAACTAGAACACCAAACACAAAACCTCTCCTTTATTTTCTCCTCTAGATCCTTGTGACTCAAAATGTGATCCACAGACCCACCCACAGTACTGGCACCACCAGGGAGCTGGTTAGAAATGGAGAATCTCGGGCCCCAATCAAGACATACTGAGTCAGAATGATCCCCAGGCCATAGGTCTGCATGACAAAGACTTGAGAAGCTCAGCTCTAGACTAATGCTGTAATAACTTTCATTTTTGTCATAGACAAACTTCCTGAAATACTGGCCAAAATTTTCTTTCATCAGTCCTTCCTCACTTCCTATCTGAATTTTAACCCAGTGCGGTAGACATCTCCTCCCACCCGTGTCTCCAAAATTTGTCTTATAAGAGTTATCGTGGATTTAACTGGAACATATAATGGATACTGATAACCCTTATCTTAGTCGAGCTTTTTCTGCCATTTGTTTAAACTGACAACTCCCATTTGCATAAACTATTCATCTCTTGATTCCTGAGATGGTACTTTTCAGATTTTGCTTCTACTCCTCCTCTGCCTATTTTTTTCATCTTTCCAACTGTTGGCATCCTCTTCCCTTCTCTGCCTTCTTGTTCTCCACAGCAATCTTTTTGATCCTCTCTGCAGAGCATTTCTACATTTCTGTTTCCAGCCCAGACCTCTCACCTGGGTTCTGTAGTCCAGATCTAATGGTTTATTATACACGTAGTGGCCCTCGGGCACCTTAACACTCAGTGTTATCCCCTCACACTCCATTGACACTCGGCTCGTTTTAGGGGGTCATGCCACTTCTCTGCTTAGAATTCTTAAATGATTTTCCTCTTTCGTACATAGTTAGGTTCCGACTCTGAGGCCTTCACAACAAAGCACCTCGGGCTTCACAACCTGACTCTGCTCCGCTCTCCAGTATCTCTTTCTGTTCTGAGGTCCCACTCCCAGCCGCCTGTGTGTTCCCAAATGTCCGGGTTATTTCTCAACTCAGTGCCTATTTTCAGGCTGTTCTTCCTGTTGGGAATGTCCCTCACTCCACCAGAAATCAGTTCAATCTAGAAAAGGCACTTAATATTTCTGGGAGTGAATTTTACTGATGATTCTTGACTATAAATTATGCCCATCTAGAATTTTACTAATTCTTCCATGGGAGAAATTGCTTCTAACATACTTATGATAAGTTTTATAGTAATTTATATTAATTGTATTCATTGTTTTTATTAATGGTGCTTTGTAAATGTTGATTTGCTGAGAATACCAAATAATAATGATTAGAAGGTTCTGAATATTTTTAAAAATATTTTTATTTTTTGGAGAAAGGGGGAAGGGAGGGAGAATAAGAGGAAGAGAAACATTGATGTGTAAGAGAAATATCAATTGGTTGCCTCTCACATGCTTCCAACTGGGGACCTGGCCTGCAATCCAGGCATGTGCCCTGACCAGGAGCAGACCTGGTGACCTTTGGGTGGTGTGCAGGTTGGCACTCAGACCCACTGAGCCACACCAGTTCTGAAAGTCTTAATCCCCTGGTTAAGATATGCCACTTCCATATTTAAGTCTATTTCTATTCAAATAAATTATGGACAGTTGATGTTATCTGATTAATGTCATTCTTCACCAGTTCTCTGGTTCCTGACCCTTTGTACATATTCTGACTTAATTTCCTCAGCAAACTCAGTCTACTTGTAGTTGCTAAATGACTTGATTTTTTTTTACTGGAGAATTTCTTTTAATTGTTGGCATTTTTAGAAATGAAAATGAATACTATTTTTATTAATCTTTATTGTATTTTTGCATTACCATTTATTTAGAGATTTTGTAAACTAAAGAAAGATAAATAAGGCATGTTTCTGGCTTTCTCATTTTGCTATTTTATATGCATATTTTGAAAACTAGATTGACTAGACATTTTAAAGGGAAAATAACTGATTAGCATTATAAAGGTTACTTTTCAATATCCCTTCAAATTAATTCATAGGGTGATGGAAAAATACTCTGTTTATCACAGCTTGAATGGCCTGTTAAATAGCAGAAAATTTTTCAGAGGGCATTGCTATGAGAACCAAATATATCAAAAATGCCCTAGTTAGATCTTTATCATATTTTAACATGGCTTTCCCTATTGCATGTGTGATAAAAACAAATATTATTCCTAAAATTAGTTTTTGGCAATTTTTTCACCTGTATGTAAAGGAACTGTGGCTGCAGCAGCTGGTCTTCACCCTGGACAGTGCATTATCAAAGTCAACGGGATCAATGTCAGCAAAGAGACGCATGCCAGTGTCATCGCACATGTCACCGCCTGCAGGAAATACAGGCGGCCAATGAAGGTGAGCTGCCTCTCAGCTGGTCTCCATCTAATTCCAAAGCGCAGACAAAGCCCAGGGGACAGCACAGGATGTTCCAGAGCTGTTGGTGGTTTCTTCCCCTGGGCTCACATTTCAGCCCAGCGTTGCAAATCTCATCATGGTTGCTTTGTTGGCATAGTTATAATTGATTATGCTTAAATGGTTACGCTTTACTGTTGCAGTGTAATCACCTGTTTAAAAAGAGCTCTGGCCCATTTGCATTTGCATTGCTGTTTGAATTTTTGAATAGCTCACATTTTCAAAATGAAACTCAAAGCTTTAAACTGCTTTCTTGACCCTTGTAATTACTTTAGAATATAGAATGGTCTTCTTGTGTCTGTGTATATGAATTATAAGTGCTTACAATGCTTATCTTTAGAATTTTGTGAAAAACTGAACTTGTGGGTTTTATGGGGTCTGAAATTGACTTTGGATATATTTATTTAGGCAATTGAATTTGGCTCTGAAAAGAAAATACCTAAATGTGCTTTCACTATTTAAAATTTTCAGCACTCCCCTCTGATCCAAATTTCAAGTGTTATAGAGAAATAAAATTACAATATAAACAGAGCTTATGTCATGAAGTACAAGCGAGCATTGGACTAAAAGAGAAAATTCAACTCAATTAACTAAATGCAAAAGGATTTTAAATGCAAACAACTTCAAAGGAGAGGTTTTGTGTATTTTCTTTCATGTATAGTGAAATACTATTTTCTGGATTTGAGAATATGACTTTGTGTCCAAACCAGAAAGATGAATGGCTATTTTTTTTATAGTTCAAGCATGATACCTGCACAATACTGAACATTCAAGAAAATAGCTCATCGATTTTGCTTACTAATAAGGTCAAACTAGTACAGCAGATTAGAATTCACACATCGATGCATAGGTTCTTCTGGTTGATAGTAAGTAGTTTAAATAAATATTTATTGAACTGTATTATTTAAAGGATTTTTAAAAGGGCACTTCTGAAATTATCAAGTCATTCTCCTTCCATCAGAATTTTAATAAGTAACTAAATTGATTTGACTTTTATTCCTTTTTGTTTTTTTCTGCCTGCCTTCTTGGAGAGGTGTTATTGGTCAATAAAATGATTAAGAAAAACAATAAATGGAGAGAAAAATTTACTAAATGAGTAGCATGCTCTATTGGGTATCCATTGCCACAAATGTTCTATCCCATAACTTGGTGGCTTGAAATAGCAGTGATTGATTATTTCTCTTGACTCTGCGGGCTGATCGATATTGGTTCCTGTGAGGGCCCTGACCTGGTCTCAGGCCACTGCTGCAGGCTGTCTGTCACTCCGGACTACACCCTGTGTCCTTCCTTTCAGTCATTAGCAGGGTTTTCCTTTTGGCATGGCATGTGGATTTCAAGAGGGGATGTTATAATCAATTAACTCTGTTTACATCATACTTTTGATATCCCTTTGGAAAACTCAGAACACATGACCAAGCCTGGGGTCAGGGTGGGAAGGAGTTACCATAAAAGTGTGGATGCTGGGGGATTTGGATCATTGGAGGCCATAGCAGGTTACCAAGATGTATTTGAATGATCAAATATGAGCCAGCATTTTAATGATGCATAGCAGTATAACAGTTAAACACTGTTAGAAAGTTAATGATACAGGAGGAAAATGGATAGTATGAATTACACCACACTTCAGTAACACAATTCAATTTATCATCTTACCTAGGAAAAATATAAACTTAAAGTAATATAACCCTGAAAGCATTTACTTGATAGCCATTATCTGTCTCATTTATCTCAATAAGACTGGGACTGCTATCTCAATTAAAATATGGTATGATTTATGACATGGGAGGATTAAAAGATAGTTACATCACATAGAACCCACTAGATGAAAGATATTCATCCAACTTTTTTTATCGATTTGATTAAAAAAAGCATTAAATGTATTAAAATTCATGTGACTGTTAGGAGAGCATTTAAATAGTTTGTACAATTACAGATGAGTGATTCTTTAAAAAAACTATTTATCTAACAATTATTTATTGAAAATGTAATTTATAATTTTTTAAAGATATACTTAAAGCATTTAAGTAAGACATTTGGGAATATATCTTACTTAAAAACATACCTTTAGAAGATAAAATTTCAAGCTTTGAAAGGTCTATGTGTTAATAACAATAGTTGCCATCGACTCTCTTATTTAAATTATATTTTATTGATTATGCTATTGCAGTTGTCCCAATTTTCCCCTTTGCCCCTCCACCCAGCACCCCCCACTCCCTCAGGCAGTCCCCACACCACTGTTCATGTCCATGGGTCATGCTTGCAGGTTCCTCGGCTGCTCCCTTTCCTGTGCTGCCCTTTACATTGCCATAGCTGTTCTGTCACTACATATTTGTATTTCTTAATCCACTTTCTGTTAGTTTCTCGTGTTGATTTTCTTTGTTTTTCAATTTTATTACTTTTTTTAAACGAAAAGGAAAAAGATTGTCAGCTCTCCTGCTGAAGCAGGTTTATAGAATGAGCATGCCCTTTAGGAAGCGCTACCACCTCTGAATTTTTCCCTTCCTCATTTCCAGCAAGATTCCATACAGTGGGTTTATAACAGCCTTGAGAGCGCTCAAGAAGACCTTCAAAAATCTAACTCCAAACCCTCTGGAGATGAAGCAGGCGATGCTTTTGACTGCAAAGTGGAAGGTGGGTTCCTTCTTTTCTCCTTATTTGTAGTAGTATTATTGTCAATGTGCCTGTGCCTACTCCCAGGTATTAGAAATCTCTTATGTTCAAGTCACTTCTTTTTTCGTTGTGGAATGTGAAGCTCTTTGTAAGTATAGTTGACATACAATATTATATTAGGTTTCAGGTGTCCAACATAGTGATTTGACATAATTTATATACCTTACGATGTGACCACCACGAGTAATAACCATTTATCACCATACAGAGTTGCTATGACATTACTGACTGCATTCCCTATGCTGTGCTTTATGTCCCTGTGACTAATTTAAAGCTACAAGTTTGTATCTCTGATCCCCTTCACCTTTTGCCCATCCTCCCATTCAAGCCACTTCTTTAAGTCATTGTCAGCAATAGATGTCACGTCAAAAGCATAAGTAGTAATAGCTTATAGCTAACATGTAACATGTACAGCTACTGCACTTTTGTTAGTCACTTTATTAAGTGTTTTATGTGGATTATCTCAGGAAGTCATCAAAAAAGAAAATCTCGTAAGGATGGTATCATTATCACCATCCTCCTTTTATCGGAAGACAAATCAAGGCTACTGGAGGTGCCCAAGCTAGTACAAGGTAGAATGAGGATTGAAACCCAAGTTACAATGTCTTTCCTCGTTTTGAGTTTAGATGTTGCGTAGAACTGCTGTCTCTAGTGTGGTTTGCAGACCAGCAGCAGCTGCAGCAGCAACAGCACCTAGAGCAAGAGAGACATGCAGCATCTCAGTCCCGCCCCAGATCTGTTGACTCAGAATCTCCATGTTAATAAGATCTGATCTGAATGCACACTAATATTTGAGAAGCCCTAGTTTAGAAGGTTCACAGTTTGTCTGAAAATAATTTCTTGATTCAAGTAACATCTACTGTATTCTGACACTGATAGTAATGAAAGAGGCAAACTGATGTGAAAATGAGAGAAAGAGAGACCTTTTGATAAGGACCCATCATTCTGTTTTCTCTGTGATGCAAACCAGCAGATTGCTGTGTCCAGTGACTTCTTTGCCAAGGGGGGAGGGGCCCAGGCAATTACTTTGCACTTGACAAATGCCTTGAATTACTGTTTCAGAAGTTTTAACCAGAAATCCTTGAATCTTCTCTTCCATTTTCCTGGTATCTTTTCACTCATATAGTTTGGTGGGTGACTCTAAATTTTTAGTTTAGGTTTAGTTTCTTGTAAACCAGCCTAAGTAGAGAATTCCCCTTATACAGTAGCAGCAATTACAAAAATTAATACAAAAAGCCGTCAATATAATGTGTAACATCATGCTGTTTTCCCACCACTCCTAGAAGGCCACTTGGTCAGAGCCATTCAGTTCATGGACAGCATTAGAAATATACAATCTCATTGGAGCAGCAAATTGTTATGATAAATCAACTCTTACTTACTTAAAACAGGATGAACCTCAGGACCTTATCCTGAGGCTCTTATTTCCTCATTTAGACTTAGTTGTTGCTAATCCTCATTATCACAGTGAAAGGGAGAATACCTTGATGAAATGCCCAGGAAGTTGATTTCTGGCTATTCTACGACTTAATTATTTTAAGGTATACCACTTTTCTGCTTTTTAAAATTTTATGTGTGCTGTTTTCACTGTTCAAGGACTTAGTTCTTTTAAATAAACTAATCTAGTTTTTCTTTTTTGATATTTAATATTAGGATTCTCAGTGTTTCTTAAGATTTTAGGTGTTTGTTTTTGTTTTTTACTAGCTGAATGGTTGTAGGCCAGGAAAGAAGACATTTCAGATGTAACTGTTACTATAGTGAATGATGACAAATTTTTTTCAATGAGCTATCTCCAGAAGATGTTATTTGGGAGAATTCAGGAGCCCTCCCTGCTGAAAAATAAAATGATTATTTCTTCTCCTTTCTGCTTTTTCAATATGTCTTCATGTATTTTTTCCTGAATATTCAGACAATATTCATTCAGTGTTTAAGGCAGTGTTAAGAAGGCTGACTTTAATTTATGCATGTTTTTAGTGAGAAAATAAAATAATTGTGTGGATAATGTTTATATTGATGTAAATAGGGATATATATAGTCTATAGATCAACATGGAGATGCAAAGGTAAGACTAGTCATGTTAGAATGGTGAGATTTGGATCACTCAAGCATCTTTTTAAAAAATGTTCATTTAAAAAATGTTAACATGGACAGATGCTTCATTTAGCACATCAGATTTAGCCATCCTATAAAGAACTCTTTAAAATCATTCAAAGAGACTCAAATTATTTACAAAGACTAAGAAACCTTTCATTAATTTGCAAAATTAAAATTGTGTTTCTTCCAGAAGTAATTGACAAGTTCAACACCATGGCCATCATCGATGGGAAGAAGGAGCACGTGAGTCTGACAGTGGATAACGTGCACCTGGAGTACGGGGTCGTGTATGAGTACGACAGCACCGCCGGGATCAAGTGCAACGTGGTGGAGAAGATGATTGAGCCCAAGGGTTTCTTCAGCCTCACTGCTAAGGTCAGGGTGATTCTGGGAACAAGGGGCTGTGTTCTAAATAAAGCAAGTGAAACCTTTCCCCACTCCCAACTTAAAGAATGTCAAGAGTTGTGTATGTTTCATCCATCAGCCCATTCAACTTCTATTTTTCCCCAGTGCTCAGCATGTGTACACTCTTCCTTTTCATTGATATTTTTTGGAGCACGGTGCTAAGTTACATGGGGCTTTGGCCCAGGGGAGGGTTAGTTGATTTGGCAAGTCTCCTCTGGGTGTAGTATGTTTGCTGTTTGTTAATTCTGTATCATGTGTATATTTCACATGTTTTTCACATCAGGTGTGCTTTTTTAAATGTACATAATCTTCTGAAGAGTATCTGAAGTCATGAAATACATTACAAAAAATTTCAAATTCTGCAAGTCTCAAGTTTATTTCATAACATTTCATGAAGCTTGAAGATTATTTATGCATAGATCCTCAGACATTTATATAATTCTTGGTAGTAAAAGATAACATCCTTAGTCCTTAGACTGTAGCAAGATAGGGAGAAAGGAAGCAAGTCTTCATCCAAATGTATAAATTGTGTAGGGAGTGCTCTCCATGATTCTTCCACAAGGGAAATCAATCAGACTCCTAAGGGACCCTCCACAGGCTAGGACTTCAGTGTTTTGTCTGCTTTTCTATTACCCTATGAGGATTCAGGTGTTATAAGTAAGTAGTGTGATGTAGCTTCACTGCCTTTATTTCTTCATCTGAATCCTTGTTTTATATATGTGTACTTGAGATAGACTTAAAACATAGCATGTATTTTAAAAAATTTTAGTGGGAGAAAATAATTATAGAAATACAAATGTACTATTTCAAATATACTTTTTGTTTTCTATTCTTAAAGTCAACTTAAAAAATCCCATTATTCTGATTACATTTACCACTGTATGTATCTATTGATAAAGAATATATATTTTAAAAATGCAGCACCTTTCTAGCTGCATTATATTGTTAAAAGGGATCCATGTAAGGATTTGTGATCAAGTTACTGTAATTATTTTGTCTCATTTTCTGGTTATTTCAAACTTCCAAAATTACATGGATTATTTTGTATATGCCAACTGTGTAATGTACTCTTTTAAGTATTTCCATTTCATACATGAAGAAAAGAAAGTCAAAGATGATAAAGGGAGCCCACATTTCTAAACTAGTAAGTTATACTCCATAATAATTAATGGATGAAATAAATAACTCACATGCCACACTCTGTAAGACAGAAGTGGAAGTGATGAGGGAGTTCAGATAAATGCCATCTATACATTTCTCAAAAAATATTTAAAAATGTTATATAAGGGTGTAATCAATCCTTGGGATCTTTGAACAATCAAAAATGCTACATATAAATATGACACATAAATAATTCTCAACTCGTTGGAAATTCTCAGTGATCCAGGGTGTGTATGTGTTTGTGTGCGCACATGCGTGTGCACACGCCCACACACTGCCTTACCATTGGTTCGAAGAGCTGGAAAGATGTACTAATTGGACACATAATAGGATGCTTTTTGTCAGACAGGGCTCAGACACTGCAGGTAGCATTGACTGTTACTTTTGCAAGAGAACTTCTCATTTATTCATTCCTTCAGCAAACATTTGTTAAATGCACTCTGTGTACTGGGCAAGTAAGGAGTCTATTGTATTGTTTTTTCTTAGTTTTTATTTTTCTATAAAGTTGAGGAAAAAAATGTTCTGAGTAACATATAGGCAGTCTTTTTCCACATCAAAGTGTACTGATTACCAGCAAGGAGTCTGAGAAGTCCACTCCCCCCCAATCAGGGAGCCTGTTAACAGCCAGAGGAGGGCAAAGTGTAAGATGCCGAACATGCAAGCCCATTGCTTCGCTGCCAGGGCTTCACTGAACATGGAAATCTTAGGCAGTTATAAGAAGACTATGGGGCAGTCACCTGTGCTGTGGAATTGTGAACATATTATTTGGTTAATTTTAAAGATTTTTGTTTTCTTTTTCTGTCTCGTGTGTGTGTGTGTGTGTGTGTGTGTGTGTGTGTGTGTGTGTGTGTATGACTACAGATTCTTGAAGCCCTGGCTAAAAGTGATGAACATTTTGTACAAAATTGCACCAGCCTTAACTCTTTACATGAAGTGATTCCCACTGACCTTCAGAGTAACTTCAGTACCACTTGCAGTGAAAAAGTTGAGCACATATGTCAGAGAATATCCAGTTATAAAAAGGTAAAGTTTCTATGTATATTGTTTACATATAATTGTTATTTAAATTATTATTTAAGTGTCAAATTTAATTCAATTCCTGATATTTTTATTACTTATTTATGTACCAGTTTGTTGAAATGATAACAAACATTTTTAAAGTTTGTAAAATGCCTGTAAATCTATTACCTCATTTGATCTTTGCAAACCTGTAAGCCATGGCATTTTTCCACATTTTCCAAATGTAGTAACTTAGGCTTAAAGAATTATATTACCTACTAGCAAGAGATAGAGTTGGGCTTTGAATCCTGGCCACCTAATTTTGAAGTCAACTTTTAAGATTACACTATAGTTCTCCTTTTCTCCTAACAGGGGGATCTGAGCCCTTATTCAGAGTGTTCATGGAATTTGGTCTGTTTTAAATTGATCGATTGTTTCATTCATTTGATACCTTTTATTGAGCACCTTTACTATGCCGAGCACTGTCCTTGGGCCCCAAACTATAGAGCAAAAGACAGAATAAGATCTTTCCTCTTATGGTGCTTATGTTTGAGTGGGGAAGCAGCAAAGAAGTAAACAAATATCTGTCTTCAAAGCAGGTGTTCAGGTGTTGAAAAGAGTTATGAGGAAATCAAGATAGGGAGCGATGGTGGGAAGTGCCCAGATGGAAACTTTATTTTTTTTTCAGGTGGTAACTTTAGACAGGTAACTTTTTATTTAGAGAAAGCCTCTTTGAGAAAGCTTGCACTGAATGACAAGTCGAATGACCTTTGTATTATTTTTGACTTTTCATCAAGTCACTATAATTGGATTTAAATGTGTTGTCATGGTCAATTAATTCATGAATCAACTAGCATTAAAAACCTGAAGTTTCATTTCCAATAGTTAATTATAACTGTCACTCTACAAATATGCCTCCCTATATCTATATTAAAAAATAAATATTTCCCTTGAACCCCATACACCTCTTTGCTTACTCTTCCATTTCTTTGACCTTTGTCCTGAAAAGAGCTACCTGTATGTGCTTTCTACACCTGCTGCTCCCTCACCTTTCCTTCTCAATTCAGTCAAGTTGGGCTCCAGTGCCCTCCATGTAACTGAAATGGCTCTTTTTCAGGTCACCAAAGACCTGTATTTTGCTAAAGCTCATCCACTGTTGTCATTGTATTTATAATAAAATAATTGTTATCTGTAGCCATAGTATTACACTGTATTTATTTGTGTTCCCTGTGAAAGCATGAACTCCAGGTGGGCGAGAGCTGTAATTCTAGCATTTAGCACAGGATCTGAAATAGATGCTTCTCATCATATTTTTTAATGAACTGATGTTGGTTAAAATGAGAGAAGACAAGAAAAGTGTAACTCCCTACTGTGGTACATGCTTTGGTGTAATATCAATATATTATAAAATTGATTTCTGAGCATTTCTGTGTGCCATGGGAGATTTATCTGAGATTTTTGGCCTCAACTACAGTGGGAAAGAGCTTCTGACTGAAGTTTGCATTATTATTGAATTCATTAGTAACTATGCTAATAAGTGTCCTGCATTTCAATCCATTTCTATTTGGGTCCTACTATGTTCTAGAAGCTCACTCAGCACTATAGCTTCTGACATGTAATTATATGTATATTAAACATGAAAACACAGTTTAATATATATGTAATATAGTTCATATTCCAATGCTGAGCATATATCTTCAAGATGTGATTTTGATGTCATATCTTTTTTCTTGAACTTTTATCTACAAAAGTTAGCAGTAACCAGTATTTATTCCTTTCAATGCCAAAATTACTATTCTACTAGTAAAATAAATAGATAAGATCTGATTATAGTTTTCGAGCAAGAAGAGAGCATAGAGCTGACTTGATCCATATTCCTTATTGTACTCAGAATGATGGAAAGACTGTGACTCACCCAGCATCGCATCAGGTACTGGAACAACATAACTGCAACACAAGTAACTGGTGGCTCTTGTTGTTTCATTTGTTTTAGAAACTGGGATCCAGTTCAACTTTATGAGATGTCTATTTGTGGTGCATAAGACACATCAGCCTTGTCCTCATGGAGTTTACCATATGCTATGGGAGATGGAGATAGGCAAATTGTTTATAATTACAAGGGGGGGGGGGCTACAGTGTACTGTAAGGTAGCACATGACCAGAGATTTTGAACCTAGACCAGATCTTTGAAAGGCTCCTTGATGATTTCATAGAACTTAAAAATACATAGGAGTAAGTTTGGCAATGAGGGGAAGGAACATGTTCTAGGCACCCTGACTAATGTGTACAGAGAGAGGATGGTGTGTGAGAGGAACTGAGTAAAGACCAGGATGAGTGCAGGGAGTAAGGGAAGAGAGTTTGTAAGATATATACAAGCTAGGTGTGATTAGACTTTGGGTGGTTGTAGAGAACATGGCAAGGATTGGATGGATGTGGGTTGCAAGGTTTTAAGCAGTAAAGAGGCTATCTTAGAAGTCCTGCAAATCTTTGAGTATTGCTTTATTCTCAATGGCATAAAAGCAGAGTCCACTCCAGTCCTCAGGCTGATCCTGACCCAAGTGCTCAGCAGTGATTAACAGAAAGAGTGGGAAGTACAGTTGGTTCTGTCTGTCATCCTGCTATTCTGGGTCAAACACTCCACACCTTGCTGTCTAACCTGCTCAGGTTTGGATTGACTATCTGACAGTATTCGAAATAATCCCATCTTCTTCCACTTGACCCCCCTATACTGGTGTCCTAGGACACTGATTTCTCTCTCAAACCCTCAGCTGTTAGGAGTCTGTGCATTTGAATCCTAGACGGTGATCTTGGTCACCTAATTGCTTTTAGCACCTGCCTTGCAGTTAGAGTTTCCAAGGAATCATATGCATATGCTGCCCATATTGCTTTGTTTTATTAAAATGTGTGAATTTTAACATAACGAATTCTAACATCTTATCATTGATTGTGCTTGTTCCACTTGACATGATTTAATTTTCTTTTGATTTTGCTGTGGATGATGGGAGCAAAGCATTTGTGTTATATCACTGTGTTCAATGGCTGTGTATTTCTTCTCTAATTTGCAGTTTTCTCGTGTACTAAAGAACAGAGCCTGGCCCACCTTTAAACAAGCCAAATCTAAAATATCTCCACTGCACAGCAGTGATTTCTGCCCTACCAACTGCCATGTGAATGTGATGGAAGTTTCTTATCCCAAAACATCGACCTCCCTGGGGAGTGCGTTTGGTGTTCAGTTGGATAATAGGAAACACAATGCTCACGATAAAGAAAACAAATCTGAGCAAGGTATGCTGGCTTTTGAAACTTGGTCGGATCATGACAAGTAATTTCATCAATCATAACTGTCCCCATATCCCTCACACTGGATAGATTTCTGAGGTGTAAGCAAGTCTGAACTTTCGTAAGGAAAGATTCCTCACTCACTATGATCATTGGGATAATTAAGTATAAGCATTTGCAGAATGAAAATGGGGTATGCATTTTTATTATTTTATTTTTCTTTTAAGAAGATTGACTGTTCTTGCTTTTCTTACACATGATAGGCACAGCTCATTTTGCTGTGAAAACCATTCATCTGAAATGGCTCTGTAACTATGAGAAAAATACAGGTGCATGTTGTAATTCCCACCACCTCAGCAGGCTATGGGATTGAACTTTATTCCTCCCCTTGAATCACAGTTTCCCACATGTTTTAACTCCTGAATTAAACTCAGTCTTGGGTTGGCATTTTATCGGATGTAAGTTTGGCCCTCTCAAATGAATCGCCCTGGATTGTGAGTGTCAGTTAAAGGCAGTAACTACCACTGTGGAATGATTTTCCCTCCTAGGGAAGCTGAGCCCCATGGTGTACATTCAGCACACCATCACAACCATGGCGGCCCCCTCAGGCTTGTCTCTGTCACAGCAGGAGGGGCACGGGCTCCGGCATCTGTTAAAAGAAGAAGACTTAGAAACCCAAGATATCTATCAGAAACTGCTGGGCAAACTTCAGACCGCACTGAAAGAGGTGGAGATGTGTGTGTGTCAAATAGATGAGTAAGTTTTTAAAATTTATTTTAAATATAGCTGTAGAATGTAAATATAAAGGTAGAAAATGAGACTTTTGAACGTTTATTACTGTCTTTAGTTTTTGAAAATGGAGGAGACTTTTGCTGGCCAGAGAGATCCTCTTCTTCTTGAGAACTTAGAAATGATAAAACATGGCAAATATATATGTATACACACACGTATATATGTATATATACACATATATTTTAAGGAAGCTTTAAATACCAGGGAAGAGAATGACAAAATTTTATTTTAAGGCAAACACTAAATAAATGTTAGTGTGAAAATGTTACATTGAAAAATACGATTGAAAGAGTATTAACTGTGTGTGAGGATTTTACAGATGTAGTCGTTACAGAGCAGGGCACGGTCCTTGGTGTACATGCACACACTCGATGTTTAGGAGAACCGTAAACTGTGACAAATCCTTATACTTCTTAAATGAGTAAATCCAAAACATCGTATCCGTTGGACCAATGACCAACACTTTTTTTCACTTCTGATGGAATTAATGGTCCAGTAAGCAATAACCCAAATAGCTGTGCCAGTAGTTTGAAAGATTTTACCAAGCAAGGCAAAGGAAGTTAATCATAACTTTTCTGAAAAAGTCAACTCTGAATCTTCTCGAAGAGGTTGACAGCTGGAGAACTGCCTGAGCTCTGCAGGGCGACTCGCCATACTGTGGTGTGTGCTTATGTGTCATGTCTAGTGAAGGCAGCTCTTTGTGGTCAGAACTACAGTGTCTTGTGTGTACAACAGGACGAATAATAATAATGCAGTACAAGCTTGTGGTGACAATTATAAAAACTAATACAAAAAGCGGTCAACATTATGTGTAACATCATGCTTGCTCACCATTTGAGGGGTTAAAATTATTGAACATGTCCAAAGGTGGTAGAATCTGAAAGTGGTAGAAGCACCATTAATCCTCTTTTTATTGAACCTCTTTGTGAAATTACAGATTTACATTGCCATTGGGTGTTGTTGTATATCCACACACACCAACATCTTCCCATACTTCTATGGGTAATTCAGTTTTGACAAAATATTTAAAGCTCATTCTAAGCCTTTGTTGCAATTAGACACTAATGAAGTTTTAATTGATGTGACCTCTGACTTTACACATCTTAGATGTTTAGAGATCAAAATCACCATATTGGATGCATTATTTCTGTAAGATTATCTATAAATATTTACTATTTTTCTGATGTTTTAATGAGTTAATTTAGAATTACAGTTCTGTTTTCCTGTGTCTAATACACTAAGTTTTTAAAATGACATAATATTTGTATGTTATATTGTGACTGCCCCACTCACAGATGAATTCAATACTTTGAGGTCCCTGAGAGCAGGAAGCTATTTTTAAACAAGTATATGATACTTTTGAATTATCCTAGAATGACCATGGGACCTTGTAACAGAGAAATGTATATTTTAGAGCATTATATTTTGCTTTGTTTAATAAATCAAATTTCATTATATGATTTATTCCATATTAGAAATCAGTTTTTTCCTCCAAAATATTTAGGAAGTGCATACAAGAAGATTTATAGGCAATAAGGCCATAAATAGTGGCACTGAATCATGTATCCTAGATCTCAAAGGGTTTTAGGAGAACATCTGGACCAATCCCATACTTCCAGTCAGGCCAAGAGTTTTTATCCCTACTCTTCAGAAGGGGCCTTTGGCAACGGCAGGGTTATTGATGTGCCTGAGCGCACGCTGCCGCAGAGGCGACGTCTCCAGTGCACTCACTACTCAGCACTGCCTGGCAGTTTTCCAGGCTTTATCCATCTGTGTTAATGTTTTGACTTTTTATTTCTAGGTTCTGCTAATGTAGATAATATTTTTCAAAATGGTTAGAACCAAGGAGCTCCTTTTTCTTGGTTTAAAATGCTATAGATTTAAAGCACTACTTGCAGGAAGGAGTTATTATCCAAAACTACTTAAAACGATTACCTATTTTTACTTAAGATTTCTCCACTCTGTTTTTTTAAAACGTTTTACCCAACTGGGCATGCTTCTTAGCAAAGGGACATGAAATGAGCAAATGATTTGAAAAACGTCATGGTCTCCTCTGTGTGTACCATGTAATTTAACTGCAAATATAAACGTGTTTCACATAATTCAATGTGCAGTATAATCACTTTAAATAGTGCAGTTGTCTAGGAGCCTGCATTCCCCGCCGCCCCTAGAATTCAGAGATGCTGCAGTGCGGTCAAGCTTACCGCATTATCTGAAAAGCTAGTTACCACACAATTTTCTCACCATGTAATAATTATTCTTAGTCAGATACAGAAATCTCTGCTGAGTAGAGAAGCAGATGTCAGATGCTTTGCCAAGTTTTAAGAGAAACTGCCTCAGAACACCCCATTGCTAGCCTTCCCCAAAGCCATTCATTCTGGTGAAAGGGCCTGTGGAGAATGTGCCTTCCTCGGGAATCTGGTCAGCCCGTCACGTGGGAACACTTCTCCTAGAACTAAAAACTTTGATTAACATGTAGGCATTCTGCTGAATCCTCCCCTTTTGTTTAGGTCCAAAGATGGAACTAGAGATGAATTTGCTGTCTAGTACCATGAAATAAGGCGACGTTATGGGTTAAATCAAGACTGTGTGATTCCTGTTTCTTGGTGGGACACTGAATACGTTTGCTTTTTAATTGGCTACTTTCTGATTAATGACACTTAGGTACTAGATGTTAATAAAGGGGAAAATAATTCATGGACAGTCTAAAACTTTCCATGGTATTTCAAAATGCAGGGAGGAAAGAAAGAAAGAGCCTTGGGGGCTAATGAAGATAGGAAATTTGAGAATAAACTTCATTTCACAGGTGCCTGACATCCCAGGATTGAGCTATGAACAAACCACATTGCAGGACATTCAGGGAGCTGGGGGTTACAGATGCAAGTGGTAGGGCTGTGGCGGAATTCACTCTGAGCTTTCCCAAGCCCTTTTCTGGTAAATGTGTAAAAGAGGGCGCAGCATCACGAAAACTAACATTTATTGTAGGTGCTTATGCACCAGGTACAATGAGTCACTTTATGCACTGACTGACTTTGTTCTCACAGTTCCTCTGTGATGTGGCTAATGAACCACTGGGAAGTATTACAGACACATCAAACTTAAATTTCTTTTCAAAACTGAATTCCAGACCTTCCCATACTCAAATCCACCTCAAGCCCTCTACCTTCAAGGTCTTCCCTTGCTCAGTGAAATATTTCCTGTCTCTTCAGTTCATGAAGCCAGAATCTGGGTCTCATTTTTGACTCTTCCCTTTCCTTCCCTTCACCTCCAGTAGTCCATCAAGTTCTGTGAATTATACCCCAGAACTACTCAGTGTATCTACTCAGTCATCTTAGAAGGGGACACCGTCGTCCCGTTGCATGTGCCCACTGCAGGCGTCTCCAGCGGTGCCTCTCTAATACATGTGACATTCAACTGTGCCAGAGGGTCTATAAAGGTAAATCATGCTAGTTCCCAGTTTAAAACCCTTTTATGGCATCGCAGTCCCATTAAAATAATATTGAAGGGGTCATTGTGGCCCGCACGGCTCTACATGTGCTCCTGCCCCTTCTCCAAGTAAACTCAGTTCCCTGAATTCCTGCCATACTAGCCCCCTTTCTGTCCCTGGAAACTGCCAAGCTGCCTGGTCAGCCCTGCTCCTTGAGGTCTGTCTGTCTGTCCTTCTAGGGACTTAAGTGTCAGGCTTATGGCCCAGGTGTAGATACTCCTGTGTCCCGTCACCTACGTCACATTTTCTTGTGTCCAACTCTTTTTACCCACTTTTTTGCTATGGTAACTCAAAAGCCTCACTACAAGGTTTCTTTCTTGCTCGCTCTCCACACCCACCTGGGTTGCAGGGTCTCTGCTCCACAGTGACCGCCCTCCCTGAGTGGCTCTCAGCCCTCGTCACGGGGCTGCCTCTGCTTGTCACGGCAGCTGCTTGTCACTTGTGGTCTGAGGCAGACCACACTGGCATAAAGGTGACCTGGAAAGGACCCATGTCACCTCTGCTCACAATAAAAGCAAGTCCCATGGTCATTCCCATCCTCATAGGGGTCAGGGAAGCCACCCAGGGGAGCTGGGATGTGGGGGACAGCGTTAGTGACCACCTTCCTCCCCGTGAAGTGTCCCAGTGACATGAAGGCAGAGGGTGTTCTGCTGACTTTGGAAAGTGTATGTATACAAGGGATATATGTATCCCAAATTTAAAATGAGAATAAAAATAGTAACAATGGTACCAGCTTCATAAGGTGGTTTTAGGGATTGGATGAATTAATGTCTGTTAAGTACTCAGCCTAGCTAACATCAGATGTTATCTATGATATGCAAAATACAAAACTCTGTTAATCAAGGGCATCAGGAAAAGATTGACTTGGAATGGCAGGCTGCTCAGGATTTTAATTCAGAATTAATGGACCTACAGTAGGTAGCTTAATATTATATATGAGCAAAAGTAAAGGAAGGTGTTTCTGCATACACACATGCTAAGTTTTATGCCTTCTTACTGCTTTCAAGAACCTAGAAATTTTATGGAAAAATGTGGTGTCAAATACTGTTTTCCAAACATTTGTTAGTGTAACACTTGTTCCCACAGGGTCAGTGTGGGCATGAGTGCAGCTATTTCAAATGAAAAGCAAATATGAATACATTTCATATGACTTGGAAAGAAATATTTATGCTTACCCCACGGCTCCTCATTTAAAAGATACACAGAACCCAGCGGACTCCTTTTGGAACGAGAACTCCTGCAAACTCTGGTATTCAGGGTTTATCTGTCCGTGCAGCGTGGAGCTTGGGTAACTGGAGCTAGTCTCCTGCTTCATTCTTTTGGATGAAGGGAGTGAATGCATATTCAGTCTGCTTTACAAGACATAAAAGTATCCTTCCAAATACAAAAACTGTGTTTAAAATAATATATAGCCTCACAGAGCCCTGAGCCATGGACCACAGCTTCCTGGTTGTCCCAGTTTTCTAAAGCCCACAAACTACCAAGTGTCGGTCTGGTGCCCTATCCCAGGGAGACCGTACACGGTTGGAAGATGTGGACCTGGCTTCCTTCTTGTCTTGGTTTATCTCCTTCATGTTTGTCACTGTCTGATGTGCTGACTAGACAGTTTAATTGTTCATTGTTTGTTTCTTCCCAGGAGTTTAAGTTCTAAGAAGGCAGGGCTTTCATTTGTTTTGTAAACTTGGTAGCCACAGAATTGAGACCCATGCACACTACGATAAAGGTGTCTAGTTAATTAATTAGTAAAAACCACATAACAAGTCTTTGCTCAATGCACAGCATTGGGTTTGACATTATGGAACATACTGACAAGAGATTTAAGACATTTTTCCTGGTCTTGAAATGAAACGAACAGGACATTGCCGTGGGAAAATGGGTGTCACGGTTTGTGCCTGTGCGGTCGGTCAGAACAAACATCGTTGCTCTTTTGTAAAAGAGAAGGCAATGGTTCCTTGGAAAAGCCATGAGCAGGCCCCTTTTTCAGATGTGATTTAATTGAAGTTTTATGGCATCTTGGTGGATAGTAAAGACCGATTCCGGTTTTGCATAATTTTGAGTTAGTTCTAACAGAAACCTTTTCCAGCCAAACATTCATGACTAGGGGGTTGGAATCAGTGCTCCTCGAAGTCGAAAATCGAGTTTTACACCAGTTCAGCATCCGAAGGTGACATTTTAGCCGTGAGCCAAGTTGGAAGAGCCCCTCACTGGGGCAGACTTGTGACACTTCGTCCAGGCTGCCTGCAGAGGCTGTGGAAGGAATCCCCTCTGGCTTCCTACCATCACCTCATCTGTGGCTCTGATTAGTGTTTTAGGGTGACAGGGGCCAGGACTCCTGTTAGTCTGAGCTGAGAGACAGAACCGACAAACGGAGAAAGCCTGGGAGACGGCTGAGACCCGTCTGGGTGGGTATTAAAGCACATTTAGTGTTTATTTTGACATTTGGATAGCCATGTAAAGTTTCCCAAGTATCCTCATATGGTGGTGATAGTAGATAGTGGCCAGGAGTGGAGTGACTCCAGAATGTAGCAGGAAATGCGGCACTCTTGTTTTATCCTCACCGCAGTCCTGTGGGTTGTTGTTATTCCCATCTCACACATGTCCAACAGTCCGTCATCGTGTCGCTTTGAGAACAAAGCTAATAAATCAGAGAACCAGGATTCGAACACAGCGTTCTAGTCTAAATTGTGTGCTGTTTCCATTACTTATTCTGAGAGGAAAAAGTAAACTTTGTAGGACAGGTTTTTTTATGAGGTAGTATATTTACTTCGTGTGAAACACAGATGCACTCTAGACATATCTGTAAGCCTGTCGTATCAACAAGTAAGCAGCCAGTTGGTAAGACATGCACTTTTTCTTTTATATCACACTGCAGCCTTCTGTCTTCGATCACGTATTCTCCTAAATTGGAACGTAAGACGTCTGAGGGCACAGCACCGCCAGACAGTGACAACGAGAAGGGGGAAAGGAACAGCAAGCGAGTCTGTTTCAATGTGGCAGGAGACGAGCAGGAAGATTCAGGCCATGACACCATCAGCAACAGAGACTCGTACAGGTAACTCGTTAGTTCCCTAAATGCCTTTCACCCACGAAGCCAAGTGTGATTCTGTGTTTTCCACACAGGTCTTGAAAAAACAGTTTGAGTGTTGTTTTTGTGTCCTGCTCACAAAATAACTGCTAGCTCTGACCAATCCCAAACAAAGTGTAGTGAGACAGCGTAACCTTTCAAATGCTTCCTTTTTATAATCGGAGTAATTTTGAGAAAGCATTTTGTTCTCCAGCTGTGTGGACCTAACTTGGGAAACTTGTTATTTTTGGTTTGTGCAACATCTATGGCAAATAATCAAGTTGTGCCTATATGAGCCTTGTCCACGATATCTGTTTCTGATTATTGGACAGTCAGGTAGTTCCTTTTGTCTTGCTTCTCCCCTTTCATCTTTTATTTTATATTCCAAGCTAATTGGATGACTGTCACTGGCTCCCCTCCATGACCAGCTTTGTGTATTTTTTTTCTGCCCTTGCACGCCTTCTGTATAATTTGGGTAGAGCTGATGTAACAAAGTACCAAGCACAGGGTGGCTTAAACGACAGAAATTTATTTATTTGTCCTCCACGGTTCTGGTGCTAGAAGTCTGGAATCGAGGTGTCAGCAGGGTTGGCTCCAGGGAGGGCTCCAGGGAGGACTCCGGGCCAGGCCTCTCCCTTTGGCTCGTCACATCTTTGCCCTTTCAAGCATGTCTCTGTGTCTAAAGTTTCTCTCCTTAGAAGGCCACCAGTCATACTGGATTAGGGCCCATCTCAATGACCTCATTGTAACTTGATTACCTCTCTAATGACCCTCACTCCAAATATGGTCCCATGATGGGGTTCTGAGTGTTAGACTTCAACAAACAAATCTTGGGAGGACACATTTCAACCCGTCACACCGTACAGCATCCAGAATCTGTCATCTCTCTACCAGATTCTCAAAGGATGGCCCCTCCAGTGAACTTTCTTAACTGAGACAGCTTTTTCTCCTTTAAATCTTTGTGTCACCTGAAATGTCACTGAGGACTGTTGTAACTCACCATCTACGCTATGTGTTCAGCCTCAGCATCTGTCATTTTATTGACATTAACTAAAGTGCTATTCACTCTTATTTATTATTCAGTGTTTCACAATGAAAAGATACTAAGTAATTACTATTCAATCAAAGTTATTCACATCAGAGATGTTTAGTGCATGCTATTAAAAACATATTTTTACAAGACACATGGAGGGACAGGATGATCTCATGTAATTCTCACCACAGTCGTATGTGGCCAATTCTGATATTAACTCCATTCTACAGATCAGGAAGCTGAGGCCCACAGTACTTACCTAAGTTACCTAAGAAACCATGTGGTCTTTCTTAATCCTCTACTATCCCAATTTCTATATGGAAGGGATTTTAACACACACATAGGAGTTAATTATTTCCAGAGATTTAATAATGTGTCACACAGATTGACCACTTTTACCATTTCATTTACTTTTAGCTTCTAAGGATGTATACTCTTTAGTAGGAACCTGTGGTTTTTCTCCAGAGGGAGATTACTTGTCTAAAAATACTTTCTCACCTCAAATTCTAGTTATCAGGTAATTAAAACCACCATCACAGTCTCTCTGTTGGCACAAATAAATATTTTCCATGAAATTTAAAAGTTAAATAACTCATTTTTATTTTTTGTGAGAGGAAAAAATATTTAGTCTCCTGCACTATTTCAGATATTGGTAGGATAGCCACACTCACTCACAAGCATTTAGACCTTCCCTGCGGCACTCAGCAGTGCCGCGCGTGAACAGGTCTGCGTCCTGGGCTGAGCTCTGGGGTGGCAAGAAGGCCCTGGTCCCGCTCAGGGCGCCCCGAGTGCCATTGCGAGGCTATACTTCAAGCTGCCAGGAAGAATGGAAAGGCAGAGATCATAAAACAGGATTTTATTTGTTTCTATGAACAAATTAATTACAGGCATATACTGGAAAAGAGATTGTGAAGAATTATAAGTTTGGTTTGACTCCTAGTTTTGTACCTATTTTTAAAACTTTTATAACTATGCATTTTAAAAATTCATTTCAGATTAGGTTATATGACAAGAAAATTTGAAATGTGATTGAATTTTAAATATATTTTTTAAAAAAGATTAACTGTGAGACAAGTTTCTCTTTTTCATCACTTTCTACAAAACATTAATAAATATAGTTCCAGCATAGTAAGTTTCTCTCAGAGAAAATCACAGGGCAAGTGTGGCAAATGCAACCTTAAAATAGATGTAACTAACTCCTTTTCAGCGACTGCAACAGCAACAGGAATTCCATCGCCTCCTTCACAAGCATTTGCAGCAGCCAGTGCAGCTCGTATTTTCACAGCGATGACATGGACTCAGGTGCGTTTGGAGAAGGCATTGGTGCTTTTGGTGCTGGTCCAATTGCAGGTCCTCTTCAAGGACTGACTTGTTTGATCTTAATGTGTGTTCAGCTTCATCAGTCATCCCTGGTGATGGTACATGTTGTGTTTCAGTGTTACACGCTTGATAAAGCCCATTTCCCAGTCCCATTATAAGCAGAGAGTTAAAAAGAGATGAAGGAAACAACTAATTTTTAAATTATCTTAATATGTGTCGTATGATCTTTCTGTGAAACTGTGAAGGATGACAGGTACACAGGAGGCGGGCTTTCCTAAGCATTAGGATCGTTGGTTGGGCATGGAGGTGGGAAGGGCTTTGCAACTAAGGACTCGGTGACACCTGAAGCACTGGAAGTAGGTGCTCCTGAAGTGGCCCGGACACAGGTGAGGAAAGCACTGGCTGATATACATGCCTCCTGAATATCTTGTTTTGTTTGTGTTGCAAACAAAACTTTTCAGCCAATTAGGATAGATTTTCATTTTTAAATCTGTAATTTATCTCAGCCATTAGAAAAATGTGCCATTTGAAAGAATTTTACACAGTGCAGTATTCTTTCTGTGTGGCCTGCTGTTACCTCACTTTCCAAGGATCAGTAAGCTGATACCCTCACAGCTATGAAATCTTTTAGAATTCATTTTCTGAACTAATGTATGGAATAAGAGCTTTTGTTTCCATTTAAAATTTTTATTTATATTAAAATCAATTAGAATGTTAAATGTAAGAGTAATGATTTTTTTCCATCTAGGTGATGAACTTCCACTAAGTGTTCGCATTTCACATGAAAGACAGGACAAGATACATAGTTGCCTTGAGCATCTTTTCAGCCAGGTGAGACTGGGACAGTCATGGGTGTTTTCTCTGTAGGTCAAAATGCCAGGAATCTCTTTTTCAGATACAGTTGAAAAGAGCTTGGAATGAGAATAAAAAAGCCCCAATCTGTTCCTCCACCAGTATATCTCAATTTCCACAATTTAAAATGGGAATAACTATTCCTTCAGACTACAATAACCCAAAGGATTATTGTAATGTCAAGTATTTTACAGTCCTGGGAAAACTATAAAGAGTTATACACACAAGAGTTATTCTTTTTATTGTTTGTTTCTGTATGGGTTTTCAGAATCTTTTATGACATTTCTTGTTCAATTTTTTTTTTTAATTTCAAAAGCACAAGATTGTCTCAGGGCTCATGTTGCTATTTTATACTCTTAAAAAATTGATATCCATTACCAGAATTTATAGTGTACAATTTTTTACTACTTTGAAAATAATTTTGATAAATTTTAGCTTTTTTAAGAACTCTAGAACATTTACTTCTTTTGTGACATGAATTTGTATTTTGTATAAATATATAGTAGGATAGGAAGAAATGTTGCAAATGTTATCAGGTGAATTTATTCCAATACTTTGTTTAAAGGTGGATTTCATAAAGAATTAATGGGATTTCAAAATAATCATATTTAAGAAAAACACATGTTACAAGATTTGCCCTTGGAAAAATATGTTACATTACGGGAATATGTCACTCATAGAATCTCTACTATTTTCTTAGGTGGATTCGATTACCAATCTTCTAAAAGGGCGAGCTGTGGTGAGAGCCTTTGAGCAAACCAAGCACCTTACCCCAGGCCGAGGATTACAGGGTAAAGTTTAAAAAATAACTGTTAGAAACAGTTGGGGAAAAAGTGGTAGACAACGTACCTGTGGAACAAGATTATAGGACAAGAAGAAAAGTTGTGGCTCATGCTTCATAACTCACTTCGTACTACTTCTTTTTTTGATAATTTTTGACAATAAGGAAGAACTCAGTATAAGACCTTTTAGGCTTCTATGAATGTTAAAATGTTTCATGCCTATCGGGGCCAGACTGAATTAAAAATAAATTTATTGAAGACATGTAAGTAGTGAGTTGCTGAGGCTGAAATCAAGCGTGGTGCTTACTTGCTCATATCTCGGGGTGGGCGAGGGGGGCTGGGAATGTGGGAGGGCAAACAGAACAGGACCTAGAGCTGCAAGTTCCAAGGTCTAGTTCAGGGTGTTTAAAGGGTAGTTTTTCTTCTAAAATTGCTCCTTTGTTTAAACATGTATAAGAAAATAATATTAAGGTTTGGCTTTCTGGCTTTAACACATTTTCCACTTATGGTGTAGCTAAAGAAATTACCACAATGATGATTATTTAGGGCAATAGCAAAGAAAACAAGAAGATTCTGAAGGTTATAGTCTTGCTAATTGGTAAATAGTTGAGAGTTAAGAGACTTTTTTTGTGTGTTTATTTAGAATTTCAGCAGGAAATGGAACCAAAGCTGAGTTGTCCAAAAAGGTTAAGGCTTCACATCAAGCAAGATCCTTGGAATCTTCCCAGCAGCGTCCGGAATCTTGCTCAGAACCTCAGAAAATTTGTTGAAGGTCAGGATAAAAGCAAAGAACATCTCATGATGTCCGCAGTTGTCACTTAAAAACCCATTAAAACCAAAAGTTCAGGAAGGCTCTGATTGCTTTTTCAGTGTTTCATGTTAAAAGGAAAATAAAAGGACTATAAAGTACGATGGAGGAAGACAGAAAGAAGGAATAAGATTGTAGAACCTTGTGCTCTGAGGATCTAAATAATTGATATCGTGGAGAATAAGTGATTAAAATAAGTGTGCATACTTACGACAAATGGAACACAGAGAGAGTTTCATATTTTACAATATGAAACAACAGAAAAATTTCTCAAGGATTCACAAAAGCTGTGACGCTAAATTTTACAGAAAGTCTAAAAAGTTGGTTGTGCATCTGCGTGAGAATCAACCAAATGACACAGATTGCATCGTTTGTTTTTAAGTTTCTTTTTCAGAATTGCTTGTCTGAGTTGGTGGTGGTGTCACCCACCATGGCAGTATTTCTTCAATACCCTGTAGTTGGTAAACCTGTAATTAGAGATAGAACTTCGAGACAATTTCAATAACTATGATGGTGTGGTTAAGACTGGAGTTATAAGTAGAAAATTCTGAGACTTGCCAACACGGTTGTAGTGAAAAAGATGAAATGAGAAATTTGTTTAATTTTTTTTGAATGTCTAATTTAGTGATTTTCTTCCCAATATTTTTGGCCAGTGGTTAGAGACACATTTTCATTGTCACAACTGTGCTTATACTCTTGGCATCTAGTGGGTAGAGCCCAGGGGTACTACTGAACCTTCTACAATGTACAGGATAGTCCCTCACAGCAAAGCATTATTTCACTCAAAATGTTAAGAGTGCTAAGGCCATGGAACCTGTGAAATGAATAAGTATTAAGCTTGTGCTTAAATTTTTATTCTACAGTCATGTGTACATAGCTGGATATGGTCCATGCTATTCAGCAAGATTACAGTATAACCCCAGTCATTACCATTATTTTAGGGTAAATTAGAGAGCTTTATATATTGGGTTTTTTAATGCTGTGAATAAGCAAAACTCAACCAAGTAATTTTGAAGACCTAATCGGATTTATTAAGGGATTTGTGAATCTTGTAGCATCTCATCTTGAGTCCACAAGGGTACTCTGAGGGGGTGTGTAAGGTGGAAAGTCTATGTAAGAAGAGGTGTGGGGCAAGGGAGCTATTAACAAAAGAAGAGACCAGAACATCTTCTTCTGGAGGAAAAGGAACTGCAGGGGGATTATGGTTATATTTCCAGGAAAGGTTGAAACAGCGATTAAGTCAGGTATTAAACCTAGGTTGGGAATCACGAGATTTAGCATGTGACCCCATTTTGAGTCTGTGGTTTTCTTTAACAATGTTGGTAAAAAGCAGCTCTTAAACGCAACAGAGCCTGTCACTTAACCACTTTGGGCCTCAGTTTCTTCATTTTTGGAGGCCTTTTTTTCTGTGATTGCTAAGTCTCCTGCCTAGAAATGTACTCAAATGTAACAGCTTAGGTATTGCTTAGAAGAGATCAGTAGAGGAGTTTGTGCAGATGCAAAAAACTCCAAATAAATCACAGTAATTCTATTGTGTGATGGATTGTTTTGTTCTTGACAGCCAGATTCCTTGGCTATGTTTTATTTTATAGCTAAATATAATGCTTACTTGAGACACATTATAAGATCACATTTAAAAACTCCCCAAAATAATGAGTAGCAAAAATGATAATTATAGTTTTGCAAAGGCTGAGAGGCTTAAGAAAATTAGACCTCTGAATCCTTTGTTTTTGCAGCTTCGCATGTAAAATTTAATGCTTTCAGGTATTTTCTGAATTTCTTGTTGGTAAATTTTGTTGCTCTGATTATTGTGAACTTATGTAGAATAGGATGCACGCTAACCTTTGTTATTTCCCATAATCTTGGGCATGTAAAGAACTCTGCAGGTTTTTATATTTATCTATTGCAAGTAAACTTTGCCAATTGGAAGTAAATGGACGCATAACTCATTAGACACATAGTAATGAGTATAAAGTTGATTCGCATCACTTAGAAACATTTGTGATTGACCCAGTTTGGAGATGGGCTGGGAAGATGAGTATTTGGGAACATTTAGTAGTTTTCTGTCTTTTAGGACAGTATCTTGACTTACAGATAGGCAAGGAGGACTATACATATTCTACATTTTCTATAAAAATAATCTATATAATTACATATAGACTATAATTATAATACATAATACATAATACATAATATAATGTATATAGTTGTATTTACTATTTACATGATCTTTAAAAGTTTAAATAACTAAGAAAAATACTGTTTGGTACTTCATTGATCAAGACTATGACAATGGTAAATATTTAGAGAATAAATACCATGTAAGCTGTAGCAGTTAAAGAAGACCTACAGAGTTAGCAGGATCTGAGTAATGTTTCATAGGCTCACAAATTTCAGACCTAGGAGGCATTTTAAGGTCTTTAAGAATGTGTAAAATTTATATAGGCAAATAGGAAAGAATAGTATTTCAAGCAAACAGGACTTTTATTACCTCATGTAATGAGATTGTGCTAGTTTTTTATTAAAGTACAGTTAAAATGCAGCAGAAAAAGACTGAATGGCTAAGTGATTTTTTTTTTCCTCTGCAGAGGTGAAGTGTAGAATACTTCTGGCACTTCTTGAATATTCAGGTAATATTTTTCATTATTTTTGCTATTTAAAATTATTGTGAACCACACCTTAGAAAGTCTTATGATAGATATCTAGGCAATGCCTTCATCAAAATAGATGGAAATATGATCCCTACCTTCTCTAGACTCCTGCAAAGTTAGAAAAAAAACTTTAGTTTTGATAAAAACACAAAAATGTGTACTCATCTACAATTACCAGGAAAAGCATAAAGATACACATAAGCATTTATATAGAATATAATCTAAAAAGAGAAGGGGAGCAGGTTTGATAAAGTTAATTGTGCAAATGGGACATAATGAGAACCTGTGTCTAACTTTTTGACACGAACGAGGGTGTAGGTGGGCTCTGATTCAAGGGCTGCGGAAATGGAGCTTTTAATAGGAGAAGTCTCATCTCAAAATCATATTTTAAAGGCATGGATATAGGCAAGGGAGGGCGTTGTGACCACTTTTACAATCTACCACAGTTGGAAAATTTAAATTATAAATAAATGAAAGGAGAAGCTAAGTTAACCAAGAGGGCCTTTTTGTTTGTTATTTGGTTTTTGCCTTTAAAATGTTTTTGCTTTGCTTCTTGAATAAATATTAATACCATAAACTTTTTACATTTAAGTTCTACTAATAACCGCATAGCCAATGAACCTAATTTTTATGTATTTCATCTGTGCTATTAGTAATAATAAAATACTATTTTTCCACAGTTTTAAAAGAGGAGAAATTAATAATCAGGTGATTAATAATAAATAAAAATCAAATAATTAAAAATTAAAAACCAGACAGATTAATAGTAATAACTAGTCCATGGTGCTCATTCAGCACATATTTTGAGCATCTAGGAGATTAGGCAAACAGATGCTTTACTGAGAACATGAATAATAAAGGGGGAAGATTTGAAATTCAAACTTGTGCCAATTTCAGAAGTGGTCCTGGAATGTATTACTTTATCATTAATATTCAGATGGCCGTTTTTACAGATCCTTATTTTGATTTAAATTTTATTTTTGCCATAATTCTTCTTTTTTCTGCATTTTTCACTCACTCTTTGTTCCCTCTTATACATAGCATAGCATCGAAACAGAACCAAATTACTCCATATTGTTGGCTGTGAAGTTACACTTTTCACTTGAAAAGAGTAGACTGTACTGCTAAATATATTTCTTAACTCACTTTTACTCCTGCCTCTCTCTGATCTTCTCTTTTAGTTTCTTGTTTATTTTGCTTTATTTTCTCTGTACCATCTCAGAAGAATGACTGGGATTGCTCGCATATCAAGAAACCATCTAATTTTCTTTAGACCAGCCAGATAATTGTGGAACTTGACCTTTTAAAACAGTTGAGAGTAAATGAAGTCTTAATATTTTAAAACATGTTTGTAGAAAATTAGTTTATGTAGGCTGAAATGAAATAGAATCATTTGATACGTTTTAAAAAATCAACTTTTTAGTGTATTTCCGTTACAAGAGAATACTTAACTCTGCAAAAGAAGTAAACAAGCTGTCAGAAAAGAATACAGCCCTCTGCTTCTCTTCTGCTAGCAGCTAGAAGCAGCACTTGTGATTCTTGCTGCAGTTCTTATAGATAAAAGTGAAGAATGAGAGTAGCATTGGAAAGGATGGACACTTCTGAGTTTCAAACAGCTGCAGAAATAAAAGGAAAAAACCTATGTGTTTGTGCTGGGAGTTGGCTTATTTTGGTTTCCTTATTTATCATGTAGCCCCTCTCCAGTCAGCAATGAAATGGAGCACCCACTCATTGCCGGGCCCCATGCTAGATGCCAGAGAAAAGAAGAATCACTATAATAATACTGTCCCACTTCACTTCGCTAAAATTTCACTGTGCTAAATGCTCTAAATGTTTGTATCTCATTTATTGTTATCACAGATATAAAAATTAGGAATGCACCATTTTACATGTAAGAATCTAATACTTATGATTATATGGTTTAAAATTGGTGGAAGGGGTAGAAAAAAGCAGATTATATGCCTCTAAAGTCCAAGGTATTCACACATTATATGTTATATGCCACACCCCCTGGCCTTCTTGCTGGAGGCCCCTGGGGTTCACAAGCATGGAACAAATTCTCACCAGGATAGGTCACCAGCCATTTAGTACAGGGATGCCCCAGCCCTGGCGGCAGACAGAAGTGCACAATACTTCCAGGAGAGGGGAAATGTTATAGGGGGAGATGATATTTTAATAGTTCACAGTTTTTTTTAAGGTAAAACCATGTGTCATTCTTTATAACTTACAAAAAAATTTTTATAAACAACTTTATATATAGAAATAACTGTAGAACAGATTTGTATGCATGGGGAAACTAACCAGAAAGGGAGAAATATTGGCCAAAGGCCTGGAAAATGCTGGAAATGTACATGAGAGGGGAATTAATTTGAGGATTAATATCTGATACCCATAATCAATAAGTTCCTAGGTGATTTTTTTTAATCAAGAGAAAATAACCAAATTTAAAATACGCATATGTATGGTAACACTACATACATACATGAGATGTTCAAAGATCCCACTGGCAGGAGATATTCAGAGACAGAAAGAGGGATTAAGGTGTATTAGACATTCTGAACTAGGGATGAGGTAATGCACCTGGGTGGCTTCACAGGGCCATTGTAGGGTGATGAGAACAGATGTTTAGTAAATATGCCCTGTAGGCCAGGCACCTATTCACGTTCCAGGTAGTTAAATAAAGGGGAAGAAGTTTATCTGGAGTTTCTGCCTGCTATAGTTGCCTTCAGCTCAAAACAATCAGCATGGCTCAGAGACACATCTTAGGGCGACTCATTCTGGACCCCACAGTTCCTTCCTGAATTGGGGTTGGTACAGTGTTCTGTGTCTCATTAAAGGATGTTAGCCTTGAGGAAAGTTCAATTGTGTAAACACTTGTATCTCATTTCAGGAGGTGGTAATGCAGGTGGGCTCCCAAAGTTAAGCCTATCGTAAGCATCATGTATTTAATGAGGCATCTCTATGGAAATGTAAGAAAAACAAAGGTTAATGATTGGAGTAGACTATAGTCTCAGCTGTTTGAGTTCTAAAGGCAGGCGGTCAAGATTATTTGCAGATGGAGTGGGATCAGGCAGTGACTGACCGACTCTCCTGGTCTGCAGTTCCAATGTCCCTGGTGATGTTTCTACAGCAGGCATGCAGACTGTGAAGAGTGTCCGCAGATGAGCTGCTGTTAGGTCTCTGAGGTCTGCGTCAGGCTGTCCCACGTTAGCCTTGCGTGGCTTGGAAAAGGGCAGGTTTGGTTCTCAACAATCCAGGTCAAAGGATGGGAAAATGAAAATGTTAGTTTGGAGCCCTGGCTGGTGTAGCTCAGTGGATTGAGTGCGGGCCTGTGAACCAGACAATCGAGGTTCAATTCCCAGTCAGGGCACATTTGTGGGTTGCAGGCCAGTTCCCAGCCGCCCTCCCCCAGCAGGGGATGCACCAGAAGCAACCATACATTGATGTTTCTCTCCCTCTCTCCTTCCCTTCCCCTCTAAAGATAAATAAATAAAATCTTAAAAAAAGAAAATGTTAGTTTGAAGGGTTACAGCCAGATATTTAAGAAAACTAGTAAAATTCAGGACCCAGTCCAGTTTATAGGTAGAAAAAAATTTAAAAGAAACTCAGAAGACAATAGCACCAGAATCTAATATCCATAAAATATAATTTCTATTAAATCATTTTTTCTCTCTAAAATGACCTTCATTTTTATCAAAATAGCCAAATTAGTACTTATTTGCAAAATAACTCTAGTGTCAATAAACTTGACCTGGTTATTTGTACAAGTCCAGCAAGAATAGTGATTAACCACATAGGCTCTTTTACATTTGCTTTGCTGGAATTTTTCATGAGGAATCCTCATCTTAAAAAGGCCTCTCAGGGTCAGAAAAAGCCAAGCCATGTACTTACCATTAGACTTCACCTGCAATACCTACTGACACTCAAGTCAGTTGACTCTGAACCAGAAAAGTCCCTGTTGGTGCTGCCTGTCACCCCAGACCCAAAAAGCAAAGACAAAGATGGAATCTTTACGGTCACTTTGGTCAGATGGCCAGCGATCTGAGAAGACAGCAGGTTATGTACCAACCCTGAAAGCGTCTTTCATTCCTTTCAAGCCAGCCTTTTTTTGTAAGGAGGAAAAAGTAGGTAAGGGATTTGGAATTCAGGAAAGAGGTTACTCAGATAAAAGCTGCAGTCCAGTTCTCTAACATCCTTAGATTCACTGACCAGTGATTTCCTGCCTGTGTCCTGTGTCCTGGATGATTTCTACCTGGGTCCTGTGTCCCGTGTCCTGAGTGATTTTCTTCATCTGTATCCTGTGTCCTGGGTGGTGGGATGTCTGTCCCTGGAACACACGGCTCAGATACCACCTTGGTTGCTTATGGTCTCTTCTGGAGCACAAAGGTTGACTTGCTTGCAGTCTCCTGGAGTCAGGGTGGGCCATACCTTCAGTTTCTGAAACAATAGCTTTTTACATGCATTAACTATTAAGCTTATTAACAATCACCTAAAACTAAAATTTTCTAACTCTTGAGGTCCCCATCATCTTGACCAATGAGTTAAAGTTTGCGGGTGGGGAGGAGAGCAGGGCCTGCATCCAGAGGCCTGTGGACAAAGGTGTGGGCTGTAGGGGTAGTTCATGCCTGAGGAATGCCGAGCAGTATGGTGTGACCCAGAGAGGTCTGTACAGCCACTGTCCTGGCTGCTTTCAGGTGCATTGTTTTATGATATTCTCACAAATATCTTGTGGAGATTGTTGCTGGTTGTCTGGGATGGCTGGAAGTGATGTGTTGAGAAGCTGTAAACAGGAGTTGGATATAGACAGAGACCCCTTTCCACTATTCAGTTTTCTACCCTTGTTACTCACTGGGAGATAGTAACGTCAAAAGTCACTTGAGAAGCTCTTAATATATGATGTGCATTTTGAAGTCTACGCAAACCAGTCATTTACTCTGTTAAAAACTGGAAGGTGGCAATTGGAAATCACCTCATGAAGTAGTAAGTATTTATTAAGTGTTTTTTATTTGAAAATATATTGGTTTAGCATTTCAATGACAGTGTGTACTGAAGGCATCTTGTTTGTCCATCCTCAGTCTACTGGGTGCAAAGGCGCCAAGGCCCCAACTCGAACTCCTGCGTACCCCCAGTAGTCGGTGCGCTGGTTAATTCCTGCGGGGCATCCAGCATTAACATTTTGAGTTGATGAACAAATGAAACTTGTGTGTGATTAGTTCTGATTTGGTAGCGAGGCTAAATGAACATTTTAATTTGGCTTACAATGCATATAGAATTTAGTAGCAGAGAGTAGAAGAAACACCTAAGTATTTATTAAGATAAAAGAAGAAGAACTCTGAGAATTTCTTCTTTAATTGTTGTAGTGGTAAAGTCCTAAAGCTCACGGTGTAACCAGATCCTCCCGTCTCCAGGCCTTAGCTTTCTGCTGTTCATATAAGTGATTTCTTTCTATTCAGATTTTTATTAAGAAATTATTCTCAGGTTATAGGTCGGAATACTCCTGCCAAAGCTATTGAAGTATATTTTACAGTTGCCCCAGATTTTCTCCTTTATTATAGGACAACACAAAAGCAAAGCAACAGCCCTGACCATGTTACTCACTTGGTTATAGCACCACCCAGATAAGTCAAGGTTGAGGGTTCGATCCCTGGTCAGGGCACAAGAAGCAACCAATGAATGCATAAATAAGTGGAAAAATAATTTGATGTTTTTTTCTCTCTCTCAAATCAGTAAATTAAAAAATAATTAAAATAATTTTAAAAAGCAAAGTAACAATGTTCAAGGAAGATATAGGGTAGTTTTTGCCTCTTCTTTAATCTTGGCCTTGAACCTCAGCCCTCTAGCTGCACTTTTGGGCTAACCACTGTCTGAAGTAGCCTTTTAAGTGGAACTAAATCCTAGCATTTCAAGAAGCCTGAGAATGAAGTCAGACATTTCCATTTCACTTAATTCATTTGTCTGTGAGTTGCTCTACTAGTTTATTGTTTTCATTATTAATTCAATAAATATTTATTAAATGTGTACATTCTATTAGAAATTATGCACAAAAAATAAGTGTTTTGCATTTTACTTAACTGAGACTTGGACAGAGTTCTTTCCCATTTTAGATATTTTATAGTAACTTATAAAATATTATTTTCCATCTATTAGAACAGGGCCCATGGTATATAACTACTTAAGGAAAATGTCTAACACATGTTGTTGGTTAAATTAATAAGTTGAACCATATGGAATTGCTATATTCAACTACTTTGACCTACAAAAATAGCAAATTCTTATAGTTTAACCTAATAAATGAAAATTTTATTATAAAATTAAATATTTTAAATTTACATTATGTGTACACATGACTTTAATGGTCATTAAAAACAAATGTCCTGTGTTCTTGGTAAACAGCTTAAAATTATGCCTTTTTATCAATAAAGCATGAATTCAACACTGAATAAAGGCAGCATTTATACTGTGTTATACACTAATATGAATAAGATATTTCAGAAGATTCTGAGCTCCCAAAATATTCAATAGGCTTTTGGGAATATGATTATGTTTACCTTTGTTCTCCTAGTAGATGGGATTTTTCAGTGTATAGAGCACATAGCTTGGCATTATGTTATTTACGTAGCTTGTTCATGTCCAACCACTCAAGGAAGTTAACCCTTTGTGGTCAGGCTCTCAGATGCACAGTCTCTTTCCTCTGAAAAACCTGGGGCCCAGGAGCAGCAGCTCACATGGTAAACATTGCTTCAGAGTGGTTCAGTGATAACTCCAGTCAACTGCAGAATAAGATCTTAGGAAAAATCAGTTTGTGCTAAAACTGTAAGTGCATTACTTATTTCAAAGCAATATAGGAGTTTAGGAAATGGACATATTTATAACTTGTCAAGTGGAATAGCAAATTCAGGAGATACAGATTTGCTGATTTTTACTGACACTTGGACATTGATACTTTTTTCCCATGTGTATTTCACATAAATATTTTAATAGGTGTAGTAGAAAAAATTTATTATTGGTAACATCTTATTTTGTTTGCCAGTACAAGCTGAAAAATTGAGCTTTGAGTTTCCTTTAGGAAAGTTTCATGCAACAAATGCAAATTATGGACCCCAAGGGGAAAAAATGTAAATAAATAAAGCCTTAGTTTTTTTCCCTCAGGTTTTATAAAGCAATTTAGTAATTACAAAATAAAGTCACAATATCAATTAAGACAATTTATTTTAATGTGTCTACATAGTTTTTGCTATTTAGTATTTTCTAAAAAATTATTTTGCTAAAGTGTATGTGCCCCTTCGAAGAGTTCAAGTTCACATTTCTCACATGGTGTAAGGTTAGTGACAGGATGAAATAACAGCGAGCATAAACACTTAATGGCTTGGTGTGATTCATATGACATTTCTCAAAACCGTCTTGATGTTCTTCTGAATCACAGACAGTGAGCCACAGCTCCGAAGAGACGTGGTTTTCTGCCAGAGTCTCGTGGCCACCGTCTGCGCCTTCTCTGAGCAGCTCATGGCAGCCTTGAACCAGATGTTTGACAACAGCAGAGAGAACGAGATGGAGACGTGGGAAGCCAGCAGGCGGTGGCTGGAGCAGATCGCCAATGCGGGCATTCTTTTCCACTTCCAGTCACTTCTGTCACCAAACTTGGTAAGGAGACACAGTGCACACCACTGTCTGTGTCAACTGAAACTTCCGTTGTAGCGTATTCCCAAATAAAAGTGGTTATTCCTGATTGTGTCAGTGGTCATTCAGCTACTTTAAAAGAGTATCTTTTTCCATGGGCAAATAGAGTTTTTATAGGCATGTAGGAGGAATTTTTTCTTTCCTGATTTTCATCTCTTCTCAGTGACTACTAACAGCTGTGAAAGCCTCCATCTGTTATTAATTCCTGCATCCCTAAGCTCTTGACTGAAAAGGTCATCAGAGGAATGAAAGTCTTTCTGCTACGGGTCCTTATTTTCAGTCCAGAAAAAACGCCATGTGATGGAACCTCACCTCCCACTGAGGCTGATATTCTGGAATATTCTTGATAGAGAGCTCTGACAACTTGCACGTCATACTGTCTGACAATCTGTTTCAAACCTGCATGTGTTAAGTGATTCCTTTCTTTACTTTGTGAGCATGTTTGTCCTGTTAAATCTAAGAACGTTGTGTTAGTTACTGAGTATTCCATGTCTGTTAGCATTCTATATTGGGTATGAAGAAAGCGTCTCTAAATATTTGATAAATTATACTGTGGTGAACTTAAGAGATTTTTCACACGTACTTTCTGTAGTTCTGATAGTTGTCATGATGTTTAAAGGCAAATATATTCAACTTTTATATATAAACAAGGTGCTAGTTAAAGGGAAGGATGTTTTTGAACATGAGATGCTACATCTATTGAAGTACACAGAAAATGAAGCTAGTAAGTAACATGCTTAAGATTTTAAACAAATGAGGCCCTGGCTGGTGTAGCTCAGTGGATTGAGCATGGGCCTGCGAACCACACAATCGCGGTTTGATTCCCAGTCAGGGCACATGCCTGGGTTGCAGGCTGGTTCCCTGCAGGCCAGTTCCCAGCAGAGGACGCACGAAAGGCAAGGCAACCATACATTGATGTTTCTCTCCCTCTCTCCTTCCCTTCCCCTCTAAAAATAAATAAATGAAATCTTTAAAAAAAGATTTTAAACAAATGTATGTGAGTATATACATCATACTATGGACTTTCTTCAGTGACATTGAAGATAGGGAGGTAATTGCTGTACTGCACGGTCATAAAAGGTTCCGGAATGGTGAGGAAGCCTACCTCCATCTACTTCAGAGAAACAATTAGATTCTTTTGAAAAGACTCTGCTAATACAACCAAATAAAAAATTTAATTAATGAAAATTTTAAAGTGAGGATCTTTTGAAAATGTTTAAAAATAAAGATTAATTAATACCATTGCCTAAAAAAATGCAAATTATGAAACATAGGAAGCCCACTTCCTAACACATAGTAGGCGTTAAGTGTTGAATGAATGAGGCTTTATTTCTATTCCGAGTCTTATGTTCACACTGCCATGGTCTAATCAAGTGCTGGTACTTTAACTTTAAACTTCATTTTATTTGAAATTTTATGTATTTATAATTTATATGCCTGATAAGTGACATATCTAGGTTACATAATGAATTCTTAAAAACTAAACAATGAAAAAGCAACTCAAAAAGCGGGCAAAGGATTTGAATGGTTGTCTCTACAAAGAATATATAAAATTGCCAAGAGACAGAAAAAGAGATGATCAGCATCCTTAGTTACAGGGGAAATGCAACGCAGAACTACAGTGAGATGCTGTGTCACATGTGATGTGGATGGATGGCTACAATCCAGAAAGACAGTTACTCACGATTGTCAGTGAGGCAATGGGAGTAAAATGGTGGAGCACTTTTGGAACAGAATTTTCATATCTCACAGAAATTTTACTCCAAGGTAATACCCAAGAAAAAGGAAACTTTGTATTTACGCAAAAACTTGTACACAAATGTTTGTAGCAAGCGTATGCATAATAGCTAAAAAGTGGAAACAACCCAAATGTTCATGAAATGACAAGTGGATAAACAAGTGGTGGTATATCCATACAGTAGACTATTATTCAGCAGTAAAAAGGAATGAAGTACCAATACATGCTGTAACGTGGATGAATGTTGAAAACATTATGAAATGAGCCAGTTTCAAAAGACCACATACCATTGTGATTGCATGATTATGTAAATCACCAAACAGGCAAATTTTAGAGACAGAAAGTAGGCCAGTGGTTACCTAGAGCTAAGAATTGGGGGATGGAATGTGGGGAGTGAATGCTTATGGGTACTAAGCTTCTTTTTGGGGTGGTGAAAATATTCCAAAACTCGATGGTGGTGATAGTTCTACAGCTCTGTGAATATACTCAAAACCCCTGAGCTATATGCTTCACATGGGTAAATCTTATAGTATGTGAATTGGATCTCAAGAAAACTCTATTTTATTTATGTTGCCCTTTCAAAACACTTAGTTTTATTACAGAATTGATTTTAAAAAGGTTGAAAAAAATTGAAGAAACCATAGTGTTTCTGCCAAACCAGAGCATAAAAACCTCCTAGCCCTGTGAGGGGAGCTGCAGGCTCTCCTGGTCCGTGTGTCCCTTCGCTGTGGGCACAGTCCTGGTCACTAGGGTGTGGCTTCAGTCCCGTCAGTTGGAGCACTGTGGCATGCATGTAAGCAATCAGAGGCCAGCCCCTGTGGGACATTCCTTCCTGCGTGTGTTCCTGTTCTGGAAAATTGCTGATTCTTTAGTTCTGTCCTGCTGTTCTGTTCATGGCATTTTTCTGCTGCTTCAAAGGACTTCAAGAAGGAGCACTTTAATAAGCATTTATCCAGCACTTTCCCTGTCCTGTATACACTGTATTCAGTACCACACCAAGGTTAAAGGCGACAATTCTCTTAACCTCCTGGTTTCCTCTCAGTGATTCTTTGTCACACAATGAAAATTCTTTACCATCTCTCCTGCAGTCTCTACTAATGCTGCCCCCAAAATATGGCTATAAACGTAGAGGAACTTTTTAAAAATGTGTGTAAAGCATGTTAATATTATAAAGGATCATTGACATTCTTAAGGAAACAAATGTCACCTTTAAAAGAGAAGCTATACATGATAAGGCTCATTATTCTTTCATGAGGAAATTAGTAAAAGACTCGAGACAGTGTACTAAACTGCTCACAGGAAGGCCAGAATTTCGTATCAGGTGGGTGATATTGCTGAGACATGCAGTGAACTTGTTACCATGCCTGACCTTACCTGTCTAAGATGGAAAATAACATGCTGTAAAAAAATCAAATCTCATATTCACAAGATTCTAGGGTAAGGCCCCAAAAAGGCAAGTGAGATGACAATGATTTTATTGCTAAGCCCTTTGAAAGAAAAATCATCACACACATGCAAATTGCCTTTATTACAGTTTCAATAAATTGCAAAATGAATAATGCATAGGTTATGTTATTATAAAACAGGATGACTATTATCTCTTTTGGCTTTTTAATAAAACCTTTTCACCTTTTAGCTGTTATAAGATTATAGACATTTAGAGCGAGTGGCATTTTTTTGTACAGATATATTTATAAGTGTAAACAAAATAAATATGATTAGACTCTAGCTACAAAACAGACTGAAAAGTTGTGTAGAACCATTTAGACAATTGAGAAAATGAAAATTTAAAACTATAAGCAAAATGTATAACTTTGAGAAACTTATTAATTTGATTGAAGGCAGTAAACTTTTAGTTAAGTGTTGATAATTTGGTTTATATATGAATAAAACACAAGTGCACCTAGTCTGGATCTGGTGACGTCATGTACTCTAGGCCAGGCCAGGCCGGCTATGCTATGGTCTACGCAATCCTATAATATCATGTACTGTTTGTTTTTCTTTCTCTCTAGACAGATGAACAGGCCATGCTGGAAGATACACTGGTCGCACTATTTGATTTGGAAAAGGTCTCTTTTTACTTTAAACCATCAGAAGAGGAACCACTGGTTGCAAGTACGTAATTAAATGTTTTATAAAATTTCTTTGACATAAAACAACAACATATGGTAATACTTTTATGTGAATATATGTAATATGAAGTTTAAATTGTTTTATATAAAATATCACGTGTAAGGAAAATAATAATAGCAATTTGGAGGGGGCGAAAGGTATATGTGACTTAAATCTACTGATAATTCTAAATTTTTACTTTTACGTATTAGTTTGGCCTCCAGAACTTTCTGAGCATCAAATTTTGTGCTAGCAAAATTTTCTTCCCTTCTTTTTTGTTTTTGTTATTGCAGTAAAACATATATACCATAAAATTTACCATTTAACCAATTTTCAGTGTCAAATTCAGTGATGTTGTACAACCATTTCCAATGACTTTTTTCACTCTCCCAAACAGAAACTCCAGACTCATTAAGCTCTAAGTTCCCATTCCCCTCTCCTCTGGTCCCTGGTAACCTACGTTCAACTCTCTGTCTCTATGAATTTGCTTGTGCTAAGTGTCTCATATGAATTAGACCACAGGATATGTGTCCTTTGTACTGCTTTTATATCAAGATATAAAACAAATAAAATGACTTCCCTAATATATTTGGCTGTGTGGCTAAACCCCATAGATTCCAAAACAAGTTATTAAGTATATAGTAAAATTGCCTGAATTGAGTGCATACTCAACTGAACATTTTCAGTTGTTCCTTAGAGAATGTGTCAGCAGGCACTGAAAACAGGTATTTAGGGCCAATAAGAAACAGAAGAGCCCTATGTTATGCTCACGATGTATAAGATTTCGATCTAAACCAGTTCAGAAAGGCATTATAATTATTTGATCTGACAATAATTGGTAAAAGTTATAATTTAATTTGAAGTAGACACATCTTCTGTATTTTTGCTAGTTTAAAAATGAAAATTGAAAATCACTTCATCTGAATGTCAAGCATTTTAATGTGTATAAATAATCACAATAAGTATCCTGATTCATTTATTTATCTCCGACAATATCCAAGACGGCAGAACCTTTCCTATCTTATTCATTGTTGTATCTCTAGCACCCAAGAGAGTGCCTGGAACAGAAAAGGCAGTATTTTTTTTCAAGGAAATGAATGAACAAATATCAGTGAAGTACATGCATTGCACAGGCAGAAGGGCTTTATGATCATGAAAGCAGAAGTAGAAGCAAACTTAGTGTGAAGAAGGAAGGAGAGAACTTCAATGGAACATCCTTGTATGTAATGTTGCAAAGAAGTTACTTAATAAATTGAAGGACTGAAAAGCATTCCTTTGATTTAGCAATTTGCCATCATTGTACCTAATAAAGATAGTAATTTAGAAGTATACATTTGGAGAAATAGCTATAAGTAGGGTTTAGTCTCTTTATCTTTTAGTTTCTGCATTATCATTGATCTACTATTCCAACATTGTCAGAAGTAAGTTTAAAATTTATGTATGAGTCCAAGAAATATTTAGCAGTTTGTTATTTTTCTGCTTCTTGCTTATGCATAAGTGTGGGGACCTTGTGTATTATGCTAGATATATTAACCTCTCCAGGGGTGGGAAAAGTTCTTACTTATTTTCACATTTTTAATGTCTAGCACAATAAATAGGGACCCAATAAATATTCATTTAATACATGATCTGATTGAAGAATGATAAATCATTCATTCATTCATCAAAACTTCCTTGAACGCCCACTATAACCAAGCACTAGTCTAGGTGTTGATAACAGTAAACTAAACAGATGGATAATTCTCACGGAGCTGATATTCAGGTGGGGAGATATGAGTAACAAGCAAGACAAATGAGATAACCTGATAATGCATTAGAAGATAATACTATGAATGTATAATGCAAATGGGAGAGAACAGAGGATGAAAATGAAGGAGCTGATGAAAGGGTGCAAATGTCTAACAAGCTAGGAGGGGGAAGCCTTATAGGAGGAGAGCAAAGAGCTGAAGGGGTTAAGGGAGTGAGTCACACAGACATTTGAAGGAGATCTCCCAGAGTCATTGGAACATTATGGCATGCTCTCAGAATAGCAAGGAGACCTGCCGGGCTGGTGTGGAGTGACTGAGGGAAAAAGAATAGGAGATAAGAAGGAAGAGGAGGCCAGACCATTGAAGGAGCTTTGCTTCTCTAATTAAGCCATTGAGCAGAGGAATGACATGATCTGCCTTACCTGTTAAAGGCTGCCTCAGACCACTGCATTGAACAGACCATTACCAGGGGCCAAAGCAGGGCAGCTAAATAGCTACCGCAGTGACCTGGGTGGAAGAGGATGGGGACTTGACCTTGAGGGTGGCTGTGGAGATGGTAAAAGTTGTTGATTCCATAGGCATTAAATTATGAAGGAAGAGAACAGAATTTTATTAAAGTTTTACCTTCACTGATAGATGAGAGAAGAACATGATTAAAAAATTAGGAATAGAGGTTATATTCAAGGGATAATTTGTCTGATAAAGGGGATTATTTGATAAGGATAATATTATTTGAACAAATTTTGTAGTCTTCTGTGGGCCTGTATAAAATAGAATACATTTTCATTTACTTAATGAAATGTAGGCGTAACTTCACTTCTCTTCACAAGAAGAGAATGATTCTGTATTCAAGGATCATCAAATCTTAGTTTTGTGAGTTAAGAAAACTAGAGCTTTATCATTAATTGCATGTGATTTAATTTCTGTAGAAGCAGAGAAATGAGATTGATTCATTACTTGGTGTCACTGTGATGGAAGCAAGTTGGCTGTATGCCTCTGAGAGGGCTGAGCGCAGAGGGGTGGAGGCAGGAAGGTATAGAGAACGAGAACATTGACCTGGAAATCAGGAAAGCTTAGTTCAGATCCTGGTTCCATTCTTGTCCACAAACATGAGAACATTAGCTTCCCCTGACTCACAGGCTTGCGAGGCTTAAATAAAGTAATATATTTGAAAGTATCTAGTATTATATAAGGCTCACTGTAGTAGTCAGTAAATATTCTAATCCATTCTCCTTGATTTACTACTTCATATTCTTTTCAGAAAGCTATATTTAAGCCCTGGCTGGTGTAGCTCAGTGGATTGAGCACAGGCTGTGAACCAAAGGGTAGCCAGTTTGATTCCCAGTCAGAGCACATGCCTGGGTTGCAGGCCAGGTCCCCAGTAGGAGGCATGTGAGAGACAACCACATATTGATATTTCTCTCCTTCTCTTTCCCTCTCTCTAAAAATGAATAAATAAAATCTTTTTAAAAAGCTATATTTAACATTACTCATAGCATTGTTTTTGTACTAAAGAACACTGAGATTCTGAAGAATTACAATATACCAAGCAAGTAGAATTCAAACGTCTGTACTGAAGACAGTTTACTTTCTTAAAAGAAATAATTATTATGTATATACAACATGCTGAGTGTTAAACTCAGATCTGGGGAGATAATGATGACTACATGAAACAATGTCCCTGATGGTATCAAGCTTAGAGACCAGTGAGAAGTACAAAGGAATAAATGGACCATTTGACCCACTTCAGCACAGGGACAGTACAAGGTACTTCCCACCTCCTATGTGACTGGTGAAGGAAGAATAAAGGAACTAAATTATTAGGTTGTATCTAATTAAATTTTGCAGAAAATCTTTATGTTTTTGGAGAATAATATAATGACAGCAGACCTTCCCCTTTTCAATTGTGATAAAGGTAGTTTGATAGGAACTGTTCTGGGAATGCATATTTTTGATCCTGCACTCCATCCGAACGGGCCTGGAGCTGTGGGTGCCTTGGTGACCTTGATAGACCATGTCCCTGTCCTCACAGATCTCATAGCCTAGGTGGAAGACCACAAGTGAGGAATCAACAACAAAGACAATTAGGGATGTGATAAATCCTACACAGGGAATAAGTAAGGCATGAAGAACAAGGGTGAGGTGGCCCTTTTAGATGTCACCAGTGAAGGGCTCTCAGCAGAAGTAGCTTTTAAGATGAAACCTGAAGGATAGGAAAGACCCAACCCTGTCCAGGGTAGAGGAAATGCAATTCAGGGAACTAACTACTTCCAAGTCAAAGACTTATTTTCAGACTCACTGGCCTGTTCCATGATGGGGCCCCGCCTTTGAAACTTCTCTCAAGGATGCATCTCTCTGTAGGGTAGACCCAGAGACCTTTCCCTTATGCAGTCATGTTTCTGGAGCTTTTAATCATTACGTAGTCCTAATCATCAGTTTTGTTTTCCACAGCTGATAAATTATAACTAAAAGGCAGTGATTTTCAACTCCGCATTATTATACACTTTTCAGATACACTTAATACTTTGAAAGAAATGGGTTTCCATTCTTTTACATAGTACTTTTAGTTTTTTACTTCATTTTAAATTCAATAACATGGTTATTTTCATTTCAGTTTCTTAATTTCTAGTAAATCATCTTTATTTGTTCTTTGTTAGGCCTATAATATGGAACTCACAACTGCATTATATATTTTTTCAATAACATTATTCATTTGGCTCATGCAGAGATAGGCTGCATGGGTGCCAAAGAGTAAGGAGAAGGAATTAAAATATATATGAAAGATGCCCTGGCTGGAGTAGCTCAGTGGATTGAGCACGGGCCTGCGAACCAAAAGACGTTCGATTTCCAGTCAGGGCACATGCCTGGGTTGCAGGCCAGTTCCCAGCAGGGGACGCATGAGAGACAACCACGCATTGGTATTTCTCTCCCTCTCTCCTTCCCTTCCCCTCTAAAGATAAATAAATAAAATCTTTAAAAAATATAATAAAATAAAATATGTATGAAAGACATTGTTTAAAAGGGGAGCTAGAAAATACCAATATTTAAAATATGCAATATAAATCTTTATTTTCTTTGGTGTCCATGTATCTTTTTTCTTCATTTTAGAATCAGGAAAACAAAAAAAGAATTTTTCCCAATGATTTAAATGTAGTTAATTTCCAAATATTTGCCTGAGAAATTTATTTATTCCTTTTTCTAAATCAAGATCCTTCATCTCCCTTAAAAAAAGAAACAAAGCAAAATAAGCAGTATTAGTATGTGAATAAAAGAGACTTGTAGATGTTATTATGATGCTTCTATTGATATGCAGAATTACATACACTTAGTAGGTAGTTTGGAATCTGTTATTAATGGTATTTAACCTTGAACTCCACTTCTATACAGTTTTATTTCAATGATATTAGAAATAAATATTGAGACATAAACATATATTAAATGTCCACTACATATTGGCCTTATTTTTAAACTGGTTAATGTGACTATTCTAGCTTTTAAGAAAGATTTTACATTACTTTTTTAATATGTGGAAATTATTTATCATGGCAATTATCATAAAATGAAAAGGTTTTATGATATCCCTGTGAAATACTCCTGCAGCATTTTAGCTTCTGAGATTAGCTGGGTTTGTTTTTTTTTTTTGAGTAAGTAAATTTAGGATATTAAAAAAAGCTAAAAGAATTTGGACAGATAATCTCTAATGACGGTTGGGCATCAGCAGAGATAATCCAGTTTTGATCTTGGGCTCAAGGAACGGAGCTTGCAAAGCCCATGCAGATTCTGGTAACAGTTGTAATGCATTCGATTTCTTGCACACTATTTATGAAGTATACCCCATGGACTCGTTTTAACTGAAATGTGAGTGAGGCAGCGGCCATTATAGACTGTGATTCTAAAGCACGTTTAGCTTAACTTCTCATTTAGTTAAGTGAGACATCTGGTATGTTAAAGTGTAACAAAGTTTCCTCTTACAGGATTTTTATATACAGTACAGTGTTAAATCTGTTGCTTTAGCTAATGAGAATCTGATTTATAGTCTTTCCCTAACTAACACCGAACTTGATAAACGGGGGTACTTTTAAGATATTTAGTTTCTATTAATTTTCAGGATTCGTTTTAGAGGTTAACAAGCGTACTGTATAGCATGTCCTGATTTTAAGAAACGATATAACATGAAATGTCACTTTAGACGTCCCTCTCACATATCAAGTGGAAGGCAGCCGGCAAGCTCTGAAAGTTTACTTCTTCATCGATGGTTATCACTTTGAACAGCTGCCGCAACGGCTGAAGGATGGAGGAGGCTTCAAAATTCACCCTGTGCTTTTTGCTCAAGGTAAAGCTGCTTCCTTGTTTATGCTTCACATGCCTGCATTATTTTATTTTGGTCAATTAAAAAAAATTTAATTGTCATCATCATCATGGCTTTTTTTCATTAACTCAAAAAATTCCTGCATAGTATCTAAGTAATATACCTACTTCAGGGAATGTTTATTAAGGAAAAAGTCATGCGTCATTTAAATATTTATAAAATAAGATTGCAGCATTATTTATAAGGGAGAAACAAGACACGAGTGGTTGAAATAAAGATAAATTAATTTGGCATAAATAAATGGTGGTAGAACCAATAAAGTCATATGATTAAGATATTTTATGAGAAAAAAGGTTAACAATATACACATGCAGATTATAGAAAAGAATTTATATTATAGTCTGATTATGTCATAGATGCACCCATTTACTTATATGTATGTAAAATGCTTTTAGTATAATTGGGTGATTAATGATTTTTTTTTGTCTTTGAGTTTTTCTGTATTATGTCAGTTTTGTCAATAAAATGTGTTTCTTTTGTAAGTAAATTGTCTTTGCAATAAGCAGTGAGTTTCAACTGCAGTAGAAGAAATTAAGATTAATGTGAATGAGAAGCTTCTTGCAGTGCACTGCTTTCTGATGAAAAGTCCAGGATCCTTTTTGGCTTCTGGAGTCAATTACTGCCCAGAAAGGATCAGAAGCCCAGACTACTGTGTAGACTCCTCATGCTGTGGTCACAGACTACATCAGTTTTCTGAGTGGTACCATAGACCTCACTTTTTCTTCTTTTGAGTTTTTGAGACCTGCATTGGTTTTGCTGTGGAAATTTTATATTCTAATAAAAAAGAAGAGTAGAGGAATAAAATCAACCTCTGTAACTGAAGAATAGGCAGGCACATATAATCTACATTCCCTACGAAGCGAAAATTCTGCTTGTAGCACACCCATATTATTTTAATTCTAACAATGACCATGGTGAACAGATTCTTGGTAAGACTGCATTTAAGCAGAGGAAAATTTCAGTGAAGGGAAGGTCTTAGGAGTTAGTAGAAGGTATGTTCTTCCTGCCTTTCTTCTAATCCTCCTTACCTCCCTTCCTTTTTTTTTTTAGGACTGTAATAGGGTTCATAAAGGTATTACAAGTTTCTGTAATGAAAGGAATAAAAAAGAGAAAATCGAGCAAAAATAGACCTTTGGAGCTATGTTAAGAGAATTGTTAAGCCTAAAATGTGTTAAAAGCCATTGTAGAGACATAGTTTTAGAAGAGGGGAGGATGCTGGTCTGGAATGTTAACTTTTACGGGGTTTTACTAGAGCTCACGGTCGTTAAAGCCTCTTCCCTCCTTTTCTTTTGTCTCTTTTTTTTAAAATCCTGCCTTTTCAATGTTACTGAGATGACAGATGGCATTAGACATTTTTCCTAAAAAAATTATTACCTGTGTGATATATCAGCCATAAATAGCTGAATATTCATACCCAGTAGCAAATGTGCATAGGAAAAAGATTACTTTGCAAGTAACCTCTATTTAATAATAGTGGCTAAAACAAATTAAAAAAGAATCCCTGAGTATTTATTATTTCAGTAAGTACAATATCACTTTAAAAATGTAATTGAAAGAGCAGCTACAGCAAACATTTACACAGCAGTAAAATATTAAAAAATGAATTGAATAAGAACCAGTGGAAATACTTCTGCAGTTGAAGTCACAGACAGGTAGAGACTGGAAAACTCTTGGTTTCCTTAAGAATCTGTCTTTGATAAGGCAGTTTATAGAAAGGGCTTGCAGAAGTTCCTCTGCATTGATAAAACTTCCGTGAGGAACCATTAGTAGCTGTCAGTATTCATCAGATTAAGGGAAGCACAGCCAGTACAGCTTTAGTTCCAGGGGAGATTACTGTCAGGAAATTGAAAGTAGTGGTAAATGGAAGAGACTCCAAATGGGGTCTATTCTGGAGTGAAAGTTTACATGGGTAGGGTGGATTTAGTTTTGTGTGTGCATGTATACATGGCTCTTTCCTGGCAAACGATAAGAAATACTAGATAAATTTGAAAATATCCTGGGATATTTATCAAAGTCAACAACCCTCCAAAAGTTGGCTGAGGTATCATACTTAGAACAGGAAGTGAACGGACTGCCTTCCCAGTTTTCTTGGCCGAGCGGATCCTGGGGCAGCAGAGGGCGCACTCCTTGATTTCTAAGGGAAGGAGCACAGACACAGTCAGGAAAGTCAGCACAGAGCACAACCAAGAGCTAGAATGTGAAGATCATGCTAAAGCAACCTTCCATGAGTACTTCCTGCAGGTCAGGGAATTAATCCTGTTGGGATCCCCCAGCTCCTGGTGAGATAAAGGAAGTAAAAAATGAGAGTGAAGAAGGGTGTCGGGGTTGCTTTCTCCACCCACTTCCCCCTGGCTCGTTTTCATTCTGTCTCTCAGTGGCTCCCAGTACTGGCTGCATATTAGTCACCTTGGGAAATATGAAAATAGTCATATTTCTAGGTTTAGAAAATACCCCTGCTCAGTCCCATACCAAACAAGTACATCAGAATCTCTGGGAGGCGGAGCCCAAATACCGGTCTGTCTTAGAACTTTCCAAGTGATTCTAAATGTCCGCAAGGAGTGAGAAAACACAGATCTGGTGGATTATGAAATACAGTGCAATTTTCCAGATGTTTGTTTAACTAGAATAATCCATTTCACAGACATTTAATGCTTCTAGCTTCTAGGGAGTTGGGTCAGAGGGACTGGGCCTTTTTGCCTCTGCCTTGTTAAGTCATTAGATGCAGGTCGCCCCTCAAAGAGATGGGATTACGTGGGACAATTCTGTAGCAAAGGCTGCAGATGCCTTAGAGAGCTGACAGTTGAGGATGTCTTCTGGCTGCCATAGCAACTAGGAACAAGCCCTTCAGTTTTTAAGGAGAATCTGAGTAGGTGACTCTCAGAGCATCTGCCACAGTGCGCACCTGGCACCCTCGGATCCATTTGTTTTTGTACGGATTGGGAGCGTGTCCTTCGTCACTGATGGACCTCCCCTTCTGGGGGGATAATTTAGAAGAAGCATGTAAATGGACAGCCCTGTTGCTACAGCTGGTCTCAAGCTGCAATAGAATTTCATTTTTCCTCTTCTGCTATCCATTGTAAATTAGCCTTGTTCTCTGTCTGAACTCCTGCTGGTGTCCATGACATGATTAAGACCTCATCCCTGAGGGGCCTGATTCTCTGGTCACTATGTCCTTCTCAGGCCAAGGTCTTTGCAGTTGTCCAGTCACCATCAAAAGTGGGCAAGGGAGTACCAAGAGGGACCTGAGTGGATGGATTACCTGGATGCCAGACATATTTCTCATTATATAATAATAACCCGTCAGGAAGTATTCTTATGATGCTCAAGGTCTATTAGCCTTGCCATGATAGTATTTGCTCTTTGTGGCTGCTAGTACCTTGGTACAAGGAGCCTGCAATGACCAGGAGGCAACCACAGCTTACAGTTCAGTGGGATCCCTGCTTTTTCTACTGGGGGAAGTGTGCCCCTTTGGGGACCGCACCTTCAAATCCACAGAGCCAGAGTTCAGGGAAGGAAAGCACACATTCCCCCAGTGAGGCTTCAGAACTGCGTTTGTGTTAGTCTCCCAGGGCTGCCAAGTGACTGACTACCAGCTGGGTGGCTTAAAAACAGCGGAAATGAATCCTCTGAGTTCTTGAGGCCAGACATCTGAAATCCCAATGTTCACAGGAGGAGGATGAAGGTAACTGGACAGAAGAGTGCGAAGGAGAGATCAAATTTTGAAGTTTGGACATTATTATATATTTAACCTACTTTTCCAAGAACAGAAAAAAAATAATTTGGTAAAATGTAATTTTATTTCTTCTTTTCTGAACAATAAATAACCAAGCCATGGACCTAAAAAAGAAAATGTGGTTCTTTCTCTACTTTGCCATACAAAGTTTACTTTTGAAATATAGAACTCATGTTATTTTTTTGTTTGTTTCCCCACAGCACCATGCAGGAACCATAAAATTTTGCTGAGGCTCTTGACAAATGATGAGACTCTCTTTAAATTTTTTTTTACATAATATTAACTATTGTTAATTTGGAAATATTGTCAAGAAACTTAATGAAAATGTCAGTTTCTTTTTATATTATAACAAACTTTTCGAGCAGGACTGGACATTCTGGTTAAAATTGAGCCATCCAGACTTTTATAAAAGTTAAATGCCAGGTGTTTTCTTCTTACCCTGCCATGCCCTCCCACCCCACCCAGCTCCCCTCTAGCTCCTTCCTGGTGTTTTTCCAGTCTTCCTCGTCTCAAATCACGTGTTAAAGTCTCATTATACAGACCCTCCTCTCAGTTCCCACAACTTCTCTGTTCCTTAAGCGCACTCACCCTTCATCTGTAGGTCCTGGAGGTTAGGTAATGCCTGAAGGGCACTAGGCCCATTGCCTGGTACATGAAACACGTATGATGAATGGTAAGGGTAGTCATAGGCTCTCTTAATCCTATTATTTAACTTAGTTCTTTTCCAAGAACCGTAATTAGTCAGTACTTTTATTTTCCATTTTACAAGTGAGGAACCTGCGACTCTCAGATATTAATTAACGTGGCCAAGGTCACACAGCTACCAAGGAATGGAAGTGGTGGTTTCATTCCAATGCAAGGGCTTTCATAATTACCTTCACCACTAGTAAGAGGAACCCACGTTGAAGCCTGACCATTGACAGACTGAATGCTCCTGGAATACTTGCTTTTCACAAATAAACGCATTGTGAATGGAAATGAATGTGGTATTTGAAGACTTATTTTTTTAGGAAGGCTTTTTTTTTTTAAGTTTCTTGCATGTATTCAGGACCAGAAGCTGGGTTAACTGATGCACATATTCTAATTAGTGCAGAAATCTTAAGCAGTAAGCAAACAATCTTTGAAATGAGATCACAGATTGTATTTCCAGTAGTAGAGTAAATATACTAGGCTTTCTCTCTAATTTTGCACAACTGCTTTTCTCAATTACAGGCCAATAATTCCATTTTAAAAATTTCCGATTTGGCAATGCTCCTACAGTTTTGTTGTTTCTTCAATGCTCTAGAAATCTGACTAGTTCAGAAAATATTGCACAACTAAAATTAGCAGTGACTTTCTTATTTTTGCCCCCCAAATGGTGATTTCTTTCTGTCAATTGGAGAAAACCTTATTATTTAGTTTAGAAAGTATCACATTTATAAGTTTTAAAATAAGATTAATTTTTAATCAATTTTGAAATAGTCTGATGATGTGTGAGGTTCTTTAGTAGTAATAATTTCAAGGGGAAATAATTTACGTTGGACCAGATTGATTGCATTGCCATTTCTGTGCTGGCAGCCTCTCTATAGGAAATCTTGTACTTCTGGGCAATTCCATGTGACTCATTTCCTTTCCAAAAGGTTAAAAATATCACTGAATAAAGTTCAAAGGAAAATGAACTACTTAGCCAAAAATGTTAGTTAAGAAGGAAATTTATATTAATCAAAAGACTTTTAAAATTGATGGAATTTATATATATAAATAGCTAATGTATATTTTTGTGCTTGTTTATTTTTAATTAAATTTACTGGCCATTGGTGTAAAGGAAATTTTCTAAGATTTCACTTTATATTGTTTATTACACTAATATTTCATAATTTAATTACAGCTATAAGAGAATGTGGATATACATGGAGAGTGACAATATCAATTTTTTATTCCTCTGTATGTTAATGTATAGTTCTGCCTCTCTACATATGTATATATATACATATATGCATGTGTACATGTGTTTGTGTTTAGATGTTAAGAATATATGAATTTGAGTTGAGCTTTGCAAAAATCATATACAAAATGTTTTAAAAACAGAAGATAGTTTAAATTAGAAATTACCTTCCCTGCTTAACAGAGAATCATCAAATGTTTGTGATTTATTATGAAAGCAGAAGAATGAGTTTTATTCATTCTTGGTCTGGTGAAAGATAGTTTCTTGCATATGTTGGTGCTATTTAATACATTTACCAATAATTAATAAAATCACACTAAATGTGAAGAAATTGAGTTCTAAAACCATGTGAAAAGTACATTTACTTGTTTACATAGCACTGGAGAGCATGGAAGGATATTATTATAAAGACAACGTTTCAGTGGAAGAATTTCAAGCTCAAATAAATGCAGCCTCATTGGAAAAGGTCAAACAATATAACCAGAAGCTCAGGTATGTGATCATTTATCTTTTTTTTAAGTTTCTATATTTTGACAGGCACAGATAATTAGCATTTTTGACATTATTTCTTATATTAGAAGAATCATAATATTTCTTTTCATATAAAACAGAGCTGGTATAAAACTCTGTATAAGGTTTACTATTTCAAATATTCTAATGGGTGCTCTTTTTTCAAGTAAAACAAAAATGTTTATAAATTTTCATGCTATTGTTTTAATTTCTGTTGATGAGCAAGGGATTAAAAATTTTGTAGACTGTTTCCAGGGGGAAAAGCATTGATGTTTTGGGGACATGGGTGTCCCCAAAAATGTTCAGTGGATTAAGGGTAAAATGGTTTTCTTTATGCGCCATTGAATGACGAACCCCTCATACAGAAAGATGTGTAACGTGGAAGATAATTGATGATGGGTAATGGATGTTTAACGTGGATGAAATTTGTACTTGTTATTGGAAAAACTCATGCCTACTTTGAAATACGTGTGATGTTAATGTTTGCATTTTACTGTTTCCCCCTCTAAACATAACGTTAACTGGTACAGTGATCAATGGCAGAGATAATTAACCCCAATAAGTGTTATAATTCAGCAGCTTTAATTTTCAACACATTATCAACATATATATTTCCCTCCTTTAATATCACTCTGCTAACAGATTACCTTTTAAATTTACTAGCAGATTACAGCTCTTATTTTAGAAGAAAATGTTTTGTTCTACCTTAAGCCCTAATAACTCAAAACTACTATTGTGACATTATTTTGGTTTTGTCTGCAATATGGTTAAACTGTGAAAATAATGTCTAAAATTCCTGACATGGAGCAGGTATTGGTTCTCGTGGTTATGACCAATGGGTAGGTTTTCTTTCACTTAAACTGCTTTGTCTCTCTACTTGTGCTTCACACAAACCCCTTTTCTCCTAGTTTTATGCTTTTTAAAAAAACCTTTTCCAGCATTGTATCATCCTCTGAAGCTCTAGTCTCAAAGCCCCCCACATATTTTTTATTTCTTATTTTCTCCTCCTAAAATGTAGTTGGAGATCCTGATGATTCTGACCCACGTGTCTCTGAGGCTGATCCAATTTTACTACCTTGTCTAGATCAGTCTGTCTCAAATACATGTGATATACTGACTCCTTTCACAGAAAAAAATAAAGTTAATCTTAAAATCTTAAACAGTATGTCTACTGACATGCTTAAGGAATACTGACTTAAGAAGCCTAAGTTCAATCTTTTGAAAATCCATTGCATACTGTCTTCACAAAAGAGAAATTCTGCCCTTCTGACTGACTGAATAGATTCTTATCTTTCAAATAAGGACACAGAATTAAAGCATTTGTGTAGAACATGTGGGCCGTGAGAATACCTCCCTGGGGTCCAGTTGGAGAAAATAGTACTAGATCATCGCTGTGGCACCTGATTGATCTTTCTCCAGGAACCGGGGTTGTTTTATCTGCTCAGGATTTTGCTTCCAGATAATAACTTTAAACCACATTGCACCATGTCGGTCTCTTTCTCGGAGCAGTCAGTGTTTTCTTATTGCTCCAAAGGAGTCACAAGCTCCTTGGTGCGAAGTCAGGGTCTGTTATGACTTGAGCCAGGATTTGGTTGCTCTGCCCACACATCAGCCATGCGCAGCTCACCTTGTTTCTGATCAGGCCCTGTCCTTTCCTTCTTCCTCACCTTCTCACCCTTCACTTAGCATCTGCTTCCTGTCTGTTTATAAAACTGCTGTTCATATGTTTCCATGTCCAGCTCTAGTAGAGTCTCCTTCATAAAATCGGTTTCTTTTATTACTGGGCTGGGGTGAAGCCTGGGCATTAGATATTTTTAGAAGTCCCCTAGGAGAGTCTAACATGCAGCTAGGATTGGAAACCAATTCCCTAGTTCCTGGGGCTCCTAAAGCATGATCCCCAGACCAGCAGCACCTGCAAATTTGTTAAAAATCTCATGGATGGTGCTGCCGTCTGTACTGTAAAGGCCTTGAACTACACAGTTGTCAGGTCACTCTTGCAGTCTTTCATGTTACTTTACTTATGGCTATTACAGAGTTCAGTATTTCTCCCCAAAGATACATTATGTGTACAAATCTCTCATCTTCTTTAATCATTTTTATAATGTGTGTGCGTATATATGTGTGTATGTGTATGTGTATATTTAAAATTTTTCACTTACAGTTTACTTTCAGCATTATTTTGTATTAGTTTCAGGTGTACAGCATAGTGGTTAGACAGTCATATACTTTGCAAAGTGAACCCCCTGATTTTCCAGTACCCAACTGGCACCAGACATAGTTATTGCAATATTATTGACTATACTTCCAATGCTGTCCTTTATATCCCCATGACTATTTTCTAACTACTTTTCAATCCCTTCGCCTTTCTCACCCAGCCCCCCAACCCTCCTTTCCACCAGCAACTATGTCTGTTCTCTGTATCTTTTAGTCTGTTTCTGTTTTGTTTGTTTACTTATATTTTTCTTTAGATTTCACATATAAGTGAAATTTATTCTTTTATAACCTCTTTGAGATGAGGGATACGCTTATCTTGGTGTTTCCATTGTGTTTATCAAAGTACTTTGCATAAGAAGTTCTCCATAAACCTTTAATCACATTAGATCTTTTAGGTATAACTTACAAAAGAAGAGACTGTGGAATATAGCATTCACACCACACCCATGTGGATGTTTTTTATTAAAAAAAGCAAATATAATGTATATTTGTATATAACATACATGACAAGATGTTTAAATATTTTAAGAAAAACAGCATGTGTATTAATTGCATGCTAGCCACTAAGAGAACATTTTAATGTATCTTTCTTGGAAAAGGCATTTCTGAAAGTACCAACTCCTCAGTACAGATTACATGCCCTTGTCAGCAATTACCTGCAGTACATCCGCTTGTTGCATATTAGATTTTTGTTGCACAGGAAGACACTTATCTTCCTCTTTACTTCCAATAGTGCCTTCTCTTCCTGTTATTTCTTGAACAAGGGTGTTAATTTCTTTCTTAGTTTTTCCTTTTCTTCATAACCACAAACACTCCAAAATTGCTCTTTGGCCATCTGTCCTTAGCTTTCAGAGCCAGAGGCCAATGCTGACCATTTCTTTAAAGCCCCTTACTGCCCGTGTTTAAAAAATAGCCCAGAGGTGTTGCTAGTTCCTCAGAGTCCTATAGCCTTTTTAACGCTATCACTGAAAACCATTTCATTCTGGATGTTAAAATTTGTTTATTAATTAGACCTCAAAAAAGGCTTTTATTTCCTTAGACTTACAACGAGCAAACATAAATAAGTAAATAAACTATTATTTTATTAGAAAACATTCTCCAGACAACAAGTTTCAGAAACCAAACTCAAACTGCTATAAACAAAACACTGTGTTGGCTTCTATAACAGCTATATCCAGGGACTGGAGCTGCTTCAGGCAGAGCTGCATCCAGGGATATGAGTCTTTAAGAAACCCTCTCTCTTTCTTCCTTTCTGTACTCCTTTGCTCTCTATGGGCTTCATTTTCAGGCAGGGTTATTTCACATTTGGATAACAATAGTCACTACAGACCAGTGTTACATTCAAAGAAGAGAAGGTCGCCCTCATGCTCCCCACTTCTCCCACTGAGAGCTCCAGCATAGTCCTGAGGAGTCAGTCATTAGCCAGACCCAAGTCACATGCCCACTGTTGGTGAATTCAATGCCACAGAGACCAGTAGACTGTCATGAAAAGTGCAGAACAAGGAGGCTGGACAAGCATAAACATTGGATTCTACTCCAGTTATAGAGATTTTTTCCAGAACGACATAGTAATAGGTGGGAATAGTTTTCTACTTAAAAGATAATGATAGCCACAAAACCTGCTAACTTTTTAGAACATGTTAAGAGCCACTAATGCTAGGTGAGTTACGTGGATTGATTAGATAGTAAGTTCCATGTTATAATTTCCACTGTAAGGTTAACATACAAGTTTACCTGGATAATAAGTGGTGAGAACTGGGTTTAAATCAAAAGCCTTTTTTTCCTCTTTTAAGTCTACACTAGGCCATCGCAGTGTGTGGAGTGAACATTATACACTAAGAGAAACTCTGTGTCACTAATTGGTGAGGCCTCAGATATCATCAGATGTCCCCGCTGCTCTGACTGCACCATCACTGTGTCATTTACTCAGTGTTCATGACATTTTGGTTCTTAAGAAAATGGGAAAGGCAGCAAATGAACATGTAAGTAAAGTAGTGTAGACAGTGAAAAATACGGTGATGAAAGTCTAAAACAAGGTGCTATCCTAGGAGGTAGGTCATTTAGAGTGGGTGGTCAGGGATGACTTAAATATTAAGTGGTGTTTGAACGGAAGCCTTAATCACAAGACAGCCTTGCCAATCTGGGGGAAGATCTTACCTAACACAGTGAGTAGATGCACGCAGATGTTGGGAATAAGCTTACCATGTCTGAGGAATACACAGAAGGGCAGGGGAACTCCAGCACACTGAAACAGATGATACCTGCTGAGAGGTATGTAGGACTGTGTTCCAGTGGAGGGGTTCAGCTTTTGTTGTAAGTGCAACATAGAAGCCACCGGAACATTTTTACTTAATTTCCTTCCCTTGCAAATACGAGAGTAGTATTCAAAATGGTTAAAGTTCTTATGAGGCAGCGCTGCAGCGGGCAGAAGCCAGCTGGCTGGTCTGACCACCACTCCTCAGTCTCTGTGGGAGTCGGGACCAGGCAGTGCACCTAGGGCGCCCTTGCTGCCTGCGCCAGAGCCCTGGCACCGTGGCCTGAAGAAGGCCTGCCTTAGCTGTTACCCTCCGCGGACAATGTTAACCCAGCAGAAACGTTTGACGGCTATGTCTAAACATACCCTCCTGTGCCAAGTCAGTTCTTGATTGATTTCCCTCTGATTGTTGAGAAATAACGGCATGGAAAGTGTTTAACTCAGAAATTCTAGCTGAGAAAGTCATGATAGGGCATATTCATCCCCTACTTTCACCATCCTCAAATGTTTTATT